GTTGCGGCCTAGATACAAGCAATTGCGCACAAGCAGGATCACATATCTATGTCACATAATGCTTGTGCGTAAACCTCTATGCGTAAACATCTAGATATCCCCCTTTTCCTCTGTACAGAGGAAAGATAAGAGTAATAGAACTAGAAACATGTTACTTTTACCTTACCTACCTTGTACACTATGCACACTGTACACTACTCTTACTCTTGCTACTTAAGTGCTTATACCATAAGCAGCTAGCTGTCAGAGCCTATTTAACAATAGCACTAGATAACCTTTATAAGCTAATTCTACAGCTAAATTATAAAGGCTAAGTAATAAAAAAAAGTAAGTAATTATTAAGACTATACTTAAGCTATATGCGTAAGAAATTTCCCTTTAGATAGCATTTATAGCTAATATAGCTAATTCTTTGCACGCTAAGCATAATCTAGGCTATGTTTACATAAACTAGCCTAGTATGTTTATAAAGTGTTATTTAAAGCTTAAAGTAAAGTTTTAAGTATAAGTATAGTTAAAAAATATTTAGCTAATTATAAACCTTATTTTACTAAAGTTATATATGTTATTATTCTAAATACTATACTTAGCTTTAATATTCTTTATAAGGCTAAATGTAAGGACGGAGCTCTGTACCACTACGCCAATACAACTAAAAGGTGCGAATAATCAACCAACGTTGATTTTCAGGTGCAGAATAGTATATATACCTGTCGCACGTAAGCGCCATCTCAGCCTTACACTAAACTTACTTTAAATTACTCTAAAACTTTTATAAAAAGCTTTTTTATAGTTATACTTACACTTAAATATTACTTTAAGCTTTAAATAACACTTTATAAATGTACTAGGCTAGTTTATATAAACATAGCCTAGATTATGCTTAGTGTGTAAAGAATTAGCTATATTAGCTATAAATACTATCTAAGAGGAAATTCTTTACGCATATAGCTTAAGTATAGTCTTAATAATTACCTAGTTTTTTTTATTACTTAGCCTTTATAATTTAGCTATAAAATTAGCTTGTAAAAGTTATCTAGTACTATAGTTATTTATTATTTTTTATAAAACTTTACATATAGCTATAGTATATTTTTTTAAAAGTTTTATATTTTATTTAAAAGCTTAAAGTGTAAGCTATATTTAACATTCTTTTAGCGCGTCTAAGTAGTGTTATAGGGAATGTATTAGTGTAAAAAAGGTGGTTTAGTAGGGTCTTAGTAAAAGTAAGCAACTTAGGTGTGTAAGCAACTTGCCTGTGAAGTACGTTATAGACTATTTTCTATTATAGAGTTATCTATCTACGCATTTTACTGTCTTACAGGCCTTATCTAGTTAATTAGATTCCTTTATTGTTAGTTTTATAAGCTATAGAAGTTAAAAGCTCTTTACACTATGTCTCTTACCTTATTTTATAATAGTACACTGTCTGTAGCTAAAGATTAATTAGAGTAATATATAGCTATTAGACTTATAAATATGTGTCGCCCTTAGCATAATTAGACTACTAGGTAAAGAATAAGGCTACATTGTAAAGTAATTATACACTATTTAAAATGTAACCTTATAGCGCAGATGTAAAGACGGAGCTCGGTACCACTGCGCCAATACAACCAAAAAGGTGCGAATAATCAACCAACGGTTGATTATTGCGTACAGAATAGTATATATACCCGTCGCACGTAAGCGCCATCTCGGCCTTACAGCAGATATAACACTTTTAAAAGAGTAAGGTAAGGTAATCTAACTCTAGCTCTGCTGTTAGTGTTACAAGTAGACTTTTTCTACTTTATTACTAAAAAGATTTAGTTATCTTATAGCTTATTAAACCTTAATTTTATGTCTCTAGAGACGTATAGTCTTAGCTGTTTTAACTAGACTATAGTGTACTTTAATTAAATTGTACTACTTGTATAGATCACCAAAGCTGTAACAGTTACAATACGTACGCCTACCTCTCCTCCTCCCTGTTGTACGAACGTACACAAAATCTCACCCGTACAGGCCTCAAAATCTCCCAATCGTACAGTACTACCCCTCGTTGGAAGCCCTGCTTATGCCACGCTTAGGAACATGAATTTTCTAAGTGTCCATATCAAATATCCTTGATGTCGTCGTCTCGGCGATTAAGTAAGCGCATTGGCGAGTGTTTGTCTAAGATGATGATATAAATAGAAGGCTAGACGAATTGATCCAGACGGGAGAAGATGCACAGAACCACTCCTTAATTGATTCAACAGAGTTCTTAGGGATCCAAGAAGGAGACCATTCCTGTATTCCATCTGTGGCAGTAAAACTCGGCGTTAATATGACTGAACCTTATCTTCTTTCATATTCCGATCAGAACCGTTTTACATCATGCGGATAGACTAAGAGGTTTCCGGACATGTATACTGTTTGGCTCGGCTTATACTACCTTTTTAGCTAGAAATCATAGAGGTAGAGAAAATTAAATGTTCCGTTTGGGTTGAGCGCTCCGGGAGAAGCCTTATGGCAGGTACCGATTGGAAACTTTTTATGGAGTGTTTATGCAGTGCTAGTTGCGAAAGGGAAACAGGTCCAGATAGTTGAAAATTTTCGGTCAGAGCTAAACATCCTAAGGCTTCTTTGTTAGATCAAGAGGCACCTTAGGGCGTTGGAGGTAGATAGTTAGATAGTTCAAAGAAATTCGGAAAGTTACTGTCAAGTGATTTCTTTAAATTTTCGCCAAAAGAGCTATATTACCATTAAAGGGGACATTTTTCTCGTCAAGGTTGTTACACGCGAGCTTCTATAAGGCGAGAAAGCAGGCCATGGTGGCAAGGAATCCTCAGGTACGGGCCTTCATACCATGATCATCTATAATGCTTATTAACTCCGGTTTTGGCAGAAATCATAGCATCTCTTTTAGAGGCTCAACAAGTAGGTAAGTTATATCATACTCTTCTAGCCACTCCTGTGTTGGAATGAGTGGTTACAGCAGAGGAGATACTAATCCAACATAACATCTTTTACAAGTATTCAAAGAGACAGTCACACAGCCCACCGTTGCGAATTTTAGTTTTAATTTTAATTTCCACCTCTTTAGGGGCCAGTACATAGAATCTACACAGGAATTTACTCAACTAGAGAATCCAAAACGTAATTGTGAAAGTCGGCTGTCTGGGGTCCGGAAATGATGCAAGCAAGGGCAAGATATATCGCCAAAGGAGAGGGCGAGTCATGCGGGCTTCTAAATCTCTGTATGGGAAACCGTCGTTAGAGCTGAAGATATGCGATTCTGCTAGCGACATGAATCATGGATCTAGATCGATAGTCAGATTCTTTTACTATCTCGGACGTATGAGTTCAGGTTACCGAGTTCTAGTATCTTGTCAGGAAGTAACGGGTTCCAGACAACACCATGGCATGCTTCGCTTCAAAGCCCATACTTGGATGAAGTTCACACCCCGGGATGAATCAAAGCAAGTCTCTTAACAAGGCCGAAAGGAATATATATATATTTCAAAGTCCTACGGGTGAAAGGCGTGTATTACCATTGAATGCACGGTTTTAATCCAGAGATTCCAGTCCTTTATTTAAAATCTGTCGGGAAGATTGAAATGGCTTAATGAGCGTGGCTCTTTGGGCACGAGGAGTCTCATCAAACGCCTTAAAAAAATTAATTTTCAACGAGGGGTTTTATACCAGAGTTGAGTTTACCAAGCTTCGGAAGCTATAGGTAAGAAGGGATCTGATCTACCATGCAGACACTGGTACGCAAACGCCGAGTACGGGGATTTACAAATTCTAGAACGAGAGGTGTATACATATTGCTGGTCGTTATTATACAGACTCTCGAGCCCACCATAATGGATTGGGCGAGAAACTGCAGGCCTAGGGACATATAGCATGTCGAGTTTGTGTTTATCCATTAATGGCGGATAACAATCAAGTGAAATCTACTCTCACACAAAGCTTTTTCCGGATTTGATCTTGAGTTGCGCAGGGGTGCAACGTGAGCAATGAGTAAGCAACTTGAGTTATGGCTGAGCAAGCCTGAGCTCGCCGTGAGCAAACGCGAGCTAGCGTGATTATACCTAATTCGTGCCTGAGCTCGCTGTGAGCGAACATGAGCCAGCGTGATTGTGCCTGATTTCCTCCCTGAGCAGCATGAAGAGGGCCTGAATTTGGGCCCCCCATTAGTCTGTAGGGATGTATGAGGTGTCGGGAACTGACTGGTCCCATTTTCGGGACACAACGTTCCGTGGCTTAGCTCTTTGACCCCTATGCCGGCTGTGGAGGTTTGAATTAGTTGAATTCAGGGACACATAAAGACTTCATTGATTTACTGGAGATCTCTAGCTACGCTACCATGAGCCCTTAGTAATGATTCCGCCATGGGAATTGTTGAGTTGTTGAGAAACGCCACCACGACGATTCTGCTGGCGCAAGTTGTCAGCTACACCTCCTGAGCTCGCGCCACGTCTGGCATCGCCATGATCTAGGAGCCATCCAAGGCATGGAACCCTCACAATGTGTGTGTGTGTGTGTGTGTATGTGCACGTGTGTCTGTAATAATGTTGTGTTATAGTAAAAGAGAGTGTTCTCCCATTCTTGTTTATCTAAAGGAGAGTCGCCTTAGGTATTTATGAGTGAGATCAGATTACTAAGAAGACCCATATAAAAGTAAGTACCTAGAATGTACTGCTGCCTGGAGTGTCTCAGTTGCCTACAGTAGCTGAATTAGGTAAGTCACGTGCTCAATCTGTGACATACCTAGCTACTCTGCCAAGCTATGGCGCCGTGGCGCGGAGTCCGTTTCCTATGTGATGATTCGATCGAATCAGCAAACTGTGATGATGATCCTTGTGAAGCGTGCAGGTGGCGCTAAGGAGTAAAAGGGTAAGCGCGGTAATACCCTCTGTACTGTAAAGAGTGTTGTTCCTGTCTTGCTAATCCTAAGCCTTTGGAAATGTTTAAATACACAATAGACCCCTGTCCTCACGTGCAGCTATTCCTGACACCTCCCATGTTTGAGGCTACTTCGTTTTCAAGGCGAACTCGACCGCAAACCGTCTCTCTCCGTCTGTCTGAGATAGCACAGCCTCCTTTCGAACATCCAGACGACTATAAAACCATGCCGCAGAGCAGAACAGAACAGAATGAATCGCCGCCGTGAGAATAAGAATGAGATTGAACACCAAGGGCTTCTCAAGCTCAAGCCGGACGCCTTGTACTGGAGCGTGACCCTGAACAACAACTTTTGGATTTGTCTGCGCTGCAGCCGCAACTACACCAATGGCAAATCTTGAGATTAGATCTGCCATCCCTGTGGCGCTGTTGTTCTGAGACTCTCCGAAAGGAAGGCCGTTATTGTAGGACATGAACTGGTCTCTTCTTCCGATTTCAAGCATCCCTTGATGTACCTGTCCTGAGAGGGCTATTGCTTGTGCGGCTACAATAGCGTTCGTATCGGACAAGTTTGTGGTTGCAGCTGATACTGTTATATTGCAGTCGTAATAGTAGAATGGTTTGGATGAAGGATCTGAGCCTGGTGCTGGCGGCCCCGTTGCCGCTTCGATGACTTTAACAACGCCACACCTTGGGCCACAATTTGCGCGGGGTTCGTCTAGAATTGGATTAGTGAGATAGAAGATCGACTCTTGCAAACCGGCCAAAGGAGGGAAAAAGACGATTTCTCCGGTATTTGTGATGGTGATGATTTGGAGACGTTCGGTGCTGTTTAATGTGAAGGCGGGAGTTTGACAAACGCCAGATACATTAACAGTGTGTTCCGTATACATCGAGATTGAACTTGAATCAGCAGATGAGCTAGCAGAACCTGACTTTAGTGGCGCACTATCAAGAAAGTTGTATTGCCAATGGTCCGATGCGTTCCAGAATACGGCGGGACTAAACGCCTCTGGTCTGTCTTTCAAAGGTTTTGATGGCAGATTGCTATAATTATAACTGCTTGCAATATCCCCCAGTATATGGGCAGCAAAGAGTTCGGGAAGAGCTCCATGTAGGTCGGAGAATCGACCAGAGTGTGACGCATATACGGACATGTTTGGAACCAGCATGTTACCAATGCTACTGTCTCGAAAAAGGTTCGTTTGGCCCGGATTTGCTGACCAGGTTAGACTCAAGGTGGCAATTCCTGTTTGAGCAATCTGTAGGTTGTTAATGTACGGACTATTCGGATGAACGAAGACAACATACAATGTTCAGTAACAACCAGAGCATACCCATGATTATGACTAGAATCTCCCGTGATACGAAGATGAGTCGAGTAAGTTCTGTCAGGCTATCACATCCGAGGATCAACTCTTCCTAATGGTCACACGTGAGCAGGCGAAAAGTCTTATGAAACCCGTATACTCTACCTCATGAGGTGATCTCCTTTTAGCGCCCAAAAGCGACCACCTCAGATCGAGCGTAATGCCCTTCAATCCACTGGCGATATTTAAACCCATGATGATACTCAACGCAATCACTATTGCATCAAAAAGTGACTTTGTCCTTGGACTGAAGACTTGACCATTGTAGTGCCGGACCAAGACGTTGAAGGCCAACACAACAAGCCATGATATGACGCATTTGAATAGCCCCAGAGAAACATGACGCAAAACCTTTCGATTGACCTTGGCCATGCCCTATCCTGAAGGTCTTGAAATCGGACTGCTATAGGCCTCTACTAGCTGTGTTCGTGTCGTGATCTGAAATCAGAACGAAAATTAGTACCAATTGCCCCAAGGACCTAAGGGGTATTTTACCAATTGAATGCAGGAAATTACCTCTAGCCTGCTCTGTATCCCCGCTCTCACGGCGGCATGGGAGGTCAGATGAACCTTGAAGAAGCTGGCGCTGGGATTCTGTAGATGATGATCGCGATGTCTGCAGCTGATCACCAATCCGAGTGAGAGGAACTGATAACGAAGAATACACGGAAGCTTTCCCTAACTGAAAATTGTTGGAGAAGAAAACAAGAGCGGTCATGATTTTAAGTAAGAATGAGAAGGCTTGATTTCAGCTGAGGCTGAGTGTTATGAGCCACGAAGACACACGCAGGAAGCGGAGACGAGTGGTGTAGAATACAAGCCCTCTGCCTGAACGGACTGGTTTCCCCCCCTGCGAGCGCCACCAAGAGGGATGGCATTTTATCAGACATATACCAAAATCGGACTGTTATGCACCGCAAGCGCCAAGCTCGAAAGATGGGCGAGGAAGACGTCAGACGGAAGCCACGCAAGTGCAGGTCACGTGACAAAAGACAGGGATCAGCTGCTACTTTTTATCCAGGCCTCGCCACGGACAATGAACTCCATTGTTTCCATTTTGCAGAAGAGCAGCCATCAGAGAAGAAGATGAGCCACTTTATACTCAGAATCTGTAGAGGTGAACTTCGAACAAGTTTTTAGCGTACAGGAGGACCACCATAAGGTGCCAGAAGACTGCTCCAGGGGTCGAAGATTTATAGAAAGCCCTAGGAATAATTTTTGTTATAAGGACAAGACCTATGCCGTAGAGACTCTACAATTTTGGGTAGAAAAGAGTCAATTGATCAGGGATACCAAATCTCATCAATCTCGTAGCAGCCTTCTTTCAATAAAACGGCTTTTTATCTCCGCGAACGCAAGCATCCGCATAACACGGCTGTGGGCACTGCTTTGGTGGTGGGATCTAGCCCTGGGATCATGTGAAACTCTTTATCACATCAGCCTTTTAAGTCGGCAGTGCCTAAACACATGATGAAGAATAGATTCGGTTCTCAGTAGCAGGGCGGGCAGTATAATATGATCCTTAGCTCAATTAAACTCGAGGTATGAGCCCTCAGAGAGTACGCATGGGTTTACCACAGCATTATTGTCCTTCTAGCGGCTTTTCGATACTAGCCATTGAGGAACCTATCTATGTTTTATTCATTAGAGGTTACAGCGGCGCATTTTTGTTCTTTCGGAAACAATGTACAAAGACATTCTGGCGTTTCGTTCGTTTTTTATTCTCCAAAGAAGTCGCGGTCGTCCCAGTTCGCTGAAAAACTATTCAAAGAGGTGCCCCGGACCTTCGCCTGGGTTGTTGGGACCTGCAGTGGCGCGGGAGACAAGGCATAGATTTTGTCCAAAGGGGTTTTGAGCAAACCAGAAGCATATAACCCCATAAATCACCAATGGTCCTGTGACGGCAGACTACATCTAATACAAATAAACACAATTCGAGGTGAGAGCAAACGTGCTCCAAATGCTTCGTATATTTTAGCTTGAGCGAGGGAAGCAGTCCGTGGCCTAGTCCGTTTAATTCTTTGTATATAGTCCAAGTCTAGGTTCTGAATGTTGAAAGGAACTAGAGGAGTGTCGGACACGGCACATTAGGCTTCAACTTCGGTTTTAGATGACTCTTGGGTCCAGATGCTCAGCGGTCGACACATACAGTGCCCGAAGCAGACTATGGGCCTGACTCTAGTTACTGAAGCCTCCAAAAACAGGGTAGAGAAGTCTTTTTCGTATGGCGTGCAAAATCGGGAAAATGGTGGTACACAGAAGCGTAGGTGTCATATCCTCATCATTAAAATAAAATCTATTTTCTTTAAACAAACGTCCGAGTTCGTGGAGAGGGGCAGGGCTCTTCTTATAAATGTTAACCTCTTACCTTAATGTTCGCAAGTTGAACAATGCTTGCACTTCTTAACAGGCAATTTTTGATGTTCGATTGAAGTCAACGGCTGCCGAAGCTAGTATGTAGCGCAGCAGTTGAAGCGTACTATACAGGATCCCAGGCGCTGGTGGATGTAGTGGGTGGATTAGTATGTGATTCAAGGCTCAACCCATCAAGAAAGGGTTAAGGGTAACAAGTTTGTTGAAGAGACGTGCCTGGGAACAATGAGGAGCAAGCGACTCGTTCTTCAGAGGCCAGGAGACTCTTGAGCAGAGCGTTTGCAAATGAAAAGATGGTCAAATATGGGGGAAATGAAAACACTGAGGTCATAAGATCTAAACATCAAACGTGAGGAACTATCATGGGCACACTTGGTGTTCCCTTTGGCATTTCTATATCAATCCTTCATCTACTGTACATCCGGTAATCGCACCGCGATATCACCGGATTGCGTAATGTATCGAACCCACGGCAGTGAGGGATATTGAAGCTTTAAGGCGGTCAGTTGTATTCAAACGTAGAAAGAAGATAGCACAACCACTCACCTTTGGTTCGATAATCTTAAGGTACCGCACTTGGATACCACTTGTGGTGAAGTACGGGATCTCAAACTTCACGCTGATCGGTCTTTTCCCCTTACCGCCTCCAACACCGCCCATGCTGCCACCAAATCCACCCATCATGCCACCACCTTTCTCGTCGTCTCCCCGTACTGAAGGAAGGCCAAGCTCCGCACGCATGAGGAATTCCTTCCCGCCACCAAATTGTTTGATCTTCCACACGATCGATGATGTTTCAGGGGCGTAGTGCACAGTACCAATGTTCGTTCGGAATCTCGGTGTGTCGGCGTCTTCAGGGACGGGTATTGAGATTTGGACGTTGTTGGCTGTGCTTCGTCGCTTGAACTGAGCTTTTGCCTAAATAATACAGTTAGCTTTGCAGGGGCAGGAGACGTGAAAATCCCGCCCTACCTTCAGCATGTACTCTATTCTACTTCCAGAATGGCTCTCCACAATGCATTCCACCCAGATCAATGGCTTGACTTGTGTATTCAGCCGGTAGCTCATTAGCTCGAACTCGCCATCTGGTGGGATGAAGCTAATAGTCCTGTCGTTCTCAAACCTCGATAACCGCACGCACTGATGAAATTTGACATCCTCCATTTCCACAGCCTTCCCTCGTGTTGCTCGCCCTGTTGTCTCAAACATGACCTTGTCATTCAAGCCCAATCGCAGCTCAGGCATACCCGACAGATAGCACTTCATTTTAATAGCACCAAGAATCTCGGATCGTAAAACATTGCCGTTTGCAGAAACGAGGAGGTTGAGGGATTCGATGACGTCGAGGAAGACTTCGTTCTTGCGGTACCGAATACCTTCGCTTCGCCAGCTGACAGCGTTTGTAACTGCAATCGGCGGACGTGCTTGGACTTCGAGTTTGTGCGATTCTTGCGTGATGTATCTGCACAAGATGCAATTAACATAACTAGGCAGATCAAAGCAGCAAGAAGGCCATACTCTTGCAATATCTTGCTCTCAGTCGTCTGAGGGTATCCGAAATCCATCATCTCGTCCAGTAATTCATAGATGATAACAAAGTTATCCCGTATGCTCTCCTCCTCCAGTTCCTTGAAGTATTCAGTAAAGACTTCGACTATCTTGTGCAGGAAAAGGAGGATCTCGGCGGCGTTTGTGTTTCGTTTCGTAAGAGCAAGGAGGTAGAGGTTGTTATGGCGAATGTAGAGGTACTAGGAGGATATTCCCGGTTAGCTTAAACTGACTTTCCACATACGTGGTGTTGCAGCATAGCAGTGCGCACGAGGCGGCCTACATTGATGCCTTCGTTCGAAAAGCATGGTGGGACTGCGGAGCTCTCTTCTTCGGCTTCGCTGAGTAGTATGGGGAAGTTTTCCACAGCGGACATGGGGATATCTCCCCTATAGTTTCGCGCCAGAAGGGTCTGCGGCCAACGCATGTCAGTCTTAATGCCGTCGAACAGCACCCCACAAACTCACCTTGCCCTTCAGGTCGAGGAAGAACACAGCAGAGGCCATATTGCGTGAGATCAAAAGTGGAAATGGATCACAACAGTATAGCAGGTCACCGGCTCATCTTGAGCAGAAAGAAGGGCGAGAGAGAGGTATCTGGAGCGTAAGTGACAGCTGATGTAGTGAAGTGGTGTATTGAAAGTTGGGGCTTGGCATCCCGTCGCGCCTGCCAAGGTGTGGCGATGGCTAACCATATCTGTGCTAGCTCCATATCTGTCAACTTCGTCTCATGCATTCACCCTTCAGCATCACCAAGGCTATTTTTATCCCGCCTAAGAGCATGCTCGATGTGATGAGTTGTAACTATATTATGATGTAGTATCTCCGATAATACTTGCCGGAGCTTTCTATGAGGAGCCCAGAGTTTGCTCTAGTACGAGAACTACTGATCTCCCACCAACTATGAAAAGCAAAATGGGCAAACCTTTTGTGAAAGGTTGAACGCGAGACTTCGCCCACAGCCATAAGTATTATTCTTCTAAAGCCTCATTGAGGAACACAAAACTCCCTCGAAATTTTCTCCACATCCCAGCCACCTTTTCAGTAGCCTATCACACCACTCGCACGCTTTCATCTTCTACTCTTCCTTGCTACCTTCGCCTCCTTGCCACATCATTTGGCCCGCTTTAGTATTCGCGCATTTATCTCTTTGCTCCCACTCTCGGGTCTACCTATGTCTCCCCAGGAGACTCACCTCCGTTCTCTACGCAAACTCGCCGCCACCACCTCAATACAATGTTCACATACACTATCAGCGAGACAGTCAACTTTGTCTTCACCGAACCATGTATAGTGGATGCTTGAGATACCTGAAACTGACAGCGTGGCATTCGCTCCCAATAGCCGAAATCATCACACATTCTCCCCAAATAGCATCCTAAAATGCGACATTCCCAGGCAGGCCTTCGTCCCTATGTCCAATTCCAGTCACCTGTCCGTCCCTCTGGGACCACACCAAGGCTGCTTCAATGTGGCGTTCTCTCCATTGATTTCAAGTGACTCCAAAACCGCGATTGAGATAGAGGGCCCAGGGGATCATCTTTCTAAGTCTGTTCCCTATAGTCCTTCGCACTCGCCAATTAGTAGTGCTGATATTGAGTCTAGGTTCCCAAGCATCATGCCAGGCCTAGCCTGCAGGCTGCACTTAGACTTTGCGATGGTCTTTCTCCCTATGACCTTCACGCCTCTGAGTCAGGATATCAAAGCACGTACTGTTTAATGCTCAAGACTTCGCACCCGAATCCGGCTACAGCTCATCAGCCGCCTCAAGAAATCTCGAAAGAATCCAGAACCTCCCAGCTCCAGACTAAGGTGTCCATCCATAGGTGTTCTGGCCAACCCCGCCGATGTAAAGCCAGTTAAGATCACCCTGGATGTAGGACTAGGAGCAAAGCCCAGGTCTGGGACGTAGAGTGCTGCTAGGAGGACCTAGAAAGGCGGCATTCAGAGGAGAAGGAGAGTAATATATCGATGCAGGAATGATATAGTTCTTAGGTGCGAGGAGGAAGGGTAAGAGGAAACAGAAGGGGACGGGAAAGGTTAACAAGGTTCCAGACACAAAAAATATCTCAGATAGAGGGTTAAGGAATCCTAGTGGGAGTCTTGATGGTGTCAAGCCTTACGGGGGGCTTTTCCGAAAGGTGTGCAATGTACATGATTCTTACTGGGATCTGTTTTGCTTTCAACCCTATTTCACCAGATTCACAAGTGAATGAACCCTCACAACTAGCATAGCATTACACGGTTGTGATTTCAAGTAATCAATTTCAAGTATATACAAGAAAAGCTCAAGTCCCGTTCAAATCACCAAATACTTGCTACCTTTCTTAAAGTTAGCTAGGTAGGCATTTGCTGAGCTTAGAGCTAAGTTTCTATTATTCTTGTTAGTAATTGCGATGGATAGGTACTGAAACCGGGCCAGTGGAACTTACTTTGCATTTGTAGCCGGTCACACACTCAGTCGGGCCAGTATAGCCTTTGCCACCGCACTGCTGATTCTACAATACAACATATCAGCCCCATTTCTTTTTAATTTTGTTGTCTTTGTGCAACAGTGTGTGGAGGCTCATGCCTAGTGAGTGTGTAACGGCGGAAACTTTGTTCGTACGACCAGGTTATCAACGACACCACGGGACTTTCAACGCCAAACACCCATGTTCTTGTTTTTAGAAAGTGCTCAATAACGTACCGCTCCAGCAGTTTGCTCACCCCCAGCTCCTCCTCCGCCACCACCGGGCTTGGAAGCACCCAGCGCAGCGATCTTAGCTGCGGCTTGCTCACCCACAACCACAATGTAAGCAGATGGGTTGGTGGTAATATGGCTGATGGCGGTGTTAGTATATGGCGTGACTCTGTGGTTCGGAGACATCTTACCCGGGGAAAATCGAAGCATCAACCACATGGATGTTCTGAGTACCGTAGACCTGGGTATTGGTGTCCACAACACTGGATCCGCCGGTCAGACCACTATCCGTACCAATCTTTGCCGTACCAATCCAGTGGTTAGCGCGGCGAGCAGCCGGTGTCAGAGGAAGCTGTATTTGACATCAGGTCCGAATTCACTGATAGCTAAGAGATTCATGAATCAACTTACGCTCTTAACGTAGTCCTCGACCGTGACGTTTGGACCAGGGACTTCCCAGACAATATCGGGAACCTTGGCAATGGCCTTTTGGAGGTTCTTAATACCTTGAATAACGACTTCGAGATCCTCCTTGGTGTTTAGATATGGCGCCTTTGAGACGTACATGCTCAAAGCCCCATTGATGGAAAGAACACCACGCGAGGTTGAACCGCGACCAAGGTACTGGCTCAACGTCATGGAAGCTACTCACTATTAGCGTAGAATCAAGGGGAGGCCTTCGACACGACTGACTATTATCGGTCGCAGGTGGGGAAGGTTCCACACGAGCTGTCCACTGAAGAGAACGCTCAATTCCATCAGAACCTTTAATGACTTCCCAGAACATGGGACCAATGTTAGGAGCAGACTGAGCGAGAATACCAGAACGGCTGTTGAGGTAGGCCTCCTTATCAGAAACAATGGGGTCGTTGAAAGCGGCGTAAAAGTCATAGAACGAGACATTGGGGTGCCTAAGGACGGTATCGGTCTATGAAAGGGTTAGTAGGTTGAGAGTTACTGATAGAATGAGCTGCGTACGTTGACGTGGTCGTTCAGGTTCTGTCCCACCGGGAGGTTGATCCATTCAGTGCTATTGATCATACTCGGTCCGTCCTGTACGCTGTTCTTGACGATTTGGAGCTGGTCCTTTGGCCCAATGCCGCTCCGGAAGAGGAGCTTGGTTGAGCCAAATGTGCCGGCAGAGAGAATGACACGGCCACCGGGGTTGAGGTTCACAGTGCCGCAGTATCCTCCATTACCGCCATCAAGTTCAACCCCAGTGGCTTTGCCACCGGTTCGGACAACTCGCCTGACAGCAGTATTCATCCATAGCTTGAAGTTCTTCCTGTTGGTGGCGCTGACGAGGTACGTAGCCATTGGACCACCACGCTCACCACCAGAATACATATACGGAGTGTGCGCAAAAGTTCTGTTCTTCTCTCCTGGGACATTGTTCGCGGTAATTGACTTCCAGCCGTCTGCGGCCAGGGCGGTGGAAATAACATTGAAGCCCTCCTGTTTGTAGAGCTTGCCGTCCATAGACGGGTGATCAGTGCCAGGAATGCGCGAGAAAACACGTTCGGTTGCGGCCTTCATATCAGCAGCTTTCCAGCCAGCAGGGAAGTTAGCGTCCCAGTCAACTGGGTTTGCTTTCCACCAGAGGGCAGCATTGACGGCAGTACCTCCACCAAGTACGCAACCAGCCATCTGATCAATATCTGTACAAGCAATGCCGGCTGAATCAACCCAGATCTCGTTGCAAAGTCCAGGGACGTCAAAGCGGGTAAGATTGGTGGCCTTGAGCCAGTCTGGTTTCATAGTTCCGTTATATCGTCCAGATGATGGAGGGCCCTTCTCAATCAAAAGAACGCTCTTGCCACTCTCAGAGAGTTTGTCTGCCACGGGGATACCACCAGCCCCAGCACCGACAACGATGTAGTCATACGATCCAGTAGGTGCAGGAGTCCCAACACAGGCTGTTGGGGCCGTAGGTGTAGGGGTTGAGGAGGGAGTAGGTGTGGGAGTTGTTGTGTTACCTCCGAACGAGGCAACCCATTGGGAGTATGCTGCGTTTCTAGCGCTTGCAACGGGGGCCCCAAATTGCGATTGTCCATTGTTGTGAAAGGTGATAGGGTTCGAAGGTACATCCTTGTGCTGGGCCCAACCAATGACTTGAACTTCTGAAGTGGGATATTGGGAGCCTTCAGCACCCTTTTGATTCCATGCCCAACACCATTGGCATCTGTATACCAATTCGAAATGTGTGTCGTTAATGGAATGCGAAACCTGCGTCAGGGTTGCATTCCCGGTGTAGTCGTCTGGAGTAACGTAACCGCTGAGCACAGTCAGCTAGAAGTTCAATATTCAGTGGGATAAAGACACCTACCCTGCATAGACAAATTTTGTCTTAACATTATCACCTTCGGGCCAGGCCATCAGTAAGAGAGAGTTGGGCATCCCTCCGCCATGACTGACACCTGACCACCCCTTGCGGCCAGTTTGCAATGCTCCGACCTCGTAAACAGTTAGTAAACCCATTCATTCCTTTCACCAACAGCAAACTCACAAGAAGACCAAAGTACTCGTCATTGGTTCCACCTGCAGTTCCTGGCAATGCGTATCCCCACTGGAATCCACCAGATGTCTGAGCGGAATCGACAGTGGTCCGGCTTGGAAAGTCAGCATGCGAGTTTTAATTGGAGAGGAATGATCATACTAGAATTTGATACCGGTCTTTGGGTGAGTATACACATCGCCAGTGGTTTGTGCTTCAGCAAGGAGAGGGGCTAGCAGCGAGGCTGCCTTGAGGAAGGTAGGGACCTTCATTGTCAAGAGCAGCTAGCAGAAGAACAGAGACAGACCGAGAGTGAAAAGACCAGGAGAAGCAGAAGGCGCCCACGAGACCGGACCCTTGCCCACAGCGAAGGAGCTATTATATACATTTTCTTTTTACCCCGGACTATGACAGGAACAAAACCGTGTATGGAGTTGAGACCAATTAGCCAAGCAAAGCATGACAGATACCGCTCCTCCAGCGGCGGATTGACGCCCTGTACCAGGTACCAACCCACTGCAAGATTTGCAGGGGGGAAATCTGTTCCGCCGTACGGGGCCGGATGAGCATGTTCAGGCTGGGAACTGGGTATCACAAGGTCAGTCTGGCTGAGTTTCGAGGAAATTTTTAATATACGCTGATGAGATGGATGAGCGTATTGATTGAGGTAAATTGATGAAGGACGGGTTGCCAGGCCTCACCTGCCGTCGAGCCCTGTTGCCAAGACAGTCTAAGCTCTTTGAAGATTCCCCACATCCGCTTCTATGGCTCAAATAGGAAACGCACAGGAACGCCAAAGGGGAAACTGCCCTCCAGTTTCCGCCTACCATGAGCCTCACCAGGCACACACAACTGCACCACGATATCCTTCTCGAATTTCCACAGCCCGCAAGCCCCGAAACCAACACGACGACGCAACACGAACTAACTCCGCCATCAAGCTTCTCGCCTCCCGCTTATGTCCCGTATCTCGATGCTACACAAATGAAACATCCTCATTCGCCCGAGCCATGTTTCTCACGGTTGAAACATCCTAGCCTGCCAATAGACGACAATCTAATATATGAAAGTTCACTACGTTCATTCTTCGGAGATCGCAGTCCTTTTCCACTTTGATCTCTTCATGTCTGTGTGCTGCAATAATTTTTTCTTCCCCCAAATCTTCCATCCGCCCACCGGCATTTTTAGATTGGCCTCACGGAAAGCAGGCTCATCTCGATAGTGGCACCTTGCCCCTTCCATCTTTATGCTGTCATCATTTTCATTTGTCCATTCTTTCGTCGGTTTCGCTCCGAGCACGTGCTCTCTGGTCACGGATTTCCCACTCACAACGGATATATATTGGCCGGGATACCGATTTAATGAGGCTTTGATCAGGCTGTCCTACTGTCCAGTAGGACGACTGCCGTTTCTTGTAGAACCTCACAACTGGCTCCGTGTTGTTCCGCGCTCGATTCGGAATTGTTCTGAATGAGGTAGTCGAGATGTCTTTCTTATAGAGCCATTCGCCATCGTGCTGGGAGATACCTTAAGCGGTAGCATTTTGCAAACAGCTGTACCCATCACGATGAAGAATCTCCTCATCACGTGCTCCTTGCTCGTCGGCGCTTCGGCGCATACAATTTTCCAAGAGTTATGGGTTAACGGAGTGGCACAGGGACACACGAAAGGCATCCGAGTTCCCGTATGAACGTCTGTATTGCCTCGGTTACGAAAGGCTCACTGACAGTGTACCACAGGCATACGATGGGTAGGCGTCCAACATGCAGCCGCATTTAGGCCGAGATTGACACGTGGAATCCCAGGCCAATTACTGATGTGACGTCCAATGATGTTATATGCAATGGAGGGCAAGTAGCAACTCGAACTCCGTCCGCGCACTATATTGACCTGCATTTAGCCCAAATCCACTCAGAACCCCTCTTCCCAAGGACATCATCAATGTACGGATCTCCACTGCAGTCTACTTCGCATAGCAGCATACTGAATGTACACCGCAAATGCAGGTCAAAGCTGGCGATAAGCTCACCGCCGAATGGCATCATACCTTAGACAGCGGGAGTACTGGTGAAGCGCAAGATCCCATTGATAAGGGGCATCTCGGCCCCGTAATGGTGTACCTTGCCAAAGTAGACGATGCTTTGACTACCAAAGTCACCGGCCTCAAATGTGCGCTCCGAAGCTTCTCTTGCATGTTCTCCGTCTAAAAGTCAGCTAGGGTTTAAGATCTATGAAGATGGGCTCGATAGCAAGGGCCAGTGGGCGGTCACAAGGCTTTACAATAATAAAGGCAAAGTGAACTTCACTTTACCTTCATGCGTTCAGAGCGGCCAGTTGGTTTCCTATCCCCTGTATCACCGCCTTGATTCTCATACAAAATGTTGCAGATACCTCCTGAGAGCAGAACTCATTGCCCTGCACGGCGCCGCCAGTTACCCTGGAGCGCAACTGTACATGGAGTGTGCTCAGATTAACGTTACTGGGGGCGGCTCCGCGAATCCACCCACGGTTAGCTTTCCCGGAGCATACAAGGGGACTGATCCTGGCATCAAGTTCCAGCTCTTCTATCCAACCCCAACGACATACACAATCCCCGGCCCAACCGCCTTCAAATGCTAAAGGGCTCGAGACGAGGCTGATATAGAGTCTGGAACATAATTGGGGTATTGTCGTGTAATTGCAGAAGCTACCTGTGCTCTTTCGCATTTCTGATATTGAAGAAGCAAAGTAGTGTGGCGTTGACTAGCATTTTGGAAGAGTCTCGAAGCGTTCACATAGCGTCCACACATATAGGTTTACATACTCTAATATGAACCACTTTACAACAAATCCAGCCCGCACTATTGGCCCATCTTAAGTCTTTGCCACTATGCCCCTCGATTTTCCCCCTTACCCTGCATAAGCCCCACACGCCGGTGTTGGGTCACGTGCCGCCGTTCTTCATTGCACCCACTCGCCTGTTCTCCGCAATCCTCCCGACGACTTCCAACTCCGTTCTCAACCCAGGACCAACGACAACCTCCCACTTTACCCGGTTCTGATTAAATCTTAAAGAGCCGCTTTTTCCAAACGCAGGCCCGAAGATCAATATGCACGACGAACGTGAGTTCCCTTTCTCTTACCCCAGCAATCTTCTCCGTCTGTTTGGAGCCCCCACAACGCGCATTCAACCTTTACTACACTTCCACAAGTGCTTCTGGATGCGCACCGACTCCGAAGGATCCAAATGTTCGAATGCTATTTAATTGCCTTCCGATTTCGCTTTGGAAGACTAGAGCTGCTATGGACTATTCACTGTACCCCAATTTCCGTACCTGAATCCAGGCTACCTCGACCTACTCTCACACCACCTCCCCACTGCTCCACACCGACTGCTTTACCCCACAATGCAGCATTCGGATCTTTTTCTTCGTCCCCAGTACTGGTTTTCTGGTAGCACGGAGGCACTTGCAAGATTCTGGATGGGATATGGGGCTTGCATACCCCGCACTCCACAGAGCCGTACCGCTCCAACTCTACCATTTCTAACGCAGAACTCCGGATTCGGGAGAGGACCACCACGCCAAGGGTTTTCATGGGGATACAACTCCAAAGCACTATTTCCGGCGCAAACTCTAGATTTGAGAGAGCACCGCCATGCCTATACCTATACATTCACATCTTCAAGCTACGGTGTTTCCATTGAACATAAGCTAACATAAGCTACAACTAGACCCCCACCCCCTCCTCGCCCAAATTCCTCTAACAATATCCCCTTTCCTCTCCCTCCCAACCGCCACCCCGCTCCCCTACACCTACAAACAGCTCCCCTCAACCCTCCCACCTTCAATCCTCTCAAACCCCAACCCCAACCCCAATTCCAACCCTCCCAATGCCTCCGAACCAAACAACAACAACAACAATCCCACCTCCCAACCCACGCCGTCTCCCGCCTACGTATCCTCTGCCTCGGGCGACACAACTGCGACACCGGACGCGATTCTACAATCCTGTCTAGCACTGCAATCGCATCTCCGCACTCTCGAATCGTCTGCGCGAAACACATTGCTGGAATGGGAGGACGCGCGGAAGGCAGCGGATTTAGCGGAGAAGAGGCGCGTTGCGCCAGGTTGGTTGGATGCGGAGGTTAAGCTGTTGGTTCCTGAGAATGTGGCTGCGGGAGAGGCCCAGATACAGGGACAGATAGGCGAGGGGAGTATAGGGGTAGGAGCGGGAGGGAGACCGCCGCAGGCGGAACGGAGGACGAGTGTAGGCATCAAAGGGTTGATTGAGAGGAGAGATGGGGTTCCGGATCCGAGGGCGGGGGAGGAGTTGGATCGTGTATTTGGTGGGTTGGGTATCAAGTAAAGAGCTTCTTGCCTTCCTTTCTTTCAACTCGTCTTTTGAGGGGGGCTAATCGCCATGTACTTCGCTCCAAAAGAGGTACCTGCATTTCACCTATGGCTGTCTGAAGTCGGGAAATATACCAGATGGATGTGAATGTGGTATTATCTTCGTACTCTTTCGGAGGAAGTAATATCGATTTTATCTCCATCGATCTGAGCCGTCGGTGGATGCACTATATCAAATCCATAACTTTCATCTCAAGAGAATATCTCAAATATCAATTCACAGCACCTTAATGCGACCAGTCGCAACCCAAATCAATTAATCTACAAGTCCTAGAAAATGCCACTTATCTTCCATGTCCAGTTCAGACCTCTTTTCCATCCCAATCACAACAACCTATCCCCGAGCAGCACAGCCCATCCCACAACAACTCTGGGGTCATCTCACACCTCGAAACAAAGCAACCCAGCCAAGCGAACAAAAAACCCGTCGCAGCGCGACATTACAAACATATGGAAGAGAAAAGGAGGGGAATCTCGAAGGATAACATGTAGAGGAATAAAACTCCAGCGAGCCTTGGATCTGCATTTGAATTGTGACAACCACAACGCCCAGCCACGCTCTTGATGCAACTTAACGGCGGCCATGGGAGCGGTTGATGCTGCCCTGGAGATTGTCGACGTCCTGTTCGAGCTGTTTAATAACGGCGTGGCTCTGCTCCAAGTCCTTGTTGAGGCGGTCGCGCTCTGAGATGAGCTTCTGCTCCCACTGTCTGAACCGCTGCTCTTCGACCTTAACCTGCTCGGTGAATCGCTTTCGCAGGGCCTCTTCTTCCTCCTTGAACTTGGGGTTGTCCAGCTTCCGTGGACGAGCCTCGCCAAACTTCCTCGTCTCCATTTGTTGCGCGCGGTATGCCTCGTAGTGGTTCTCCTCGGTGGTGTGGATTAGGTCGAGCATGTGGGTTCGGATAAGGATGGCGCGGAGTTTCTTGAAGTCGCAGTGCTCCTCGTTCTCGACCTCGGCTACACCCCAGGCGTATTGTCGGCCCTTAACGGTGCGGCCATCATTGGTCTGGACATCCTTCTCTGAGCCAATAACGGAGAATGGCATGGCGGAGATGAGACCGCGGGCGTGGGCGAGAGCAGCATCGTCATCGTCCTCAAGTGGTGGCTGGTAGATTTTGATGCCCTGGGCCTCAATGACGGCGCGTACCTGATGTGCGTTAGTGCAGCCCAACTTGTTGAAATGCATCAACGTACCCTCGCCTTAAATTTAGCCAGGTCTGCGGGGCTCAACGTGTCCGCCTTGGCGACGACGGGGATCAAGTTCACGCGCGTGCAGAGCCTCTTCATGACCTCGATATCCAAAGGCTTCAACGTGTGTCCGGTGGGTCGGATGAAGTACAGACAAGCGTGGACGCGGAGGTCAATCTTGTCGCTGCGGCGCGGCTGTTGTTCCTGCAACATGTACGACTCATGCTGGTCGTCCAAAAACTCAATGATGGGCTGCCAGGAGTCGCGGTTGTTGACATAGTCGCCAAACCCAGGAGTATCGATGACAGTAAGGCGGACTGATGAAGTTAGCAACCACTGACTTGGCATTCAACGGCGGGCTGCATGAAAATAATACCCTTGAAGAACTTCTCCTCAAGCTCAGCCTTTGTGATCTCAATCTCAACCGTCTTGTCAATCTGCTTGTTGTGTCGGCGCTTGTGATCCGCGTAGGTCTTGATGGTGGTGGAGAAGAGGGTGTTGATGAAGGTGGTCTTTCCGAGTCCAGACTCGCCAGCGACCTGAAATGGTTAGATGATGTTCCCGTCTTGCCATTCGCAGTGTTCGGCCCATACCATTATCGTGAAGGCAGCACCGCGCTTTGCGACGATCTTATGGCTGTCGAATGTTAGGCTCAAACAGTGTGTGTGCGTTGGTCTCGGGCATACCGCTGGTTGGGCAACTGCGAGACATGTCAGTGCGGGTCTTAGATAGACTAGAAGTGGCGGGTACGTACATTGGCAATGCCAATTGGGGATGCGGATTCGGCCATGGTGTCTTTCTGCGCTCAGGCTGCTGGTTGAGGACGATGGGATCTAAGGCCGCCTGTTAGCTAGGGGCAAGGAGGCAAGTCCGAGGCAGGTGCAGTCGGAGGATTACCGGAAGATATCCGTCTGGAGGGAGTCGATCAGCCTCGTGATAGCGGCGGTATACTGATGGCGAAGGTTCTTGGGGAGGAGAGGAGTCGGAGGTGGTGTTGGATAATTTGGCGTCCCCTTTCTCTGCACGACTCTCTTCGGCAAGCACTGACCCTGAACGGGGAAAGCGCGCTAGCTTGTGTGGCCCGAGCTTCCTCTCACGAAAAAAAGTTCACGATATAGAAATGTCACGAGCGCCCCCACAACCAAAAAGATGCGGTAGTTTTGTATTGTCAAAATGAAGACTGAGTTCCAGGTGAGATGCAATGCGGCTAGAATTCCTGCCAAGATTATCCGCTAAACAGCGCTGATAGTTCTCCAATCTGCTGGGGACCGTGTACAGCAGAGGCAACCTTCTCTTCACGCCAGACGGAACATGTCTCCTCTCTCCTGTCGGGAACAGGGTCTCAGTATTCGATCTAGTAAAGTAATTGCTATATGTTGCTGCACCCTACGTGAAATTTCTGGCTCATGTCGACTCCAGCTCCAAATCACACACCCTTCCATTCGCGCATCGACGGAACATCGCCCGACTCGCACTGAACCCTCGCGGAAATCTCCTCCTATCGATCGATGAAGACGGCCGCGCCATCCTTACAAATGTGCCCCGCCGAGTTGCCCTCTATCACTTCTCCTTCCGAGGCGGGGTCTCTGCCCTTGCATTCGCTCCTTCCGGGCGACATTTCGCAGCCGGAATAGGAAGGCAGGTTGAAGTATGGCATACCCCTTCAACACCTGACGTGGCAGGTGGAGACCTGGAGTTTGCGCCGTTCGTCAGGCACAGAATATACACGGGCCATTTCGACAGTGTGCAGAGCATCGAATGGTCGGCCGATTCGAGGTTCTTCTTGAGCGCTTCAAAAGACCTGACGGCGCGGATATGGAGCATGGACCTGGAGGAGGGTTTTATGCCAACTACACTCGCAGGCCATCGGCAAGGAGTTGTGGGTGCATGGTTTTCTAAAGATCAGGAAACGGTGGGTACGAGTGCCGGCTCCCAGTCGCAAACCCAGTGGCGCTGACCTCTTTCAGATATACACGGTTAGCAAAGATGGCGCTCTCTTTGTTTGGAGATATGTGCTACGTCCCGAAGCACCTTCTGGGGCAGGCGATGACGACGAGAATTGGCAGTGGAGGATTGCCGACCGGCATTACTTCATGCAGAATAATGCGCATGTGACATGCACTGCATTTCACCCGGAGTCCAAGTTACTCGTCGCTGGATTCTCTAACGGCATCTTTAGTATCTATGAATTGCCAGAGTTCAGCCAGATACAGAACTTGAGGTGTGTGTATGCCAGCCTACATTATCGAGTCTGCTAACCCCTCCAAGTATATCGCAGAACGATATTGACTTTGTCGCAATAAACAAGACTGGAGAATGGCTTGCCTTCGGTGCTTCGAAATTGGGCCAGCTATTGGTCTGGGAATGGCAGTCCGAATCCTACATCCTCAAACAGCAGGGACACTTCGATTCGATGAACTCCATCGCCTACTCGCCCGATGGTCAACGCATCATTACAGCTGCAGACGATGGAAAGATCAAAGTCTGGGACGTGAATTCTGGCTTCTGTGTCGTCACTTTCACTGAGCACATAAGCGGAGTCACAGCGTGCGAGTATGCGAAAAGGGGTAACGTTCTCTTCACAGCAAGTCTAGATGGATCAGTAAGAGCTTGGGATTTAATTCGATATCGCAACTTCCGAACATTCACAGCTCCTTCAAGGCTCTCTTTCTCCTCACTGGCGGTCGACCCAAGTGGCGAAGTCGTCTGCGCTGGATCCATTGATTCCTTTGATATTCACATTTGGTCTGTTCAAACAGGCCAACTTCTCGACCGACTGTCCGGCCACGATGGACCTGTGACGTCCTTATCCTTTGCGCCCGATGGCGGCACCTTGGTCAGTGGAAGTTGGGATCACACCGTTCGTCTGTGGAATATCTTCGCGCGAACACAGACGAGCGAGCCGCTACAACTTATGGCGGACGTCCTCTGTATCGCGTTTCGTCCCGACTCCAAACAGATCGCTGTTACCACCCTCGACGGTCAACTAACGTTCTGGTCCGTATCCGAAGCCACACAACAAGGCGGGATCGACGCCCAGCGCGACGTTTCTGGTGGTCGTAAAATGACTGACCGTCGAACTGCGGCAAATCTCGCCGGCACTAAAAGCTTTACATCTGTTCGATACAGCGCTGATGGAACCTGCGTCCTTGCCAGCGGTAACAGCAAATACATATGTCTCTATGACGCACAATCCGGCGTTCTGTTGAAGAAATTCACTGTCTCTGTCAACCTCTCCCTCGACGGAACCCAGGAATTTCTCAACAGCAAACTCCTTACCGAAGCCGGACCTCGCGGCCTTATCGACGAGCAGGGCGAAGCTTCGGATCTCGAAGACCGGCGCGATGACACACTTCCCGGCGCGCAGCGGGGTGACGCAGCGCGGAAAACTCGACCAGAAGTGCGAGTACCAGCGGTAGCATTCTCGCCTGCTGGGCGAGCGTTTTGCGCTGCGAGCACAGAGGGCCTGTTAATCTACAGTCTAGACACGGGCTTCCAATTCGACCCCTTCGACCTTGATATCACCGTAACGCCCTGCAGCACCCTTTCTACCCTCGCTCAGAAGGAATACCTCAAAGCACTAGTCATGGCATTCCGCCTCAACGAACAAAACCTCATCCGCCGCGTCTATGAAGGAATCCCCGTCTCAGATATCTCCCTCGTCGTCAAGAATATCCCGACCGTCTACCTCGGCCGCTTACTCCGCTTTGTCGCGGTCCAGGCGGACGAGTCTCCCCATCTGGAATTCAATCTGCTTTGGATTGAGAGTCTTCTAAGTAGGCATGGTCGGTGGTTGAAAGATAATCGAGGCTTGGTAGAGGCTGAGGTTAGGCAAGTAGAGAAGTGTGTGAAGAGGATTCAGACCGAGTTAGTGAGGTTGGCGGATGAGAATATTTATCGGATTGAGTATTTGTTGAGTCAGCCGCGAGAGAAGATAGAGGAACCGAGTGCGTTGGCATTTGAGATGGAGGCAGGAGGAGATGGGATGGAGGTAGAAGAAGAAGGGGATAGTGGGGACGAGTGGATGGGGATTGACTGAGCGAGGGGGCCTACGTATCTGCTCTCAGTCATATCATCCGAAGGCGTTAGTTTGATGCCAACATGGATTTTTAGGTCTCTCTCAATGCCTTTGACTCACCATCTTGCAATGCGCTACACTGGAGTACATGGATACAAAGACGATACGCTATTTTGATTCCAGGGGTTACAAGACAGGATCAAACACCCCTTCTACGACTTTTTGCATTAGTCATTACGACAGAGAGTTTCTCACGAGATCACACTCTCGGGCTACAAAACTAATCGCACCGAAAGAATAATATACAACGCTTCCTGGCAAAAGTTGCAACAGCTGTATTTGTGCAAGCCCGTGGCAAATCTCTCTTATCTATGTACTTGACCAACACTAAACCCAGTGTTCTGATTCTGCCTCACTTTATATCTCAAGATATAGCCCTATACCAACTCCCCACCGCCATCCGCCTCCCCTCTTTCCACCTACAGCATTCTCTCGGCCCAAGCCTTAAAACCCCTCTTCTCACCCCTATTCTCTCTCCCGTCCTCCTCACCCCCACTTCCCTCCATAGAAACACCCTCAATATCATACCCCTGCTCTTCATATACCTGATCTGGCAACACCGCCTTATCAATCATCGACTCCTTGGGCGGGAACGCATACGCCAAACCCACATACACAATACTCGTTCCCACAAACCCAAGCAGCCAGCCAAACTGGTACGGATGGACTCCCACACCAACGTCGATGTTGCTATTAATCGAATTGATAAAACCCGGGAGGTTAGGGGCGACGCCAACGAGAAATGCGATGACGGCGCGGAAGTTGACGCCGCCGGTATAGCGGTAGATAGAGTGCGGTTGGTACAGTGCGAGGGTGTTGTATTTGCGGTGGTGGATCAACCAGAAATCCCAGACCATGATCGCAGCAATAGGCCCAAGGAAAACCGCATACGCCGCCATGAAATTAAGAAAACTTCCTGCGGATGCCAAAATCTTCCATGGTACAAGCGCCCAGCATATCACTGCGCACAGCAGCTGGCCTCTTCTAATATTAACGTATTGCGGGAATAGCGCTGTGAGGTCGTTAGCAGCCGAGAGGGAGTTAGCAGAGATGTTGACTCCGAGGGCGGCGAGGGCGAATGAGAATGCAGCAAAGAAACGACAGGACCGGGAGGTCCAGTTAGCGATGAGAGCCATGGGGTCCCACTGCAGGGTGCCGTAACGGACGGCGCCGGCGGAGGAGGCGGCGATGCCAATGAAGGAGATGAAGGTGAATATTATGGGGAGCATGGGGACGTAGAGGAGTTGCCATTTTACGGAGACGCGGGAGTAGCGGGAGAAATCGGCCTTGTTCGAAGTATCAGCGAATTGCAGTCACCCTTGAACTCACTTAAAGATGGCTGGAAAGGGAAGCGGGTAGGGAGGGAAGGATTTAAGCTTACTTGATTCACAGAAAGTGTAGCATAATTCCCAATAACTGAGGTGAGCGAGGACAAAAAGGCCCATGAATACGCACTCCCATGAATCGTCGCTTTCTGATCAAACAGACTTCCCCCCTCTGTCGCCACAAACGCCCAGATCAGGATTGCGACCCAGGCAATCGGCACAATAACACTCTTCACCATGAACAACCACCGCAAATTGTTCGGATGCATGTACAAAAAAGGAATCTGGATCAGCCAGAACAAGAAAAAACAGACCATGGTATTGGTCTCAATGCCTTGAGACGCGGGGATATGGTTTGGGAGAGTGAGAAAGGAGGGCCAGATGGCGCCTAGCATGACACGGATTGTGTTGGCGCCGTTCATGGTTTGGATGGCGAACCAGAAGATGGCGAGGATGGCGCGTGAGATGATGGCGATGTAGGAGCCCCAAAAGCCCCAGGAGGCACGAGCTAGGACGGGGAATGGTGCGTGGTCTGGCATGTGTTAGACACCTTCTGTTTCTTGGACAGAGGACTTTATTTAGGTGCAGATGTAGGGAGGCGTACGAATAACTCCAGTAGCGCCATTCAGCGCAATAACGAAGGAAATGATGAAGAAGCCAAGGGCTACGACCCCGAGAGATTCTCTCCATGTAAGGCCTATGTCAATTAGCAAGGCTTCTTCAATCTACACAATTATAGAAATCTCCTACCAATGGCAATGATGCCCGAGGCGAATTGCCAGGTGGCAGCGCTAAAAATGCCAATCAGTCACCCATTCCTGTGGAGTTGTAAATCTATTCAGTGGCCCCTACTTGAAAGCATCAGATATCCAATATGCTATGATTGAGGTCACCCCCCATTTCCTTGCATGTCGAGGTACGGGGTCTAAATCTTTGTTGGTCCTAAAAAGTCATCAGTACTCAGTCACATCATCAATATCAAGACTCGATTAAGCTCTCAAGCCCAACAGCTTGAAACAATTCCAAAGCCTACCATCGCGCATTCCCCTCCGCAAACGCCGACTTTGGCTGCTCGACCTTGAGATGCGGGCGCTCAAACACTGGCATGGTGAACGTTAACCGCCAAAAGACCCAAACGGGACTAGCGTGGGTGGAGTTTCGTTCACGATTCTTTCTCTATGCAGGTGGAAACCGACGACCTTTTGTAGGTTGTAAGTCGCACAAGAATGGATCCGTCCCACCGTCTTGGGAAGTTGTCTGTCGAACTATCATACAAGTGCTATCGCGGCCAAGCTCCACAGTCCATGTTCGTCGGTAAGATAAGCTTTTGCCGTAAGTGATTCTGCCATACGAGGCTGATGGCCACACACCAACAAATCAAAATTCACCCAGAAACATCAACCTCGGGACGGTTGACACATCTCGACCGCGAGCCAACGCGATGTGCAAAACGCGTCTGAAAACTTTCGTAAGATCTGTCCATTGTCATTCGACACGGGTGCAGGAGAGATAAGATACCCTGCGACGATCGTTGCGCCGTTCATCATTAAACCCTGCACGACGGGATACACTTCCCCAGATCATCGAAGTCAGCATTTGGCTGCCGCGAGGTTCCCCACGCGACAGTGACAAGTGACAAGCACAATTTTGTACTCTATTCACAGGTCCAGGCAACTGCATAGATTTTTTATGTCCCAGGGCCCTTTTACTTAGGTCGAGAGCAAGACTGTGAGAACGAAGGGAGATGGGCATGAGCGGGGGAAAGGTGCAGGCCAAGCGCTAAATGGAGGCGAGGCTACCTAGGTGCGGCGAGATGGACTTCTAGAATTCCATGGCGAGAGGGTCGAGGTCCACATGTCGGAGCCACCCGCTAATATGTCCCGCGTCAACCTCGTGTCCTCGCGTGGGCATGATATGATGATACACAGCCTTCTTCGGATACTGCACGACAAGCCGACAATGGGCAGAATGTCAAAGGAGAGCCTGCTGATCTGCATTGAGGTCAAATATATCGGACCCTTAATTGCCCTTTCATAAGCGAGAGAAATTCATGATCAGAGTTGTTTTGACAATTGAATCCTACATATCAAATCCTGCAGGTTCAGTCCTTAGTCAAATGTAAGCCAGCGTGTGATCTTCCCGGAAGGTACCTAGTGCTTAGTCAGTAAGCTATTTTTGTTTTGTGCACCGCTTTACACACCATTCAAACCCAAACATGTCTCTCCGCCAGCAACTGAAGCACCCGTAACTACGACCTCACCAGCACACTGGTCATCTGTCGTCCTATGGGATAAGGTATCTTTCAGTTTCACTTCTACACAGCTAAGGGGAATGCCGAAGTGGCTATGTTTATTGGCCGGCGTTGTTCCTCGTCGGTAATCATAGATGTTAGTCTGTGCAACCGCTCCCGCAACTTTTGCTGCAGTCAAGGCATATACGACACGTGCACTTGTATAAATGCGGAGATCCGAGAGGTCAGAGGAAGTCAGAGGAGGAGTGTTTTGTCCAGCTCGCTCTGAGACATAGAGAAGCCGCAACTTTCCAGGAGTAGTTCCGACAGACGCTCTTGTTGGGGCATTGAGGCGTGTGAAGAATGTATCAGTTGGCATTCGTCCTGAGATCAGAACTCGTGTCTCTAGGTAATGCACAAGCTTCTTGAGGCCGCTTGTGATCGAGGCCGTCGTAGTGCTATGCAGCTTGATGGCAGTTTCCGCGGAGACGACAGCAATGGTAGGAGCAATAGTTCGGGTTGCCAAGGTAAGGTCGATGCCAGGACCGGCTACTGAGTTGACGATGACTGTGGCATGTGAAAACAACGCAGCCAGTGTGAGGCACAAGCAGTACGAGTGCGTGAAACTGTCTGCCGGAAGAAACAAGTCGGAGGGGCTCATGCGCTGTGCTCCAGGTAAAGATGAGATGAGAGCACCAGTAGCCGCGCAGATGTTCTATGACTGTATTAGTATTGCAGGGAGGCTTTGGGAGGATCGAGAGAACTCACCTGTTGTGTGAATTCTACAATCTCAACAGACTTGGAGACGCCTTCCTGCCACAGGAAAACCATACTGGGAGCCTTGGCTGCATCTTGAGGTAGCTCCAACGTGCCATTCTTCTGATCCTGTACCAACTGGTGCCACACCGACACATCGATTTTGCCTCCAATACCCTCCGGTACTTCATTCCAATCCATATGCCTGCTCGTCTTTTCCACTGTCCAGATAACCTGGCGAAGACCCGAGACTCCTCTGGTTACATCAGCCAGGGGAAGAGACCCAGCCTCGGCGATCAATGAATCGGCACCAGTCCGAATGAGTAGCTCGATAAGGGCAGGATGGGGTTGGTTGTATGGGATCAAGACGGGAGAGAAGCCATAGAATGCCGCTGCAAAGAGAGCAGCCAGAAACTCGACGCTGTTCGGCAGGTAGATGGCGACCTTCTTAGCTCCGTGGGACTGCAAATGCTTTCCTATGATGGTGATCTCTTTGGTAATGTCCGCAATGCTATGCTCGGTGATGCCCTCTTTTCCGAACACGGTCATGATCTTTCCGGTTGCACTCGGCTTTCCGCCTAGCGCTCCGGTCGAAGCAGCATTTTTCTCAAGCGGTATCTCGCCCGTGACACGGCGCCAGATATCCCGAAGGTCGCCATCTCTGCCAGCAGTATACAGAGGAGCTCCTGGGGGCTTGACCGCAAGTCCGGTGCGGAGAGGATCTAAGAACCGTCAGTTATACAGGGCAGGAAGCTTAACAAGACGAGCCATACAGCCATGAGGAGTCTCGGGAGACCTGTAGATGGCAGACTCTCCAGGCTGCCTCACATAAGAAGCCTGGGATTGTCGCGCAAGGAGCAGTGGGTGGGTGTCAGCATCCTGGGTATCATAGACAACCCAGCCAACGAAGCCCAGAATCCCAACAAGGAGAATAGTGGAAACGGTATTCCAGCCGGAGAGAAGTTGGGCAATTTGCACGTCAAGCTGCTCGACTATTCCCACCATGGCTGCAGCAGGAAAAAGCAAAAAAGGAGGCCAGGAAGAGCGAAAGTGGAAGCGAAAGTGGAAGTGAAAGTGAATTGCGGACCGTTGGCAGCCGTGTGGGGTGAAATGACGCGGGCGCAGACCCCCGACGACGGCTTGGCGCCAAGCCAGTTGGTCGTGAAAACAATGCATGGTAGTTTGGCTACCTTTGCTAACAACGTCGCGACTTTCTCCCAACGGCCATGTCTTCATAGCGGCCAGCTGTTCAAGCGTGCTAACTAGCAACTAACCAACAGGAGCAGCATACACCCCTTACCAGAAAATCCATCTCACCGCAGCCCCTGGCAGCCCGCACCTGCAGTCCATAAACAGTCTGTTAACTGTCGAGAGCTCTCCAGGACGGTTCCTGCACGCTCGAGGGCCCATCATGGCAGCCCCCGCAACCCCCTCACTCCCCGTCACGCCCGCTGCCCAGAGGCAAGAGCAGCCTACCCCAACTGGCAAGTGGAGGCATCCCAAGTTCAACGAAATCACCCGCCGACAGTACGCCACGACCTTCGATGAGCGCAACGTCCGCCAGCTCGTCATCAATGGCCTGCTCCTCACGGGCTCATTTTCCTTTTTCTCGGTGCTCAGCCAGCTCGTGCTTCTGCGTGCAATTGCGTGCGGCCACCCTTAGAACTCCGAAATTTCCAACGCGAGCTAACCGGCTTCTCTAGCAACGGCGTCTCGAACTTCATAAGCAAGATGCCCTACAATGCTTGGTACATCTGGGTAATCCGATTCCTATTTGTCGCGAATATGATCATCGCCCTGATGCCCCTCATCCGCCGCTACTACCCCGACGAGATCGTCGACATCCCGCTCACCCCGTCCCAGCGACAGGCAATGGGTCTTGATCCCAACGTCTCTACCCCCCACACTCCCGGATCAGCGTATGCCTCCCCGAACTACGTCACTCCGCCACGCTACCAAAAGTCCACCCCGCGAAGTAGCTTCAGCGCTCCCCACTCGCCTTTGTCAGGTAGCCCGGCTGCACTGGGAAAGTCAACGTCGAACTCCCCCTTCTCCCCGAGTACAGGAAGCCCGTTATTTCAGAAGGCCGTGGGTGGTGGGTCAGCAACGAGGAGGCTCAGTTACGACAGCAGGGGAAGTCCTATGAGCGGCAGCTTCTTCGGAGAGAGCAGCTCCAGCAACGTGCCAGGAACGCCGACGCCCGGAATGGGGAAAGCGAGCGTGGGACTGAACAACAAGTGGTTATACGAGAAGAGGAGGGACAGCCCGAGCAGCAAGCTTTTCAACTGACCTCCGGGATGTGATTCGGGGATCTCATGAGTGTTGGTGGACATGGCTAATGAGTTAGCCCTTTTATACCCGAATATATTGCGTAGGCGTAAAACGGGCATACGAATTTCCATGCGTCAGAGCAGGCTATTCATGGATTTCTACATCACTCTCCTGGCATTAGAAAGGGTTCTTTTGCATAATACAACTGCAGAGAGTGAGATTTCCATTGCTCTGCTGTGCTCTACCCATCCATCCAATCTCCAACCCAAAAAACCCCAAGTCGTCCCTCGTGAACCCTATATATACAGCATGATGGGCCCCTCTCCCCGCAAGCATCCGTCTCACGATTCGAGGGTAGAAAAGCGTAGAGAGTGGTGGCCTTTTAGCTAAATCGATCCCCTTTCCTCGACCTGAACACATCACTTGCCTCATATTTGCTCTTCTCCCTCATCTTCTGCGCTTCATCCTCAGGTGCATGTCTCGTCGGCGCGGGGTCATGGCTCGCCTCCTGGCTGGGATTACACGCCTCTTCCATCTGCGTATGCCAGTCCTTATCCTCCCTCTCCTTCCCCATCTCCATCTTCCGCTTTCCGAGCTCGTTACTCACACTCCCGGGTGTTGATGAAACCCGTGTGTTTGTAGACGATGAGGATTGGGAGTTCGGCGGGTTTGGAGGCCGAGTGCTGGGACCGGGGGGAGGGAAGTGCGCGGCTTCTAGTTGGGCGTGGTAGATGCGCTTTTGTCGGTCGGCTTCAGCTTTTGCGGCGCGGTCAGCGTTGATTGATTTTTTGGCAAAGTAGTATGCGCCGCCGCCGGCTACTATTAGGGTGGCCCAGCCGTAGCTACAAAGTAAGATGTTAGTCCCAACCGTTCTTTGGAGGATTACAGTCTTGAGATCAGGTGCGAAAGTTGTCCGCGGGAGCTTGGGTACAGGGACAATTTGGAAAAGGCGAGTGTGCGGTGAAGTATCTAGGTGTGACCGAATTTGGGGACGACGCTGTATGCGAGGAAGACAGGTATCCGCGCATGAGATGAATGACTGGATAGGCTAGATGAAATGAGAGTAAGCGTATGGGTGACGTACTACACAGATTTTATCTGGGGCTTTGTGAGCTGTGCGTCATCACGGCGCGGAAAGATGAAGCTTACAGTGTTCATTTTGACAGGTTGTTGAAATCAAATAAGCGCTCAATTGAGGCGGTGAGGAGGTTTAGTGGATTAAGACGGTGGCGCGATGTTGAAGTTCTGGACATTTCGTAGGGCTGGCGGAGTTTGTTCGGTGATGATGAGACTAGCCTCGGCGACGTTCGCAGAGGAGGCTCCAGTGTGTCCAACAACCACCTCTCTTCATTCAGTTTCAAAACTACCCATCATCATTTTCGTTGCTAAGTGCCAAGTGTCCTTTGCTCAGCACTCCACTACCTCTACTTCATGGGGAAGGGACAGCCAAGGCACTCACCACCTGGTACCGAGTGGCTGCACGCCGGTCAAACTCTGTCTCCCGCTGCTGTCTATCCGAACATTCTCTGGCCTAGTCGAAGGCGAGCGGGTGAACGTGTGACTCATGCCACCACCATCCCAATGAGTTTCCCATGTCTGGCGTTCGCTTTTCCAACTTTTCGTAACGGCCTCTGGGTTCGTGAAGCCTCCGAAGCCACAACACCACTCCACACCGATAAGTATCTCTTAGCGGCACGAGAGCGAAGACGTGGTTGCTTCATGCTCTCGCCCCTTGGAGAAGTAGCCCATGGTCTCAATTGTGCCCGCCTTCGTCGTTCTTCTCAAGTAAGTGGGAGATTTGTACCCGAGCTGGTCCATCGTCGCAGTTGCGCCAACGGCGACAGCTGTTAGTTAGCCTGTGCATCAAGATCTGCGGGTGACTTCACGCTTTTCGTACAGTTTCTATCCCCGAGAAGCATATCTTAGCGATGCTGTTTTACTTGATGCATTCTACCCTCGTCCAAACCCCTCCCCTGGTCATACACGTCGATATTAACGCCGTTTTATTTAGCAGAGCCGCAAAGGCCCAGCTATGAGGCCTCACTCATTTTAGCCTTTTGCAACCGACGATTCTGAAGCACTTCGAAACCCTGATTTCCTCAACAATCTCATCACACCACAAGGATCTCGAAAATTATCACATCATTTTGGCGCATTCAAGTTCGGAAGGTAGTGAAAGCTTGCCGTGTTAACATTTGCTTGTGAGAATATTCCACCGCGGGGAGGGATCCCATTGGTAAATAGTTGTTGCATCAAGCGACAAACCCCCATTTGCTCGTGCTAACTCGGCTTGTAAGTCGTAAAATCGGAAGTGTTAGGGATCGACGATTATCGATACAGGCTCGCCTTCGATCCTCAAGTGTCCAACACCACAAGCACGAGCTTTGACTCCAAGAACACTTGGCATCAGCCACACCATGACCCGATGAACTTCTGTGTTGGCCTAGCAGGGACGCTCTTCTGTACCTGCAGTCGGATAGCGTATCTTCGGTCTGAGCGATGAGCATGTTAAACACGCCAGGCGAGCAGTTCAACCAGGAACACCCTGGGAATATCCGTGTCCACAGCGCAGAACATTCACGCCTCAGCTGCAGGACGTAATACGAAGAATAGGACCCAAAGGTATCAAAACCGTTGGCATCGAAACGTAAGTGTACCTTGTCATTATCTTCCTTTTCTTTGCTTCTCACATAATTATAATCCCCAGGAGATTCTCAGGGTGTCCATTCTCTTTCGCTCGCATTTCGGCCTTGAAATCCTTTTTCGAAGGGTCTACGTTTTCAGTAGAAACTGAAGAGGGCAGCATGTTAGCTCTCCAAGATCACCTTCACAACTTGTTCTTTCGGGTTTCTTCTGGTACTTCGGGTACCTCTGCATGATGGGGTTTCGCCTCCAGGAACGCTCCGACCCAACTTAAAGTTCAAGCGCGAAGCCAAAGATGTCTCTCTGCTGTCAGTGTATTTTCCAGATCCTTCGCCGCCGAACCGAGATACGCCCTCCGAGGTAGAGGCGCTTATGACAGGCTACAAAGACGGCCTTGTGGCTGAAGGGCCAGCTTTGCACACCTTGCTAGTGCCAAGAAGTCCCGCACACGGACATTTTAAACGCCCCGGTAGTGCTCTGCCTCCGGTATTGCGACAGCCTTCTCGCTTGGAGTGTTGGCAACTTGGCATTTGGACATGCCAGAATTTCTGCCAGCCCATTCCCCTTATGTTAAGGTCGAAGGCGCCCATGGGCTTTCAAACCGAATCCGAAGGGACGGTAAGCCAATACTGTGATCGTGTACCGAAGTCGGTTCATCCCACTCCCGCACGTCTCATCAAGCTCTTCCCCTCATCGAGCTAGCAGGGACCGCGAAACTCCAGACAACGTCAACGACCAGGGCGAGCAAGGCACCCGGGTGAACACCCGGGCCCCCGTGAAAGTAACGACGCGACAGCGGAGAAAAGGGTTCTTGCTCGAGGTACCTTGAACTGCTTGAATCGCAATGGGATTGACAGCCTCTCACTTCTCTTCGTAAGGCTGGACTGACACTGCACGCATGAAGCCTGTCAAACCTTTCACACGCGAGTATACAGGGCAGAGGTCATTTAGAAAGCTTAATGTGCCAACAGTGCATGAAAAGGAGCGCACAGAAATGAGAGATGAGGCGTCTTTGGCTGTTCAGAGTACGAACCTAATTAACAGGCAACATTAACCCCTTCCACCCCGGCATCAGGCGCGCAGTGGAAGAGCTGATGGCTTGCAGTGATGCGCAGGAAGTTGGGACACGGATAAGTGGAAGCACCGTGCAAAGCTCGTGCCAAATCCCCGGATTCTGGCATGACTCCATTCACCAATGAGCTTCTTCTTTTAGCTCCTGGGCATTAGGCTAAAGGAATCACTAGCCGATCCGCGCACTCCTCTGCCGACCATCAGACAAACTTTTTGGGGTGTGCCCCGGGAAGAGCATGGGGCATAACAGTGGCCTTGATGATGCGCGAGCGCGGACGCAATCCATTGCTGTCAAATGAACACCCACCAAACTTTAAATTCAAGATCTGGCTATTTCGAGCTTGCCACCCGTCCCAGCTCGTTCCGGAAGGCGAGGATCATGGCATCCAAAACGTCGAACACAGGTCGGCTGCGAGTCAAGGGCGAGCCACATCACCCTACCCCAGATGGGGAGAGTTGAAACCCTTTTTGGAGTGAGTGAGTCTACATATCTTAAGGCCCGCATAGCGGGAAACCAGTCCCGTCTGAACTACGTCAAACCCCATCAAGACTGATTACTTGTACTCAGTCTTGCTCATCTCTGTGTTCTTAGCCATTCCTTGTCATTTACTTGTCAGACTGCCTTCAATATGGCAGGCCTGCCGCCAATCAAGAAACCACCAGGTCCAGATATCAGCTCTGCACCTAAACTGCTAGGTATCACTGGAGGATTGTACATCGTGGCACTGCTTCTTTACGGTGGCCGCATGTACACTCGTTTACGACCAACTCCACGATTAGGATGGGATGACTACACTATTACTGCCGCTCTAGTACGCCCAAACTCTTCATCCTCACAAGAATCCCATTTACTTACCTTTTGTTCCCTTCACTAACTCCATTCATCCAGATACTGGCTCTCATAGAGTGGTCACTGTTCACAGCTTCCGTTTCATACGGAGCTGGTCGACATAATTACTATGTCCCTGCCGACAAGCAGATTCCCGCCCAACATTTGCTCTTCTCGTCAACAGTACCATGGGCAGCCTCGATGATGTTCATCAAAATCAGCATCGCCTGCATGCTTCTCCGAATCAAGCGCACAAGACCCTGGATCATCTTCCTCTGGACGATGATTGCAATCCAAATCGCCTCATGTGTCGCAAGTTTAGTATTTCAGTTGGTTCAGTGTAGGCCTCTTGCGGTAATTTGGAACCCAGCAGCCCATCCGAATGCTGTATGTACGAAGCCAGAATCCGCCTTTATCAGTATATACGTCAATTCATCAATTGCGATTGCCACCGACCTCACATTCGCCGTTCTCCCGATTACCTTCATTCGCAAAATGAACCGACCACTTCGAGAGAAGCTTGTCCTTTCTATTCTAATGGGTCTTGGTGTATTCGCCGCAGCAGCCAGCATCGTGAAAACGACTCTAGTCAAGAACTACGGGATCACGGGCGACTCTCTCTGGGACGCCATTGACCTGACCCTCTGGTCTATCCTCGAAGAACAAACAGGGATTATCGCAGCCTGCATCCCGTGCCTCAAATCTCCATTCGAAAAAGTTCTAGGTCGCATGGGACTTCTTTCCTCAAAAGGCCGCACGGCCTACGGACGAAGCGGCTACCAAAACTACGGCCAGAGTGGCAGCAACGGACATCAACTTTCTAACCTACGATCTAACCGAACTGGTGTCGGAATGTCCTCTGGCAAAGCAAGTGACGCCCAGAGCGAAGAGAGTATCCTCCACTCGGACGACGATAAAGTGTTCACACAGGCAGCGGGTGGGAAGATTGTTAAAACGACGGAACTGCATTTTAGCGAAGAGGAAATTCCAAAGGTCGAGAGAGAGGACCTGGATCCAATGGAAAGGAAGAAGGCAAGTGGGAAGTGGCATGCTGTCTAAGGATGGATGCACTTATCCGCGATTGGATTTACTGCGAATGCGACTGCGATTGCGATTCGGTTGTGGCTTTACGACGATGCAATTACTATACCCCGGTGTGTTTTAATATGCTACGAGATGCCATTTGGCGTTGAATGTTGGCATATGGAGTTGGAGTTGAATTTTGCGAAAAGAGTAACCATACGGCGGGCACTGTATCGGCATTTTACTCGCCGTCGCTACCAGATATGAGCCCAAAAAGGAGTATGACATCTGTCTACTTCGCGCAGTTGTTCACATTTGTATGATTGTTTCAACATTCAACAAGAGGCCGTTCGTAACAAAACGTCCCTGTATGACTAGTATCTAATTCAATGAACCAAGTTCCAAACTCGCCTTCCCAGACCCCAGGCTCACGGACACTGGAAACCCAGCCCAGCCCAACCCAATCCAATCCCGGAGACACGCCTGGAATTAGCGTTGTAAAACGGATTGTGCGTGCACTCCCTTCCCCTCTCTCGATCCTTCCGCTCTCAGGCCCAAGAATCAGTCGCCCATCCGATCGTATGGTCGATACAGGACGCCCAAGTTCTCTCGGTCGCGCCACCGAAATTACTCACGGTACCCAGCATCATCCATTGCTAGCACGCGACAATCAGGATGCACATAGCGACACAGAGCCTCTGCACCTAAGATGACAGGTGCAGGTGTTTTGAGTTTTCGAGTTCGTGTCTCAAACCCAGGCTTGTCCCTGCCTCTGCCTGCCGGCTTGCGGTGCGGCACAGCGGCCGGGCAAAGATAACAAGTTCGGCTTCGGTTCGGAGGTTCTTTTTCTGTGGTTGCTGCGTCGTGTTCGGATCGGGCGAACGCACCGAGGGCTTGAGCAGTGGATGGATATTGGACTGGACCTGCCGAGGTGTGATGTGACACTTCACCACTGGCAAGCGGATAATGGTGCGGGCCGCTCGCTCATCGGTGAGTTCTGCAAGTATCGGCTGTCTGAGAGGTTGCTCAAGAAACTCTTCTCCGGTATACTACGCTAGCTACACGGTGCCTTCCCGCACTGCATCTTAACTACTTGTGCACTGTACTCCGTATTGTCAGATGAGTTGCTAGAGTCTCCAGAGTTTGTCTGGCCCAATTACATAACGAATCTGCTTCAGAATTTCACAACGCTCGCTCGTTCATTCACGAGATGAAAAGGTGAGGGGACATGGAATGCAGGGGTGGCGCCGGGGAACCACTGCACCGGGATTCTGTGGCGGACATCCGAAATTTTAAATTTTGAAGAGGAAGGTGCACGAAAGGCAAGTAAATCGGTCCGTGTGTATCCCTCAACTAAGGAGATACTTTGTAATGTTGCAATTCTGTACAGAAGCTGCAGACATCCGATGCACGCCAACCGTTACGGAAAGTCTCCGACGAGTCCAAATCAGCGACCGGTGAGTTGGAACAGTATTTATTAGTAGGAGAGAAATTGCAGACGGGAACGACTCGCGATAGAAACTCATGCGAGAGGGCTACGCCTAGTAGAGTCGGAGCACTAGGAAGGTTTAAGGGGTTATTGTGAATTGTGACAGAAGCGCGCCAAGGGGAATGGCAATGTGTTGAACCCAAAGTACTGGTAACGAGCTACGGAATGGCTTTACGATGGCGCTGGCAAAGTTGTCCATCTCATGCCTTTCGTACGACTAACGTGCAGGAAAGCGAGACCGACAGGGCGTAATGTGCGATGATGAGGTTAGGTGCTCTGAAGAAGTGAAGTCCTCACTGCATTCAATTGTGAAAATGACTGCATATACGCAACACCGCACTCCTGTGAAAGTTCAGCAAAATAGAGTTTAGCCTTCGTTCCCAGCCTACCTCACCTGACTTCGAACACCTCCATTCCCCTTCAGCGAATAACTGGGACGAAAACAAGAATTATGGCATCACCAACTAATGTCTTAAATATTTATCGACCACCAAAGAATTCCTGAGAGTGCCGATCAGTTGATGTTAGGATGATCCATGTTCATGAAGGCCAGTGGTGCCATTACTCAAATTTCAACTTTGGACGATCGTGAGTGACGTGCATCTGTCTCCGCTTCGAGTCCAGCAATGGTGGTACAGATTTACAACTAGGATTAAAGCGCTAATGATGATTAGGTTGAACAGACCTCCATATGGTTTAAAGGGCTGGCATTCATACAGCTCCAGCATTAAGGATGCAGAAGCTTTAGGGAGCACTGAAGAACCGCCTGCTTGGTGATGCCTGAAATGCTTTCCGGCCGCATGCCTTTTGCCAATGGGAAATGATAATGACCTGTTCGTGGGCAAATGAGCGGTGTACACTGAAGAGCAAGAACATGCCTAAGTTCTGCCCGTTATTCATATCGTGGACGGGCTTCAACATACTCTCCTTGCATTCCCGGAAGCCACCCTGAAGCATAGGAATCCTCCATTTAAGTCCAGGAACCGGCTTAGGGATGAGGGGCCATTCATATTGCACTGCGGCTTCATACAGCAGTGCGTCCTTGGCTTCATTAGAAGAAATGGTTTGACAGTCTTGGGCAAGCTTCTTTCGACGTCATCTCTACATTGAAGGGTTGCCGTTCTCATTCCACAAGAAGATATTGAGATGTTGCGCTCCAAAGTCAGGCTGCGATTCGCGTCTCTTTACACAAAACGTTTCTGAAATGGATGTCAGCTCAACGCGGTCGATATAGGCTATAAGAAGTGAGGTTCGGGTGAGCTCTGCTCTTTCCAGTAAGGTTCCATCATGCTAAAGCGAAGAATCTCTTAGATAGCATCGCTATTAGGACCCTGATCCACGCCAGAACCATAGCTGCAGCAATTAAGACAAGGTCAGCCGTCGACAAAATAATGCCTATGGCGTGGCTTGGCGAAGCGCATCGCACAAACAGATCATATATGAGCTCCCGACTAACCATTTCCTGCTCGCTAAAAACCTGAGACTCGAGGAGCAAAACCGCCTGATAGCCAGAAGCGTCGCTTTGCAGATTTGGATAAATAGCTGTAGATGGAGCAATGCATTAGTTATCCAGTTCTCGGGATCAGGATGGCACTTCTTGCAGATAGCGGGGTACCCTGCTCTCGGGACTTTGGTCCGGTGACCTGGCTGGAGTATGAGATATCAGGGGCAACTCGATTGCTCTCAAATATGCTCCGGTCCGTTGAAAGAAGCCGACAAAAGAGAGATGAAACAAACCTCGACAGCGATCCAACTTCATCTGTCGAATCCCCAGAGAGAGTGAAAGCCCAACTTGTTTGGAGTGAGAGCCACGTGTCTAGAGTCAGTACAGGTCATCAACATTATACAAATTGGTAGAATCATAGTACATACGCGCGTAGACGGCCTTACGTCTTTACGTCTACGACGATGAAGAGTGTTGTCAGAGTCGTGAATATCTCAATCGTCGGCGGTTGGATTTCTTTTTCACCGACATTTGTGATCGACCTTCGGTGCTTCCGGATGCGGGTGCCGACAACCTCTTCTCAACCTTTGCAAAACTTCAAGCTAGTAAACCGCAACGGATGCGAAGAACTCCTTGGCTTACCTGGCCTGTATCATTTGAGGATGGTTCACGGCTATCAGAGTTTGACTAGTTATGTTTTTAGGAGGGTCTGCTGTCAGAATGACACATGTCAAAACTGCCGTCGCTGGACATCCTCCGCACTTTCTCCCCACCCTATTCTCCGAAGCTCCCAAGCCCTCTAGATCCGCCTCCGAACCAGGCTGCCAGACCCTAATCTCACCAAACACGTCCTCCGACTTTCTGAACCTGCCCAATCCACGTCTTCCTTAACGTTTTTTAGGACGGCTTACGGGCGCCATCTTACCTGGAAGCCCGTGGTTCCCGTAGGGCTGAGTCCCCTTATTGGGCAATCCGCAGCCTTTCCCTTACTAATTGCAGGCTGAGGACACTGCACTGCAGTACGGCATCTGCTGTTCTCATCTTCGACGCGTAAGCGTCCTGAACCCGTGTCCAAAAACGTGCTTACAGTCAGGTGGGGTCTCAGCCTCACGGGCCCCCCTCCGGAGTGGTTCTACCGGTATATTTTGAGCTTGTCAATGACGAAGTTGCAGATTGTGCAAGATGACCCAATGAGAGAGAAGGCCGCGTGTTTCGTAGTACGAATATATGAAGGTAAGGTTGGCGCAGTAGAAGTTTAGTTTTAGCTTTCAGTTCAATTCACTGCCGAGGCTTGTACTTAAAGCTTCACATCACCACCTACCCCCACTTCCCAAGCCAAGTCAGAGCTCAAGAACCCTTTCTCTTCACGGCCAGTCCTCAAGAAACATATTCCGGATATTGTGCCACACGACACAATGAAATTCTCCATCGCTGCCATTGCGGCTCTCGCCGCCCCAGTCATTGCGCAGGGAAATTCTGCTTTCTCTTCCGTCTTCGCTTCGCTTTCCTCCGCCGGTCAACTTCCGTCCAACGGCCGCTTCTCTTCAAATGGCGCTGTCTTCTCTTCCATCTTCTCTTCTCTTGTGTCCAATGGTCAAATTCCCAGCACACTGACAACCGCCGCGCCAAACCCAACCAACGGCCCCTGGGGTCCTGGCAATGGTCCTTGGGGACCAGGAGGTCCTGGAGGTCCTGGCGGCTCCAGGTCCGGCAAATGGGGCGGCCCTGATGGCTGGGGTCCCTGGGGAACCAGTAACTGGGGACCATGGAGCTACTGGTCGACGAACTCTGCCTGGAGAACTGGAGACTGGACGTCATGGTGGGGAGCATCTGGCTGCCCGAATTCAGACTGGCCTGGCTGGACTGCGGGTCCATGGTCTACTGCTGCCCCATGGACGAGCTGGAAGGGCTGCACGGCCAGCACGACTGGCTCAAGCACCTACACGACCACGGTTTCTGGCTCGGTCATCACTACGACAGCGTATGGTGTCCAAGTTGCGCAAGCAACCAATGGAGCTACCAATGGAGCTTCCGGCACTGCTGCTGCTGGCTCAACCGGTGCGGCAGCGCCTATGAAGACAGCAGGCGCTGGTCTAGCGGTTGGTGCTGCTATGCTTGGATTCGCAGCTGCGTTGTAACGGGCTCGATTCATTGATATACCCTTGGCGTGTTGGCTGTTAGGGATAGAAGACGAGTATCCTTCTAGTTGTCTTAATTCGCTGGTTGCATAGCATGGGGGTGTAATACGTTCTCTATCTAAATTGGGATGCACTTTTGGCGTTGGCGGGTTGGGGTGTCGAGCATGTACTGCAGATACATTCGTTCCATGATGTACGACTATGAATTATACTTGCAGCTTTCTATTATCGCTATAAATTGTAGCTGTTAATATTCACGCCTATATCGATGCTAGGGTTTTAACCTATGCCTTTAAATTGACGTCTAAATCCTATCTCACACCCTTATTCTCTAACCTTTAGATTACCAAGGACCATGGAGAATACCCGTTTTTCTCGCTTGACGCACGGCCTCACCTGGCGCACGGATTTCAGCCAATATCCTCACATAGATTTGAAGCTCTAGAGCTCACTATAATTCGAATTATCGCAAGATTTTGTAGAGTAACAGGCAATAGGGTACGGCGAATAAAACTACGTCATTATCTAGTCGCGATACCTAGTAGGAAGGCTGATCTGTCGCCCTCGGCGATTCGTCAGCTGGGGGGCAGCGATAACCTCTACAACTGATTCCTCATTACCACCATCATCCTGAGGACCAAGAGAATGCTGTTTGCTCCTTTTTTTAGCCTGTTTAGCATATTGGATGTCCTTTTGGAGCTGCGCAGCTGCTAATCTAGCTTGCTTGTTGTCCTCCTTCTCCCGCTGCTTCTGAGCCTGCTCTCGGAGTCGGATTTCCTTTGCAGTAGCCTTCATGCGCTGTCTCTCCTCTATAACCCGCTCCTTCTCTGCTTTCTCTGCAGCTTTGCGCTTAGCATCTTCTTTTTTTTTAAGTCTCTCTGCCTCTGCTGCTTCTGCTTTCTTTGTTTCTCGCTTACGAGCTTGCTGGACCTTGTTTGGGCTCCAAAAGATTGCTCCACTATCTGGATTAGGAGGAAGTTTAAGCTGGAGAGCTTTGCCCCTCTGCCGACGCTTCTTCTTATTAACTAGTGCTTTTTTGAGGCCGCGAACCTCTAGTTTCAAGAGGATGTTCTGCGTAGACAGCGAGTGGATCGTTTGTGAGAGCTGCCGAGCCTTAGAGTCGTATACGTCGTCAACAACTGATCTCAAAAGCTTAGCAATCTTCCTCCAATCTTCAGCCGTGAGCACTGACCTTGAGCTCTCACTGGAGGAAGGTCTCTCAGCCTCAGGGTCATTAAATCGGTCCAGAATAACGTCAGGCTTAAAGGGATGGAGACCGCAGGTTTTGAACCCTGAGAGGACGTTCTTGGCAGTAAAAGCTCTCTCCCATGCTGCCCAGAACATGCGGAAGAAATCCCTCTTAGTAATAGCAGAGAAAGCTTGAGATTCTTCTATAAACTGTGCTATCTTGTGGGTATAAGCTTGTGAGAGAGGCCTGAACAAGCAGACGTTAAGCGGCTGAAGTGTATGAGTACTATGAGGGGGATAGATAGCCAGGAGGATCTTGTTATTGTCGCAGTACTCGATAAACTTTATGTTTATATGGGATCCATGTCCATTAAGGATAAGGAGTTGGTATCTCCGCCGCGCCTTTGGTTTAGTCTCTCTATCAAAGATCGTCTTAAGCCATTGAAGCCTGAGGTTGTTGTTAGTCCATCCACTTGGAGATGAGGCAAAGAAAGCTTTGTGTATCTTGGGATTAAAGTCCTGAAGCCATGAGTCTTGAATGTTACCTGTAACTGCCTGGTAGATGAGGCCTGGAGAGAGAGAGGATCCGTCAGCGCATATACAAGCAATTGTTGTTATCCACTCGCGGTTGCCGTCCTGAACCATCTGCTTGATCCCACCCTCTTCATACTTCCGCCGGGAGAAGATCCGCTTCATCTTTGAGAGCACCCCAATCAAGAAGCCCTTTTCATCCATATTGTACATGTCTTCTGGCTGGATATCGTATTGTTCAATCTTGCGCTTCAGGAGATCAAAATATAGTGCGTATTTAAAGGCAGAATCAGCTCTCTTCCTCTCCTTGTCAATGCCAGTAGTCCACTTTGATACTAGGTCGACTTGGTAACGCTTGAGGAACCGGTCCGGCCACGAGCTCCCTGCCTGTTTGCCGCTTATTTCAGTAGCAAAGTTGCGTAGCATGTTCCTCGTAGGGGGTAGCCCTCGCTCACACAGTCTCTCAATGTATTCCGAGAGCTCCCTCTCCTGACGGTCGTTTAAAAGTCGTTGATTCTCATATTGCTCTGCACGGGAGCCCTGGACCCCGCGCCACCTTCGCGACAGCGTTGATCGTTCAACACCATATTTTTTCGCAACTTGAGTGATATTAACTTTTTCTCCAAACTCCAGGGATTCTAACGCTGCAAGCGCTTCCAAAATCGGGTCCATATTGGTGGAGTTAGTATTATGTGACAATTTTAGTGTTCCTGAGCAAAGTGTGCGCCAGGTGAGCCCGTGCGTCAAGCGAGAAAAACGGGTATATACTTTCGCGAAGATTCTCACGCCTCTAAGGCCTGACCTGTAACTCCTTTCCACCTCACTTAAGATACCGCCCCTAACCATTGCTTCCCTTCTTATAGTTGTATCCTGAGATCTGATCGTGATCGATCATCCTCCCCTCATAACCACTTTGAGGAAGCGAAAACCGCCTTCCCGGATATGGATGGATGCGCCAAGCCTCCATACCCAATTCATCCAGCGCCCCGCAATGACAGCCTCCACACTTCATCACATTGATCTGCACCAACACCAATCTTGTCTCACTAACTTCATTCCGACAGTGACTACTACTAGACGCACCCCTTTCAGTACCAACAGTATCCATTACCAACTCTAAGGAATTTGCCCATTGAACGATGACATCTGGCTGCGCCTCACTTCGCGCAACAATCGAGGACCCTCTCTTCAATGCTTCCGATATGCTAAGAGAGCGATGGGAGGACAGCCCAAAGGATGACAGAAGGAGATTGGAATTGTGCTGGGGTTATCAGGATTGTGGGGATTGTCATCGGAGTAACGGATCCTGTGGTTGGTGCGCAATTGTAAGTCGAATATCTCCTTGGGTGTGGGATTGTTAAGTGCCTAGATTGGGGTGCGGAATGAAGACTATTTAGGAGACGTACTCCTTTTCTTTGAGTGCCTCCTGATCTTGTAATATCCCCTTTCCTCGGAATTGGCGGCCTTAGATACCCGGGTTATCGATGTCCAAGAAGTACACCCCTTTGAATTGATTTATGTTCGACAAACTTATTCTCCCGGCGATGTCTAAAAACAATCAACATTCCGATATTTGTTACTACCTCTTCAGTGGCGATTGACCGTCTTAGTAGTCAAGTACCTGCCTTCCTCTTCCTCTCGATCCACTGTCTTTGGCGTTCCCGCTCTTATCTCCACTGCGCTACAAATTCATCTGCGCCCTTGGCCCCGAGCGCTTCGAGCTTCGTACGAGCGGTCTCGGTTGTCAAGTCTCTACCATCACCTTTCTAACCTCCATCGTCACCATCTTCTGCACCATTGCAGGATTTATCATACTCTATGGACTCATTAAGGTCATAGAGTGGGTTCGCAATGCCTGGAAAGCTGGGAAAGGAGGCTGGATCGTTTATGCGGATGGATCCGGCGAGGTCTGGTTCAGGCGGAAAGAGAGCTGGGGGCGGTGGTGGCGGAGGACGAGGAGAAGATCCAGGGAGGAAGAAGAGTTGGTTGTCGGTGAGGGAACTGGCGAGCGGTTGAGGTGGTTTTGGTGGGTGTGGAGAAAGGAAAGGAGGGCTGCTGAACCCGAGGCCGAAGAGAGAACGGCTCTGCTGGGTTGAGCAGACACCGCTACTCCATGTTGCGTGGGTAATTTGACGCACTAGCACTGCCTAGGTGTCTGGTTGGTTCCTTGAGGTCAGCGTCGACAAATCTTTGGCCCTCTTCAAATACATTGGGTTTTACCCATCCACCCATGAAATATTCCTTCCCAACCTCCTTTCTCCCAGCGAAAAGCTCGACGCGCTTTAACTCTTTCTGAATTTTCTAGCTTACTCTCTCTATATCTGCCTCATTCTCACGACCCCCAATTTCCCCTTGCAACGCTCATTTGAACCCACAATGTCGTTCTCACGCAACACCATCATCCCCCCACTGCCGACCCCACCAGACCTCCCGGACGACTAGTATATGCACATAAACATCATCCTTAGCGACCAATAAAAAACCACAACATCAACTACTCTCGTCCAAGTCAGGCAGCCGAACTTAAGCCTAAATACGTGAACACCGCGACTGGCTTCAGCCACTCCTCTAAAAGTGCGGTGAGTGATCAGTTTGGCTTGGGCTAGAGAGTAGAGACTCCTTGCCCGCCCAGAATAGGGAGCCTATACAGGGAGAATGCTCTTGCTGTTGAGATCCAGAATACCAGGGTGGTTTAACCAGATTGCTGTTTTCCTATGTGTAGTTCCTGAGCTATAGATTCCCATATTTTTTCGTTTTTTAACACTAGCCTTAATACTGTGCGTAGTTGAATATTTTTGTAGGATAACTAATACCTTCCCCGCTCTTGTAATACCAGGCTTGAGCAGTAATATGCAGGCTAATCATGCATAAGAACGCAACAGTACTCGCATTAAGCTTAAGAAACAGTATGTACCTCTTCTGCAGCTTGGTAGCAAGTGATAATAGTTCATAGATTCACTAGTGGTGTAGTCTAGCGCATTTATGGCCTACGTAAGACGTACAGCAAGATATGATGCTTGCTAGATTTTCCAGTCAGCATCTGTCATAACTATTCCTGTCTATCATACTTACCGCATTTAGCTTAGCGTACCATAAGAGGAAAGGGCTGCACACGTGATTCCGCGTTTAGCTGCACGCCAGACTTAAATCTCGCCCTGCCATTCCACGTGCTACAAACCTTCAACTTCACCCTAAATTTTTGAGCATCCTCTGTCACCCACGGTCATGGCAGCCACGAATGAGAGTGATAGCAGTCCCGTCCAATTAATGGGGTCCCAAATCTTTCCAAGGAGACGATGCCAGCCGTTGCCCAAGTCCTGGAAATGTGGGGTTTTACCGATGCCGGGAGCACCTGTTGGGCATGGAAAATATTCTAGCCAAATCATTATTAGCCGATGAATATCGAAGCTGGCTCCAAATTATGCCGAGAGCTTCCACCTTGTCATACTGGTCAAAGGATGCCTTGCCAATTTGGTAATTTTAACCATCACGAACCAGGGACACCCCCACCGCATTGTAAGGCTCCTTCAGAACTCCGGGAGTTCTTCTCTCATGGCGTCAAGGCCAATGAGTACGGCTTGCTATACAACGATGGGTTGGTTAGTCTTCGGTAACTAGGTGAAAATCATACTACATACGGTAGCCTGGTTAGTGTTATGATCATCGAAGGCTTTAAAAAGCCTGTAATAGCAGCTATTTTCGGGAAACGAACTCTATGCAAAGATTGCGGCGCTTCCAGATGGCGGAGGATTTCTATGAGCTAGCATTCAATGTCAATTGGGAGAAGTTTACCAATGAAGGTGTCTCCAATAAAAGCACTATTCCAGTAAGAAAGGCTCGCGAACTCTCTTTCACAGGTTGATCTCTCAGTCCAACAGCCCGACCAAGCTAATTCTAAGTAGAGAGCAAGACTACAACCACCGCTCAACTTACTCCATTAGAGTCTTCCACTACCTAGGTCCCCACCGGTCACACCGACTCCAGTCCGAGTAACCTGAGACTTACCTACACGGCCTCCTCCGCGCCCGAAACGACACCTTCACCATCCAGGTCAACCTAACGCATGCTGACAGTCCCGAGAACAAGGTGCTGGATGCTACTTGGGGGAGGGCTTTCGTGGCAGAGAATGGCGCGAATGATAAGTTCACTATCGAGGAGGTTGTTGAGCTTGCTCGGGAGGAGGTTGTGAAGCAGGGGCTTGGACTTTTGAGTGCGTACTTAGAGCATTTGAAGGCTATGGGTGTCTCGTGAGCGAATTTACGTTGGGATGAGCTGGGATGGGACTAGGTCGGATAGATATTATGATTTCAAGTGACCGACTGATAGGCAAGTACGATATGGTAGCCGGGTTTGCCACTTCTCCTCTGCCCATGGGTTCACCTTATCTTGTTAGCGGATGATAAGGGAGTGAAAGCTGGCGCACGTGAGTCAAGCAATCGTAATACCAAATCTCTCTCTCGCGCCTTTGCAAGCCTTAGATCTCATCTCACCATCAATTCGCCCCGTGCACAAAGAAAATGCTGAGAAATCTTATGGATTTGTTTATAGTCCCTCGGGAGACCATCCGAGCAATCGACATGATAATTAGCTTCGCGTGCACGGAGTGCCTGGGGTGCATTCGCGATAACAACATCATGTCCTGGATCAAGGACTTCGCTAATTTTCTATTGGATAATGCCAAGCTGGTATAGCAGTTGACCGTCGAACGCGATTTACCGCTGGGAAGGAAACTATATGAACTTCATCGCGAATCTGGCTCCTTGATTGCCATCTGAACAGCCCCACCGAGGATGCTCACGACCCACGTGAACCTGAAAGACCGCGTTGTCTAATTTCTGATGTTTCGTGATTATGGCATCGCGGTCGAAGGCCAGGGTCTGCTCGTGAGTGGGGATCGAAAACAACTGGTTCAAGCAAATTTCTATGTCCTAAATACTAGGATTGGCCGGTTCTATGATGTGAGGTGTAAACGAGGGTTCGCGAGTCTTCTTCTGGCGTCAAGGTGGGAGTCCGGCACTCTTCACAAAGAGCGTTATCCTGGCAAAGGCAAAGAGCTGTTTGTACACCTGGGGGTGCTCGGAGAGTCCCGGCGAGGTCCATGGAAACCCAGAGCAAAACGGGTTGGATGGCGATGTATTAGGCACGGCGCGTTTTACATGCGGTCTCTTCTCTATCGCTGGTAATATCTGTCCGGGGAATTCCCCCTTCGGGTTTAGTACAGTCATTGCGCTTATCTACATCAGGAATAGCGTCTCATCTGATTGCCTCGACGCTTTAGACGTCTATAAAATGCTCGCCTTCCCCTCATTAGGGTACCTCCTCATCCCCTTTTCCTTAGTTCGCTAGCCCGACTACAGTGCCTCCGCCGCTTTCTCGTCTACTTTATAAGTAGCCATTAATTAAAAACTCGCCATTTTGCAGGCTAGACGGAGTACCGCGGAAATTTTTTAGATCAGCGCCCTCTCCAATATCGACTAAATCCACCCTCTTTTCATTCCGCTAGAATTTAAGATGGCGTAATGTTTTTCCCCCTGTTATTCCTGTTTCATTCTAAATCTTGGAATCCCCATATGTCGGTGATTAACGTATGTTCGCACCCATTCTGGGGGCTGCGGGGACGGTCCGTTTTGCGCATAAACTAGGCGAAGTATTGCGCATCTAGAATTCAGAGTCCCACTATCTAATAAATTCTAAGTATCGCCTTAGAGAGTGGCTCCATGTAGTACTCTTGCTTTCTAACTCTGGATTAGACATTAAGGTATAAGTTGCGTTCTTTAATGTTATACAACAGCTCATGAGCCGCATGTACAGACTTTAGTCTAAGTCTAAGAGCAAAGGGGTGGGATCTTATTGCATTCTACCTGTGAACGCTTTAAGTTCATATGTTCGTCAAAGCTAGATACTTATTGGGGTGATACCATGTGACACCCATATATGCTTATGTTTGGCTGTATATAGACCCCGCGCGCGGGACTTAATTTTGCTTTAAAGCATTGTTTCTATGGGAGGATTGCCCTGTATTGCCTCAAATATGCGCTCAATTTCCGCTGCCTGACTACTCCTTGCATCCTAGTTAACTGGGCTCGAACCTGGAGTGTTATTTGCAGATAATGGCGTGGCTAATCACAGTTTAGATGCAAGTGTCGCCGCTTCATCCCACTACAATGCCCAGACATTTCCACTTTCTTACGTTTCTCTGAGTTCCAGTATTATCACCCCTCCTATCGTACACCTTCTACAGAGCTCCGGTAACGCACGCGTTTGCCTAAGCATCACAATTTGTGCCCCTTCCTTTGACTTCAAGCCCACTCTTTATACGTGACTAGTAGCGCAATCATCAACACCATGGTGAACATTCCACTCACCAGAAATAAGAATGGGAGAAAGATGTTCATTGTTAACAGCGTCTTTCTAGCACTCAACTATATCCCTATCATTATTAGATACTAGACCCGCCACCTTAGAAGGCTCAACCTAGAGTTAAATGGCTGGGCATGTTCACAACTTTGGTAAGCCAAGCATTCACTTTTGCGTAGCCTGTTAGCCAACATAGTACTGGGTTTTCGTAATTTTTCGTCTCCGACCTATACTTTACGGACGTCGCTGGCGTACAAAATGGTAGCGCTGGCCCTCACGTCATAGACCTTGTAGAGAAATGGGGTGGTATAGAGACCGTCTTTACAGTCGGAGAACTCTTCCTAGCTGGTGGCATCCCATAGTATGCCCATTCAATAATAACCCTAATACCAGTCGTTTCTTGGCGTCACTGACATAGAAAATAGGGCGATGGCCACATTGGCTATAAAGATATCTATCTTGCATCTGTACGTTTCAGTCTTTGGCCTCGCCAGCTCACAGTTTCGTTGCGCCGTGTGGATTGTGGAGGGGTATTTGCGTTGCCAGTGCTTTTATATTTATGGTCCCAATCTTAGTGCTATGTCGATCGCTCGCATTCCTTTGGGATAAGAGGATCTACAGCAAGTGCGGCTCTCTGAACCTTACATACCTAATTAGGGTTATCGTCATTACAATTGAGGACATAACCATCCTCGCACTGCCCATGCAGATGCTGTGGAAACTTCAGGTGGCGACGAAGAAGAAGAAGAAGATTGGCGCGATATTCATCTCCAGTATTAGCTTAGGCATCTGCTTGGTGTACGGCGTGCGCCTAAAGTATGTCCTTAGGCTCAACCAGGACAATATTATGGCATCGATCCGGATGTTCGTTATTTTGGGCACCATGGAGCCTATGCTCGGCATTATCTGCGCTTGCTTGCCTGTATTGTCAGCTATCTGTACCCAGGGCTTCCAACGGGCCGTACTACGGTCCGTACAAAGTGAACCGTAACAGTCATGTGATCAGTACGAACCTACCGAGTTCGTGAGCCGTACCGTACGTTTAATGATGCCCTAGGCACGGTACGTAGTATGGATTGTTAGCGGAGCTTGCTCCGCTCCTTTCTGTGGACTTTAGTTTTCTTCAGTTAGGGCTTAGCAGCTAAGAATTACTGCTTTTAGCCTTTTTAGGCTCACATAAGCATAAAAACAGCAGATCCTTAGATAATTATTTCCTGCGCGAAAACTAAAACCTTACTGCGCGTGTTGTCTAATACCTGTCTAATACCTCCTGCTATAACCTATAACATAGTACCTCTGCTATTTAACACTAATAAACCTCCCCTACTTTATAATAATTATTATTACTCTATAGATCTATAAAAAGACAGGACGTTCCTTTAATAAAAGGTTTAATGTGCGCCCTGTAATACATAAATCTAGGCAAAGAAGCGCCCTACCTAGGGCAGCCCTATACCTCTACTGCTAGCTAAGAGGCGCGCTCTTGCTAATATTACATATGTTGCAAATAACAGACTACAACTCTATATCCCGCTGTTGTCTCCTCTAGTACCCCTATATTGTTATTGTTCTACGCTATTAGACTAGGCAAATAACATGTTTAAAAGAAATAGCAAGTAAAAGACTTTATATTAAAAGTGTTACTAATTAAAGAGTAAGGTTAATATTTATACTATAAATAAAAAACTAGTACATGTATTACCTTTTATAAACTTTAGCCTATTAAGCTCTCTTCTTTACAACATTTTTATATAATAGACGCCTTAATAATTTCTCTAATATAAAATCTCTAGCCTATTAGGTAACCTTTTTAATATACTACTTATGCTATTTACTCTAATTAGTTTAAGTATATAATGTACTTAAAAGCTACTATTAACATAAAAAAGGTTTTAGTCTACACTCTTTTAGTTATAGAGAGTAGGTATAAATAAAAACAACCTTAGTAATAGTTTAGATAAGAACATTAATATAAATATCTTCTTAAATGCTAAGCACTGTGCGTATAATTTTCTATTTACACCTATACTTATAAATTTTAATAATGTTAAATTTCTTAAAAACTAGGCTATACTAGAAGTTAATAAAGGCTATATTAACAACTTCTATAAAGGTCTACTTAATATTAAGTTAGATACATGCACTACTTGTAATTAAAAGTAGTTTAACATAGGATTAAATTAATAAAGTACTTATAAAAAGTGCGCTACTAATTTGCTTAAACATAGACATAAAAAAGAATTTATTTTACTTTAAAAAAATATAAATAACTTTAATTCTAGCTTTTTACTAAACCTTTTTAAGTTAACTACTACTAAAGAGCAACTACTAGCATGTGTACATGTTAATATAATAAACCTTTCTACTAGAGTAAGTAGGCACTTTATGCATTATAAATAACTACTAAGTTCTTTATTATAACTTTAATAGAATGTAAGTGCTAATGTATTAGTATTAGATAAAGTATTAGACTTATTAATTTATAAGCACTTAGCTAGCTGCTATCTATAGTAAGCGCATTACTATCTAGGCTTAAGATGTGCAGCTTGTTATTTGCATTGCTTAGAATTTTAGCTAGTACTTTAACTTTGCTAATAAGTACTTGTGTAGACAGACTTACTAAGAGGTTTTTTTTTATATAGCATTTATAGGTATATAGGTCTTTATGTAAAATTTATAAGAATATAGTTTATAGGTTTTAGTTTATAGACTACTTTTTATTATCTACTCTGCTTATAGTCTTCTTTTATAGGCTTCTTCTAATGCAGTCTTCTTCTCTAGAAAGAGTTTAATAAGTGACTTAAAACAAGCTCCGCTTATGCATTTATTTATAAACTGTTATAGTATGTTATTACCCTTTTGGGAAGTTTGTATAGGGGTTCTGGAGGGGTAGGAGGGCTCTGGCGAGCAGGAGGCCTGCGGGGAGCGCTTAGGGGGGCTTCTAGGGCTCTGATTGGCCAAAATTTTTGCAAGGACGCTTAAATCTCTTTCTAAGGGTTTTAATCTATCTATCTGCAGTCTGTTGTCTTAAAAATGCCTATTACAGACTATTTTCTATTGCAGAGTTATCTATCTACGCTTTTTGCCGCCTTGCAGGCCTTTGTAACGATTCTCATGAATCGTTCCATCTCGGGTCGCTCGGAACCTATCCGAAGGGTCCCCGTATCGGCCCCGACCATGACTCGACCCTGTCCCCCGCAGTTACCCCTATTCCCCCAACAAGTATTTAGTCGCACCTCTCCCCTTAGCTAGCTCGGTAGTTTTCTGATATCCTTCGTACAAGGCCTATAGGTGTCAATGAGATTCCCAGGTCATTGAGTCCCCACGCACTCCCATATGCCTCTGAGTGGATTCCTACCGCATTCGGACCCATTGTCTTGCCTGTGCCGTTACAGCCTTATCTAGTCCTATCTGCTCTTGTTACTAGGGAGAACTAGTTATTTTATAGTTAATTAGACCTTAATCTTGCGTCTCTAGAGACCTATAGTCTTAGCTGTTTTAACTAGAGTACAGCGTACTTTAATTAAATTGTACTACTTGTACAGATCACGTGAGCTGTAACAGTTACAATACGTACACCTACCTCTCCTCCTCCCTGTTGTACGAACGTACACAAAATCTCACCCGTACAGGCCTTAAAATCGCCCAATCGTACAGTACTACGCCTTGTTGGAAGCCCTGTCTGTACCCACTACTCAGACAAGTGCATTATGGCCTAGAACACCGACGGAGCGACAGGGCTGGCCCTAGAAAGTCTAATCCTACTACTAAAAGCTTGAAAAATTCATCCGGCAACAACAGGTACACCGAGTTTCAGCATCTTAACAACGATAAATACCTCTACATCAACTAGGTTAGGCTAGCGCTACAGGTACAGCCTTAAGCTCTTAGTGAATATTATAACACACTAGCATAATAGAAGGAAGTGCTATTATTACTAAACATATTCTGCTATAAATTCTTAATTTTACATTTCTTAATAGAAATACAATGAAGCGTATTTAGATAAAGTAACATCACAAATTCCTTAAATATTAAAGAAAATGCAATTGGTAAAGAGGAGTTTAGGTTCTGTATATAGAGTTACTAGAAATAAGGCTATCATGTTAATATATCATGCTTAAGAGACACTGTAGGCTCTAAGATAACAGAAGTTAGACCTGCTAGGTTAGGCTAAAGGCTAGTCAAGTAATAGTCTTTAATAAAACATATACGAGCTTTTAGAAATGCCCTCACGCTTGTATGTCAGCTTCTGTTAGAGAACAATGAATTCTATGCCTTGCCTTACTACAACGCCCCACTAGTGAAATTTTATAGTTATAACATTAAAGTTTAGGCTTATCTCTAGGTGGTGAGAGATTTAGAAGCGGGCGTTAATTTGTTTATATATAACACACTAGGTAGCAGGGAAGAACCTCTCAGCACCTGTTATACTGTTCTGTTCGGAAAGGTGCAACTCTTAGGCCAACTCGGTAAACCATCAACGTCGACGCTCCTGCAATTGTCGTATTGAATGCAAAACTTGTCCATGAACTAATAACGTTTATATCTACGAGACCTCCATTGTAGCTTTGCGCGCAGTTTCAGATTAGCTGCTGATACGCGACCAACCTCGTTCTCATTAAAAAGAGGCTAGGATGTTCAGAGACAGGTCTTCCTAGCATCTAGCTCCACTTGCGTACGTTGTATTTTTAGCAGCCTGCGCACTAGATGCGGAAGAGAGCGTTACCGGTGCAAATTGAGTCTAGAGTCTAGTTAACTTGCGCTAGTAATCTTCCATCTAAGGAACACATATAGGTCCGCTGTCGTACTCCTAGGCCACTCTTGTCTCAATCTTCCCCGTTATACTCTACGCATTCTCCGGGACGTATTCTACCTCATTAATCGTGTAGGTGTAAACTGTCTTGTCGAAGGCGATCTGAACACGGACATAGCACCGGTAGACACCTAATGGGGGAGGGCCTGGGTTGGCACTCTTCGTCAAAAATGCGATATCCAATGAGGAGAGATCGGTTGCTAGGGAGACATTAACCTGGAATGGGCAACGCCGGATGAAGATCGGTTCTATGATGGTGACATTAGAAGGTTGGGTCTCTGCGTGCACAGCACTGGAGTAGAACAAATGCAAGAGTATCAGTAACAAGTGCAGCATCTTGACAAGAATCTAGCTAAAAATCCTCTCCTTTAAGGCTTAGACAAGTTGTTAGAAAAGAGATAGAGCAAGTAGTTTAAGAAGAGCATCGCTTCCACTAAGGTTACAATGCAGATTAGTTCTGCCTTACCTCTCCGCATATTACCTTTCCCCACGCCGCTAATTACCATTCGTAGCTAGGAGTTTACAGGCTGAGTCCACATACATGTATTTAGCCTTATAGATGTGTTGCGAATAGCGGACGCCTCTCCTAATGTTGTCCTATCTGGGAGAATTGGCGAGGTTTCTATATAAGTTAATACAGCGAGCAACTTGTGATGCAAGGTGTTTTAGCTGCCAAATGCGAGTGGTACAGGGCGCACTCTTGTATAGCAAAGGCAGCACGTACAAGAATTATACACTGGGTAACCCCCCCGGTTCTATGTTTCTTTGCAGGAGTACATATCCATCACTGCTACATCTGTGTAACTCGGCGGTGCCGGCTCTAGTATTTCTTACGCAACACGCTCCCTTACCTTGAACTTTAGGTCAAATATCTCCAGTCTTCTGTCTGTCTAATGCATTTCTTGCTGCTGAATATTCTACTACTTTTTAGGCAAGGCGTTACTGCCCACTGTACGTCATATTCACATCTGCGCGCTGCTAGTACTCACCACCCTAGACTTGCTTTCCAAATTATCCTACATCAGGGGCCCGGTGAGCATAGACTAGCAATATGTTAGGTATGGGCTTCCTCTTCTCTCTTGTGGATGTAATTCAGGGCAGCAGCTGTTATGGTAGACAGGTTGCACCAGGCTTCAGCAGTCCTGGCGTAGAACCAGCAACCATAAATCTAATTTATGAACTCTATGACGACAATCTCCGCTGTGGAAGAGGGGCCACGATGACGGGACATGGTGTTGAAACGCTGGCTGCCAGCGCTGGAGATGAGATTGGGTTTGTTCCTACTCAGACGGTTGACGGCAAAGACGTGAGTGCCAAAAAATCACCCTGTTCATCCTTGTCCTGATACTCATAGTTAGAGGGACGTCTACTTTTACCATCCTGGATTCGCGCAAGCTTACCTCTCGCGAGCACCGGCGGACTTAGAATCGTACACTGGGGATGGCGATTGGTTCAAGGTTGCGTACATGGGCACGAAAAATGATACTGAATGGGCAATCCTAGGTCATACCATGGTTGGTTGAAAATTCCTATGATGATCCTACCTGACTGTGCTGACATCATTGAGGCGAATTTTACACTTCCTAAGACGACACCGCTTGGAAAATACCTCCTTCGTTTCGAGGTAATCTTCGGAATCACGCACGAATTCAACGTCACTCGATTTTACATCAATTGTGCACACATCGAAGTCAATGGCCCTGGTGGTGGTAAGACGTCTCGTGCTGTCGACTTGGCCGGGTTAATCTTCGCTCAGGAAAGCCTGGCCCAATGGTCAAATTCCCGGGTGCGTACGACGTCCGAGATCACGGTACGTTTGACGACTAAAAAGTAGCCTCGGCGCTAATTTTGTTCATGTTATAGCCATTTGGGAGCCCGCTCACGTAACCAGATTGCAAAACCTCACTGGTTTTGTGGTCCCCGGACCTCCGGTTTGGGAAGGATAGGCGAAGGATGTGTTTGCAGCAGACGAGCTTATTAGCAAATTGCTTGTACAGATTGAGGTGTCTAAGGAATACGTAGCTTTTCTTGCCCTCCTCCATGGTTAAGCGCCGCCTCCAACGGAGGGATTCCGGCGTTAATATGACTATGGCACTCTAGTGAGAATACTACTAGTTCTTTGCCTGTAGGCTACTAGGGCGCTGCGCGCGGAAGGAGATTTGATCTCATCTCATGGTGCCGATTGTTAGTTCATGGACGGGACACGCAGAGAAGGACTGAGCAGCGATGGTGGCGGGGCAGCACATTTGGGGGCAGTCTCTAGGCCAGGCGTCGGCACGTTAACATTTATATGCACAGATCCCCACCCCACAGATACCGAATAAGTTTAATCACAGACTCACGGCAAACGTTTCATGTTTTTAATAGCCCCGACAGGATCCGATTTCTGTGGGACATAGTAGTGCGAGCCCCTTGGGGGTCGTCAACTTTTCCCAAGAGCTTCGAATTGCTCGGCGCGCAAAGGAAGCAGTGTGTTTAGCGTGCTTCAAAGTGAAATGTGTTAATTGGAGATAGAGATAATTTAAGAGCAGTTCAAGTTTAGATAGAAATTATTCTCTATTACCTCTTTAAAGGGCTGTTACACAACCGTTGCATGTTTTGTATTCCACAGGCGCCATTTTCGATCTCTGTACATACCGATCCAACTATCCAACATGAAGATCACATTCACAACTCTCTTCGCACTCTTTAGTCCCTTGTCGCTTATTTTCTCGAGTCCCAACACCAGGGTATGCAGCGACTCTTTCTTACTAATTGTTACCCAACTGACCATATTTCGGTGTCCTGCCAGCCAATGACCTCGCCTGCAACTCGAACTCTTGGCGCAAAATCAAGACTACTGTTGTAGGTTACTGCGGCAGCCTAATCGAATATTATTGCTATTACAGCAACACCTTCGTTACCGCGGTTGAACCGAAAAAGCAATGGGACACGGCGGATCTCATCTGGTGTCTCACCCTCGCACAAGATTACAATGATCGTTGCATGTGCAATGCAGAGACACGGAGATGCGAGAAGAGAGAGCCCATGGCGATGAATCAGCAGCGTGCTGAGGCGCTGTACGATTTCTTGCATTGTTATGGGGTTTGGCGTTGTCTATTAGATTGGGAGTTGTATTGTTAGACATAGTCGGGTACGAGTCACTTCGAACTAGAATTCAAACAACATAGGCTGGGATCTCCCCTACATCTTGGTGCACAAGTGCAAAATTCTTAAATTTTTTCCCCATTATAATTAGTTACATTAGTATAATGAAGTTATGGAACAGCAGGTTTAGAGCGCTACGGTTACCGTAATAGCGCTGTCCTTAGACTAACATTCAGACTTGACGTTTATTAAGAAGAACCCTCCTTTCTCGCTGTCGCTGACCATCTATATCGTCAGGTTGCTCCATGGGGTTACCCTATCCGGCTCTATCACATGACCCGTGCCAAGGTATACGCGATGAAGATTTGGCAATTTTAGTGTTAAGCGTGCACGCAGTGAGACCCTGCATGCGATAATTAGGCACATTAATGTGCAGGGTTCTAAAGACTAAAGATAACCTTAATAGACATCTCAGGGCTCTGGTGCCAGATTTTGGCCCTAGGACCCTCGGGTTCCCTCCCGGGCGCCCTGGGACAATCGTCCCAAGAAAATTAGCGTCCTAGGAAAGTCGCCCGGGGAAAATCAGTATCCTTGTAGTAATCTCATTCTAAATACTACATTTTAAGAGCCGTTCGCAAACAGCCACGAAGACAACGAAACTGCTAGGTCAATAATCACCCTCTTGGAGATCAGTGCCTTCTCTCCAACTCCGAACAAGCCATCATTCATCAATGACACAGACAGTAAAACCGGGCCTGTTGGTCTCAAGGCCACAACACCCACACTGCGACTCTGTATTTATCGACGGAGAAGGTGACGGAAAACACCAACCAAACCCGCGCAGAAAGCTAGAGGGGAGGAAGAAATCCTGGATGCTATCAAGAATATGTGGACATGGCTTATTGAGAACGGCATGGATGACAAGGTCCGTTTGGAGGACATGGTTGAAGAAGGTCTCCAAGAAGGGCAAGGGTGGAGACAACAGCCTGGTTGTCTAGCGCATGGCTCTATGCATTTCACAGGATTTTGGTTCGTAGAGCATCTCATATTTCATGTAATTCTCTAACTTCTCTTTTCTTGGGTCTAAGTCTAGGAACGGGAGAAAGAATCAGACTGTGGGGGATCGCATCAGTGGAATGAAAGAAAGAGTCTAGAAGAAGCCGACGTTTAGACACTACCTCACTTTTGAGAAAAACTGTACGAGAGTGTCGTCTGGGCGCCGACAAGCTTTTAGAATGGCCAACTGAAAGAGTTACAAGAAGCGGGTCAGTTAAATTGCTCTAGTTCACTTTTCCATTGGCTGGAAGTCTATCTAACCTGCTTTACATATCAGATCGACCCTGATTGAGATTATCACTGGAGAGCCAGTCTATAACAACCCTAGGAATTTTTCTCGCCGAGACCATGCCCTACTCGCCATGTCCGGGTTAAGGAAGAGTCCTCCGTTTGCTTGATCATAGTTGGAAGTGTTTTCTTCTCACTGTTGAAGCCAGATCTTCTCTCTGGCCAGACTTCGCTTACCCATGCGCATCAGCAGAAGTAAGAGTCGGATTGATGGACAAGAAGAACCTCAATAGATATCTGGTAAAAGCTGCCGAAATCTCCGTATGAATGTTGACGCAATGCTTTTCAGGTTGTTGAGAGGATTTGGTTCTGAATTGGAGGATGGTATCCCGGATACCATCGAAATAAGGAGCTTGAAGGTTGCGGTCGGAAAGTCTAGTTAAGAACTCTCCACGTGGAGATAAGACGAAAGTCGCTCACTGGTCTTCTCGACCAATCACAGCCCATCCAATTCCGCTGACCAAAATCCATTTCGTTAGAAGGAAAATAGATCTGCAGGTATTAGTATGTGGATGGAGATAAACTCAAGGAGAGCTGTATGAAACAGAAAAGACATTCCGAATGAGAAGATGAAGCTAGTTATGGTGCTGTTGGTTGCAGCGAGGTGGTTCAAAGCAATGGTGGCTGAACAGTAGATATCCTAATCACCAACCAATTACAGCCCTCGAAACACCGCTGACCAAAATTGTGGCTCTATCACATTTGCTGCGGCTAATGGGAAGTCACTGAAAAGTAATGGCGGAGGAAAAACTAACATAAAACATCAGGTTGTTAAGGACGCACACAGGAAGAGCCATGGAGGTTTCGTATCCCCGAGCTTATCCCAACCAATAACAGCTCTCACAATCCCGCTTACGTCTCTTCCAGTGCTGCCGGATTCACTTTCCGACTGCCCAGGCGCAATCCAAACGCCGAAAAGTGTCGTGATATGCTCCGCTGGCGGTTGTCTACCAATGCGCATGCCTTCTGATAATCAGACGAGGGATTCAGCCCTGCAATCGGTCAAGAATTGCCGTCAGCTGCGGGATTGAGGGAGCCTCGCACCATCGTGGGCTGATACCCAATCCACAAACGGAGCTTGGAGGAGTCAACAATTAGCAAGGCCCCCACAAACCGAAAACGAGAATACAAAGTACCACCTGTTCTCCTCCCTCAAGATCCTTCTTCCACACCTGAAACGTTCTTCCTGCTTCTTCTGCTTCCCCTCTGCTCTTACTACATATCCAGGCAACAGCACAACAGCGATATATTTCTCAGTTTTGCAGGCACTCATAAGCACCAACCTCGCGACACCAATTACCAATTGGCACTTGTTCGCCGCTCGACTGTTGGTTGAGCAGCTTCGCAGCCTGCACCTTGCACAGCCTTAACGCGACTTGACTCAGCGGACATCTCCGCCTGCATCATCGCGCGGCGTCCAACCCAGCCGACAACCACCCCCCCTCTCCCTTGAGCAGCCTCCGTGAGTACCCTAGACCCCAATTTAAAAGCATACAAAGCCGCACAGGCTGCCAGGTTTTTGATCGCTATATACCACGTCCACACTTTCAACCCGCTGACCCTTCGAGTATTTAGAAGCTTGAAGCGCACTTTGTTGCCACGAGTTGCAGTGCGACTCAACCAGAGTTAACATCCACACCCCACCTTTGCAACTCAACCCGGCCCCACATCCATTCGAGTCGAGCACAACAACTCTAGTAACCTTTAACTGGGCTTCAAGAGTCACATTTTCATAATATCCCCGAATATCAGCCGGCGCATTCAAAATGGCCTTTGCAACGCAGGCCCTCCACCAGCTGCGCCGGTACTCCACCCAGCTCCCACGCGACCCACACTACAAGCTGAAAGCCACGCTGATGACGGGGTACTTGGTGTCTGCATTCACACTTCCCTTCGTGCCACCGCTGTTGGAGACTAGACGCACGAGGGCAGACGGCACCTACTTGACGAGGTAAGTCGACATGCTTTCTCTCTTCATGCCCAACAGGATTTCTATTGGCTAGGGTTGCATTGCCTGTTTTGGTCATAAGCTCAGCTCATGGGGCGCCAGGGAGAATGTGTACTGCAGCTCGCAGTATCTAGGCTGTGCGAGATAAGTGGATGTTATTTTGCATGTACGCGCCTCTGTCCTCTCCTGGCTCCTTTGTACATGCCTTCCCACCTATTCGACTGTATTTGCCCAGATAAAGAGTCAACTGACAGCTCCTTAGACCACCCATCGAATTTGTCCCTATCCCCAAGTTCTAAACACCCCAATTTCTGCGATTCCTCTTATTCCATTCCATCTTGCGCCACACGACCCAGTCTCCTTCGTCTCGGCATACCCTTTCCAACCTAACCATTCATACCCCAGCATATTCCAACAGCATTCCTGTTTACCTTGGTCTCTTGATATGCATACTAGGCGTTTTTGGCACCGCTTGCCCTAGTCGGTTCTTCATTTTGGCGTTTTACAGGCAAGGCATACAGTATTGGTGGGTGGGCGGGGGTAGGGGCATTTGTTAGTATTGGGTATGATGCACGTAGGAGGGATTTTGGTATCGGTCTGTAGCTATCCAAGAGAGGCTAGAAATTGAATAATACGATTCCAGAGTATCTATAGTGTTGTAGGAAGACGGTGCGGCGTGATGTTTACCTGTGATATCTCCGACGATGGGGAAAGCAGAAGATAACTACGTTCGGGTAATAACCGTGCGTCAGATTTCGACATGCAGATATCCCGTCTTTCTCAACTTCCCCCGCTCTAGACGTAATCAGATGAAATGAGATTGGATAGTGGAAACCCTGAGTATGCCATCTTGAAACAGCGTGGTGTTGATTGAGCATGGATTTTGGTCACAGTAGGAGAATAGGTTTGGGATGAGATTGGTGGAGGGAGGCAGAGTCGTATCGTTGTGGAGGGGTTTGGGATGAGATAGAAGGCAGACATCAGATTAGATGTGTGTCGCAAAGCTTGAGATCTGGAAAGTGTGAGGCTGGGGAATAGAACTGCCTTGGTAGATGCTTGCTATCTTCCCTAGGTAGTTGTGGAGACTTCGGGCCGCGATGCCGAAGACAGACTGATGCCGAAGACAGACTGCTACTCTGTGTCTTTAGCTTTCTACGTAGGAGTTGGCTCTATGCCGGAGACATTCTCAACTGCACTTAACTTGACAGTAGGACAAGCACAATATTCATATCCCGCTAATAGAACTAGAATAGAAACACTTTCGTTTATATCGAGACGCAAGTAAGACTACTATTGCTGACATAACATAAAGGAGGAGAGACTAAAGAGCGCCATCAACGTCATCAATCGTAATCAGGGTGACGGTCTTACGACCAGATTCGTAGTCAAGAAACAACGTATGAGGGAAGACTGAGGAAAATTGTTACTGGACTACAACGCTTACAGACTAGAGTCCCTGGGCTCGGACAACAGAGAGTGAAATGTAGCAGTGCAGTATGAGAATGATAATATTGGAAAGTAGAAACATAAGTCGACGACATAAAAAGAAAACGTATGAGTGTGTGTGTGTGTGTGACAGTCATGGCATAAAACCGTCGCTGTGACGAGACCATCCATGGTCAGTTGTAATAATGCCCGAGTCTGCCTTCTTCGTATTGCTGGAGCTCATCTCTGGGGGAGACGGTCTGCGCTGACCCGCTAGGGCATGTGTAGACGTATACAACAACACCTCTTAGATTCTCGCCTAGTAGATATCAGCTAACAAAATATAAAGGTCATCAGGATCGGTCAACTCACGCCCATGCTGGTACTCGTGTGTTCTCCATTCATGTTGTTGGAACATGGTAGGTAACACACTAGCAAGATAGTCCTTCCGAACTGAGAAGGCAACTAGTGCCAGGAAGAGTGGGAGTTCCCCTTTGAGGCCACCATACGCAGTAAAAGGGGTCATTGAAGTCGTTTGATATATATCCGGCAGCAGCATCTTCGGCCACTCCTGGTCCGTTCGCTGAACGCGTAGGGTTGATTGCTGTCCGGCGTTCGTTAAGAAGGAAGAGAAATTCTCTTGATCCCAATCGAATCTCAAAGGTTGCCAGGCTTCGCCTTCGCCAGGGCTCGTAGCGTCCCCCCTCAATACCCAAAACCCGAAACCACCAACAAAGTACACCGAGAAAGTCTTGTAACGCGCAGCATTCGGGGGACAATGGTTCACTTGTCGTATGCATTCCCTGTCACAGAAGTACCATCTCCCTGAGACTCCACCGCTCATTCTAATGTTTGCACCACTCTCCGTAGATGGCATCCAGTTGCCTCGACTATCAACGAGGGTGCTTGCATTCGCGTCCGGCGACTCTGCTATTTCGTCGATTCTGAAAACAAAAGGTGGCTGGGGAAAGACACTATTAGAATCAATCCTTTGGTGCTGGAGAGTCTTACTAACCGACATCGATTAATCAGCGAGACTGAGCGCAGTAGTTGCTCCAAGCCAATGATAAGGTTCAGGTCGTTACCGAGGAGATGTGGTCTGGCTGTTCCGGTTTTGCATGTCCTCTCACTCACCTCTATCAGCGCTTTAAGTTGACACCCCGCTCCGTGAGGCTCTGCCTTCATGGCCAACGAAGGAATGGATCCCACATCAGGTGGTCAGACGACCTCTTTAGCTCGTAAAATGAAGATTAATTGGAAGCCTAAGGCAAGCCCTAGATAAGGAGCTCGTTCTCATAGGGACGCTCGAGCGGCATAATCCTTGAGGCACTGCAGAAGCGCAGACGGCAACCCTGGCGCCCCATTCTCTACCCCGCCGCAGCACAAGTAGACACGGAGATGCTCCAGCGAGTCTCCACCAGCTCCCAGAGGGAATGTGAATGTGTTCGAAGCTGTGTGGCGTGTTTGTGATAAAGTAACTTCCGGCGTGAAAGCTCGAGTGGGGTATTCGATGGCGGGAGTGACGTTCCGTGACTCCGCGAGAGTCCTCCTTTAGTCCCATGGCCGGGCCTTCGGCAAGGTGTGGGCTTCCTGCAGCTATGGCTGGCATCAGCTGCCATTAAGTAACATTAATGTGTTAGAATGGCCGCGTAACCTGTCTGGCGGTAGTCGAATGGCTTGCATGAAGGCAACAAGCAATCCACCAACCATTACGATGTCCCAGGCGCCAAGTGCATGGGGGAATCGGAAAGAATGTTCAGACCGCAGAGCGAGCTCCGTGCTCCGCAGTATTGTTCGCCGTGAGGAGGAGGAACGTGGACAACATTGACACGTTTTCCGCCAAGAGAAATGAGTGTTGTGTTGTTTACGGAGAGGACAGGCTCCCTCAGGGCGATTTGGGTTGACTCGGTTGAGGCATTGAGCTGCATGGGTCGGGGCGAGAAGGGAAACGATGGGTATGCGGCTCTGCTATGGAGCCTCTTGAGTGGTTATAAGAGCAGGTGAGGACTCGAGCTGAAGTGCCGAAGTTCTCGAGAGTGGCAAACGCTGTCGCCACAGTGCGCTTCGTGGATTGGTTGTTCGGATCCACTGCACCACAACTGGATCTGGGCGGGGCTCGAGGGAGGTCGGATGAGTAAGCTTTCCAATTGTCAGTGAACTCGGTCAAATAAAGCCTTGCTGATGGCTTTCTCTTTCAGAACTGCGGGATGGGAAGCCATTAAGTACAATTCAAATCCCCCCATCGGCTGACCAAGTAAGGGGCGTGCGGCATGGTTAAGCCCTAACGGGGCAAAGTGTAAGAGAACCTACATTCTGCAAGTTGCCTTGTTGCCTTTTTTCTCTTCACACTGCGTCTCCTTGAAGAGCCGCACGCACACCAGCGAATAAGGCCTCTCAGACGGAGCCATTGCCTTCGACGACGTTTCCTCGGCTCGAGGCCCCATGAGCCTTTCTGCTCCCTTTTGAAATTGACGACGCCAGACCGTTGATCCATGGACCAATACGATGTCGAGGGGGGCACCTAGTCTAAATAAGCACTTCACCGGAAGCCCGCCGCAACTGCTCTACGTTAATATTCCACGACGGCAAACCTTCATTAATAGACTTGATGGGAGCTCACCGGTCGGCTATATTTCTGGCATACGAAATCCCATTACGTCCATGGAGGACCAGGTCATGCGGGCACAACTGGCCACAGCGATTAGATTTGCCGTCAACACGATGGCGTCTTCTCACTGAAAACGGCCTAACCGCAGAACGACCAAGTGGAACGCTGGTGTTCCAAAGATATACTGCCGTTGGGCGCTTTACCTGGCTCCCAAATGGTCACCTGCATTCAGTCGAGATAAGGCTTGCCTCCGCCCCCCGCCTCGAGCCACGGATGGCCATCCGTTAACAGTGTCTTTCGAGCCAGGACAAATAGCCACGTTGCCACGATGGCAACCTCGCCAATGAAGCCTGTCATCGGGCGTGACACGTCACCTCCGTACCCTGCAAAGCTGGGACAAGTGGTCTGTTCCCTTGGGGGGAGGCTTCAATGCAACAGCCGGGAACGCGGGGATATTCTATATTAGAAGGGCATCCTTCCCTGGCATTAAGATGTCCATATGTCCCTTGGGAGGATGTAATGAAGCGCACGAACCTGGAACACGAACCTGCAAGGAAAAAAGAAGGAGATATAGGAAAAAGAAAGGCAGATACCCCCTAAGATGAGCATTAAAGCAGCACAACTTCCCACGATGGAGAGTTTGCTCACGTTTAAGAAGACCTTCATTCCGAATTGCTCGGGCTTCCAGCCACCCGTGTTCTGGAATCACCAGAGCTTCCTCGAAGAGAACTCTGAGGCGATAGAACATGACAGGCGACTTTCTAAGACTAGGTCCGTCCGCAGCCGGAACAAGGCATATGACGCTTGGGTTAGGCCATCAAGGCCTGCCGCATCACAAGACTCAATACATGATAACGAACTCGACCTATTCCTCGGATGTTTAGATAGGCTCACGGAACAAAGATCCGCCCGCTGGCTGCCGCTTCGAAATCCAGGAAAAGGAACATAGGCCAACCGGATTCCGGACGGGGGGTGCATGTTGCTTTCCCCCGTCACACTTCCGCGTAGGCTGCTATTGGCCCTGATTGAACCTCGATTGTAAGACCACTTCCTCATAGAGGATCTTTGCCCGCCACATCCACCAGCCTCCTAGATCCGCCATACCCAACCCGGACGCTTCGTAAGTAGCGCTAGAGTGTTGACTCGACGGCTTGGAGCGCTCAACATGGTGTATGGAAAGTGTGGATCGGGGGTGTGGATCGAGAGCAAGCCTCCGTCAGGGCAGCAGCAGGGCGGTCTTATTGTTCGGTCACATGGGTTGGGGGTTTCCAGGAGGACTGGGATAGTGGCGACGGCAGAAAGGAGGTTGTCATCAGCCCTGAGTGCAAGCACACATCATCTGCGGACGTTCAAAGTGAAGTACGGGAGCTAAAATGCGGGAAGCCACTCGCAGGACAGCTTCCAGCCTAAATTACGTAGTCACCGAGATTTTGAGCCAATTGACCAATCATAGCTAACCGAGTCTTTCGCACTTGTAATGAAATTCTTCCTTACGAACAACCACCAACGCCACCCTAGTGAAATTCTCTCTTAATCGTCCAAAGCCCTAATACCCACACCTTTTCTAGTTGAACGGTTTTCAACTTCACTCGCCTAAGCAAGATCGTGCTCCGTGACGGCATCAGGCTCGTGAGGCTGCCTAACATTTTCATCACACCAGGTCTTCTCGAATCTCCATCATGGCGTTACAAAAGCCCATCCAAGCCCTGGTAATTGACACTGGACCTCTTATTAAGAACACTGTGGCCATATCCACCGTTCTGCAGCAGGCTGGGGAGCTTTACACCACCTCCGCCATTCTTTCGGAAATCCGTGACGCTGCTACACGTTCAAGAGTGGAGACAACCCTCCTTCCATTTCTGAAAGTCAGGAATCCGACTCCGGCCAGCTATGAAATTGTTGCCCAGTTCAGTAAGAAGACAGGAGACTTTCCGGTCCTCAGCAGCCAAGACTTAGGAATCTTGGCGCTTGCCTATGAGATTGAATGCGAGAAGTCAGGTGGCAATTCGAAGGTGAGGACTACGCCTAGCCCAAAGGAGACGGTTCCGCCTGCACCAAAGAACGACGGTAAGAGACTGCAAGGCCGGTCGAGGAGAAATAAGAAAGGTGCGACTTCCAAGACTCAAGAATCAAATGACGCTACAACTAAGGTCGTGAAATCCACCGCCACGAAGGAGATGCCCGTCCAGACAGTGGAACGAACGCCAGTAGCACCATGGGCTAAGAATAAGTCTCCCGCTGTCAGTCTAGTCGAGAAAACCCTGCCAACGCTTCAGGTGTCATCACTCACAATTGCGGAGGATACGACCCCAGCAACGAATGAGCCGGAGCTCGCTGCTTCAGAAGCCTACGCCGCTAAATCGAAGGTCACATCAACACTGTCACCAGAGCCTTTAGGTTCATCAACTAATCCCGAACATTTTGATCAAGTGTTATCAGATCTAAAAAAATCATCACCAGAACCTTCGCATGACACAAATCCCCCAGAACTCCTCAGGTCAGAGGAGGAGCTTTCCAAATCGGAGACGCTATCAATATCAGCGTCTGAGCCTACAAAACTACCACCCAACAGGACCTCTTCAGAAGAATTTCCAACTCCCCAAATTCCCCCGCAAGGCCTCGAGGAAGTATCCGAACCATCAGACGATAGCGATGGAGAATGGATAACCCCCGCCGGCATCTCCAAGCACACCGCCAAAGTTTTCGGAGTCTCTACGAAATCTCCTGCCGAACCTACTCAGATGGCTGTAGCAACTATGACCACCGACTTCGCCATGCAAAATGTGCTCCTCCAAATGAACCTCAACATCCTCTCACCAAACATGGACATCATCAAAACGCTCCGAACCTATATTCTCCGCTGCCATGCCTGCTTCTTCACAACCAAGCAAATGGAAAAGCAATTCTGTCCGCGCTGCGGCCAGCCTACCCTCACCCGTGTCGCGTGCTCCACCAACAAGAACGGCGAATTCAAACTCCATCTCGCGAAGAACTTCCAGTGGAACACGAGAGGGAATAGATATAGTATCCCGAAACCAGTAGCAGGGTCAGCGAATGGGAAAGTGGCAGGAGGAGGGAAAGGAGCGTGGGGTAACGAGCTGATTTTGGCGGAGGATCAGAAGGAGTATGTGAGAGCTATTGGGGAGGAGAAAAGGGTAAAGGCGAGGGATCTTATGGATGAGGATTATTTGCCAGGGATTCTTACTGGGGATAGGGGGAGAGTGGGCGGTAGGCCTCGGGTGGGGGCGGGTAGGAATGTGAATTCTAGGAGGAGGGTTTAGAGTGGGGCTTCCAAAACTATATCAGTGGGTGCTTAGAATACTATGTCTCGTCGCAAGTTCTATTCCCTTGTACTGTCTGTACATCAGCGAATCCACTTCCAGAATCCCCAGTTCCACTCTCCAAATTCCTATATCTGAAAACCAGGTATTGTAACGATTGAGACAGCTTCTCATTTCATTTCCTTACTCCTCGCGCCTACCCGCATTCACGCCATCGCTTCTGGTAGCTCACTTGGTATTCGGGTCATCGTAGTATGCTGCGCTGTATCCGTCAGTAGCCCGCTTAGACTTGGTATTTGGATCATCGTAATATGCGGCACTGTAACCGTCCGTAGCACGCTTGGATTTTGTATTTGGATCATCATAGTACGCTGCACTATACCCATCGGTCGCCCGTTTTGCCTTAGTATTGGGGTCGTCGTAATAAGCCGCGCTATACCCATCGGCCGCCCTTTTCTCCTTAGTATTTGGATCATCATAATATGCCGCGCTGTACCCAGATACACCTCTTTTGTTCGCCGGTGACGCAGCGAGTGCGGTGTCTGTTGATGTTGAAGTTAGTAGGAGTATATCAGCGCTCCATTTTAGGGTTGTAATAACCTAGGGACTGTGGTGCTGTTGGTAGAGCCAGTGCACCAATGGCGAGCATAGCCATGGCCGATATGATTGTTTGAAGATGCATTGTAGGGCGATGGTGATAGGGCTGTATATTGTAGGTTGTTGATAGGAATAGGATTAGATATACTGGTATAGAATCGTGGGCGTCTTTTAGGGCTTGTTGTTCTGCGGGTTTGTACGCGTGTATCGGGATATCCTTTTATACATCTCTCCCCATCTCTCTTGAGCCTTGGGACAGGAGTGTACGTGGTTGCACACAGTCGAGAAACCTTCCCTGGTCTAGGAGACTAGCTCTGGAAGCTAGACCGCATATTGCAGTTATTTGCCGAGGGTTATATTGATGAGTTTCGCTTTCCAGCTGATGTTGTATAAATCTGTACAGCCAGCTGAGGGGGCTGAACCGGAACCGAGTTCAGATAACTACTGCCCGTATATTGGGGGAATCTAGGAAAGACCAGTGACACAGCTATTGGTAGTGCCGAGCTCTCGCCGAAAGAGTGGTATTCTACTGTGCTGCACACAGTACAGGTATTGAAGCATGTAAAATATTTCTTTCTGTATGCCTAAATTCATGCGGTGCTGTGCGCGGTGGTAATCATCAAATTGTTGCAGTCTTTTTCTTTCCTGTTGATAGCCTTGTACTACTTTTACCACTTGAATCTAGCATGCTTTACAGAACCACAGAGCACAATCCAAAGCTTTAGGAATCTGGTAACCTAAAAGTGAAAGGAGAATGAGATCGAGATAAAGTACAAAGGCTCTTTAAATGGTCTAGCAAGACTGTAGGTATCGTAAGATAGCCATGCTAAGATAAACAAATAATACTACAATTGGAAAAAAATTAATTTTCTAAGTTGCTCCTAACGAAGCGTCAGCCTCAACGAGTGTCAATATACACGTTGAGTCTACAATGTAGACGAAGCGGTGAGTCGTGAGCGGCAAGTCCGATCAGTTTCACTCACTGTGTGGTGCAACGTAAGCGCCGCCATTGGCTAGTAAATTATCCGATGCTTGCAGACAAGGATCTCGTCAGAGTTGCCGCTGCTCTTCGACTAACAACTAAATTAACATGAGAGCTGAGAAATGCAACCTTTGCTTACTTCAGAGTGGAATTTTTAGTGGCAGAGAAATGACGCGACGCCCACGTCGTGAAGCCGAGACTCTTGAACATAAGTTTGGAGATGGACGGCGTAGGTATACATGGAGTTCAGTTCATCGCAACGAGAAAATAGTGGGACCATTAGAGAAACAGAAGAAAAAGATGACCTTCTCTTCAAGCCAAAAGGCAGGATACAGAGTATTGAAGCAAGATGAGGAAGGTGAGGTGTGTGTTTGTCGTTCTGAAATTAGATTCTTTGTTCTGTCGCAATGCTAATATCATATTCCAGCCTCTCATGATACGAAAGGCGCACTCGAGTTGTCAGAGAGGACTCTGGCTAGTTTCTATATTGAATATTACTCTATTCATTTGGACCATATCTTCGATTGCGTTTGGAGACATTGCCAAACGCCGTGTGCGCAATCGACCATTGAATGAGGTTAATACGTATTGTAAGCTGCTCTGCGTCGATATCAGTGAATATGTAATACTTACAATTTTGCAGCACCGCTGCTCGAAGAGATAGACATCCAATTCTACACCACGAGGGTTAACGGTTCTCTATTCAATGACCCACCAACCATATGGCGGGATCCACCATCCAACGAAGTCGATGCAGCGTGGGACGAAATCGCCAAGATAGAGCTGTTCACTGTCTCAGGAGACGAAGTAAGGCGAATGGGGAAGGATCCAGGGCGAACGGCGCAGGCGCCAGAGAGCTGGGGTCAGTATTCCTTCTTGGTTTCCAAGACTTCAGTCTGACATCTGCCAAAAGGCCTGGGTGCAGATAGGCACATCGTGCAGTTGGACGGCCAGCATGTGCTGCATTGCCTCAACTCGCTGCGGAAATACGCTCACTACGACTACTACTACCGTCCCCAGTATGGCGACAAGCTGCCAGCGCTGCACGAGGCCCACAAGTCGCATTGCACTCATATCTTGTTGCAGGCTTTGACGTGCCAGCCCAGTGTGAATCTGATTACACATGACTGGATGGAAGAACAGAAACATCCATGGCCAGACTTCAATATCGAGAGGAAGTGTCAAAACCACGATGCTTGGATCGAGTACCAGAGCCGGAAGAAAATAACGACAGAACAATGGAGGACTATCCCTATCCCAGACAATGTAGTGAAGTTACCGCTTCTTCCCCAGTTAGGGGATATGGAAGACCCCGGAGATCACAGACGAGTGTAGAATGCGGGGATCAACATTTTGACACGTTATTCAAACGTAGCCCTAGATTTTATTAATCGTGTCCGCCGATTCCAAGAAGGGAACATACATTTGCAACAGGATCTATGAAACCAAGTCGTCCAGTTACACCCAAGACATGATCCCGTGGGTATCTAGTTTATTTTGTAGTATCAGACCAAAACCAAGATAGCTCTGCTGGCTTTTAGCCTGTCCGACGCCATTTCGCCTCATCTTCAGTTCCGTGGACTCCATTGAGGCTATTTTGACCATGCTCTTCTCTTGGCCTCACAGATCCAGCACCTGCACCTAGGCTTCCACCTAACCCTATGAAGTTACCATCTGCATCCAGATACTCTTCCATGTTCTCCGCGGTGATCCATCCGCCAGTCCCTGGCGCAGTATCTTCTTCTTCTTCCTCTTCTTCGTCTCCATCGTCGGACGCATCTGGGTCGGGATGAAGATCGGCGCATGCGTTTAGCGCGGAGTAGATTTCATTTATACATCCCGTCCCCGGGGTGGAGTTATTGTTCGGGGGCAAGACGGTGAGCTCCAGGATCTCGATGTCATCGTCGTCGTTGACTTGCTCGGCGTCATTGAGGCTGAGGTTCATATAAAGCGCTTCAACTCCATTGCGCTTCATGGTTGCGTGGAGGGCGATTGAGGGATAGGGAACCGTGACACCGGTGGGAGTGGGCTGATGCTGGAAGAGGATGAGGTCCCTAGACTGATTAGCTTAAGCTGCGTTCCCTTCCCTTCCAATGCGGCCTCCATGTCCGTTCAAATTCATACCTGGAGTTCACCCAAACCTCGATACCTTTCGCCAGAACACTCTCGCCATCGGAGTCAGTTGAGAAGCGGGCAACAGCTGCATTTGCTTCGAGCTTGCTGCTCGGCATAGCCAGCGTCAATCCGGCGTAGTGCGCGTACAGGACTGGTTTTCCGCCGAAGAAGGTGCTCGGAGTTTTTGTTTGGTGCTCTTCGAGCGGGGTGAATTCATCGGGCGCGGGGGCGTGGCTGACATGTCGGAGCGCCATAATGAATAGCTTAAAAGAATACGGCTACGTCGCACACCAAACGAGCCGAATTCTAAGGTGGGCGATGGAGAAGAGAAGAGCTAGAGGTAGATGCTGAGTGGCTACGAAGTGAAGGCGGCACCTGGGTCTGGAGGAGGGAGGGGAACTGGGAGGGAGGTAGGAGAGGTGGCAAGGTGGGAGGGGCAGCTGTTGCAAGCCCAGAAGGGTCGAAGTCTTGGCACCTCCGTCATCCAGCGGAGCCTAACTTCACACCTTCCATTCACTTTTCAAAATAGACTGAAGACGACTGCGCGATCCCAAGGATCTCATGCCACGCTTCCCCACGCGGCCTATTGCCAGGCTGGGCGGCCACAATGGCATCGTCCATGTCGTAGCTTACTCTTCCGGCTCCTCCGACTTTATCCTGACAGGCTCCTCCGACCGCACGATCCGCCTTTTCAACATCTCTAGAGCGCCCGTCGATTCGAAGGTCCCAAACGCCGGGCTTGTGAAGAAGTTTTCGGCGCACGGCCATGAAGTTCTCTCAATCGCCGTCAGCCAAGGAAACGACAAATTTATCTCAACAGGCGGCGACAAAACCGTCTTCTTCTGGGACGTCGCAACCGCGCAGACGCTTCGGACGTGGCGAGGACATGGTGGGAGAGTTAACGCGTGTGCGTTTGGTGGGGAAGATGAGAGTGTGGTTGTCACCGGTAGCTGGGATGGGACGGTCAAGATATGGGATGTCAAGAGCAACAATCCAAAACCTATCATAACTCTCAATGATGCTAAAGACAGCATCTCCGACGTCTGTGTCTTCGACGCTGACATTATATCCGGGAGTGTGGATGGCAGAGTGAGACACTACGACCTGAGAATGGGAATGTGCAATATCGATGCCATTGGGCATCCGGTTACGAGTCTCGCTGTCACCAAGAAGGGCACCGAAACACTCGTCAGCTCACTGGACTCCACTGTTCGACTTATGGATCGCGATAATGGACAACTTCTGAAAGCGTACCGGGACGAGAGCTTCGTCAATACTGATCTCAAGATCAAGAGCACTCTGGGGCTGAACGACAGCGTCGTGGTGAGTGGCAGTGATAATGGCATGGTCTATGCGTGGGACTTGCTGGAGGGAGAAGTTCTCCACAAATTCAACCACTCGGAAAGACAGGAGGTGAAGGGAAAGAAGCCCAGCGCTCCTACCAGTGGAAAGAAGGACGTTGTCAGTGCTGTTGCTTTCTGTAAAACAAGACAGGAGTGGGCGAGTGGAGGGGGTGATGGGGATGTCATTGTCTGGGGAGCGGAATAGCGACGAACGGTTGCCGGGCAACATATCCAGGATGCTACCTTATGCCGGACATGCTTTACGATCATGATACCCATTTCAATTCGAACAATCCTACCTTTGCTAATACCAGTGCTTTCGAGAGCTTATGCCTTCCCTTCCCCGACATAGGCTGTCTGACTATCCTCTGACATGGCGGCAGTGCCCAAGTAGTCGCTGCCTTTGCATTCGGCTTCGCTCTTCTGTACACCTCTCACTTTCTCAAACTTCGCTGGCTCGTTTGGTGTTAGCCTCCATCTTTTGCCATGTGTGATCCGTCCTATTCCCTGTTTCTCGAACTCTGAGTAGATATCCCTGGAAGTTCTTCTATATAGATTCATACCCGTTTGTCTTCGACACAATTGTTGACCATTGCGTGACTCCTTTTTACGGGTAGACGGGCAGTCTTATGCACTATCTCGCACCTTCCCTGATCTCCTCCTCGATCTCCCTCTCCATCCTCACCCTATCCCTCCCTGTAACAACTTCATGATATGCCGGCGGCGCCGTCTCCGCGCTGTCCCGTCTCCCCACACCTTCTCCCCTCCCCTGCTCCAACCGCGCCAATTCCGCCCCCTCACCACCCATCCCGCCCCGTTCAGTGGCCATATTTGGACTACTCTCTGCACTTCTGATACCCTTGGCATCCTTCCACGTTCTCCTTTTCAGGAAAAGCCAATACAACAGCGCCCCTAAAACAACAGCGCCCATCCCCCCCAATACAGCCGCCACGATCTTCCCAGTATTCAGTCCTTTCCCTTCCTCATACTGATCACCGGTAATCAGCGCAGGTGCCGTGCTCGTGGCTACAATACTCGTGTCTGCCAACCCCGTTGGCGATCCCATACGAAACATATAATGCGGAAATCGCGGCTCTTGTAGCACTGGGAAGAGAATCGAGAAGTCCATCGTGTTGAACCCGTTTTTATCGGAGAGGCGGAAGAAGCAGAGTGCGACGGTGGAGTTTGGGAGCGTTAGGAGTTGTGAGAGAGGGGGGATAGTGTAGGGGGTTCGGGGTGGGGAGAAGGAGGCAGCGTCGTGGAAGGGGAATGTGAGGGTGGATGTGTCTGTTGGATGCACAGGGATTGTGTTAGTGTGGGTTTGATGACAAGCGCAAGAAGGGTGGTTATTTTAACGTGCAGGTGTTACCGTGTGGGTGTTAACATGCGGGTCTTGAGAGTGGGGGAAGAGAAAGACGTAGAAAATTGTGTGCTTGAAGGTTATATCACATATACTCAGGAGCAAATAAGGGGAATATTACGATAGAAAGATGAATTTGGGGGCCTTTCTGTACTTCAAAATAACAACTTAAAATCGAACAAGATCACCAACTTACAATTATCACAAGCACTCCAAACCCCTCCTCTCCCATATTTCTCCTTCCCTCCCCTACATCCCGCACAATACAAATCCACCGTCCTCATCCCAACTTCCATATCTACCCTCCACTCCGGGATTATAACATCACCGACATGCACCTCGACGTCATTGCTACCAAACTCACCAGGCTTGCTCCTGGCTCCTTCCGCCGCGGCCGCTTTGAGTAGTTCGGTTTCATCGAAGCCGGAGTTTGAGTTTGGGTTTTGCCTCTCAGCGAGGATAAGGGATTGGTTGAGCGCGCCCGGGTAGAGCCAGTGCGAGGGGGGAAGGGAGTTCATGTTTGTGGGAGTGGCGCGAGAGTTTGGCACATTTGCCGTAATTCGAGTAGGTGTCGACAAACTCGATTCGCGGAGGTGTTCATGTCGTCAGAGAGCGGGTGAGTGTTGAAAACAGAAGAAGCGGGAAAATCTTATGCTAACCAGCATGCATACAGTCAAACCCCGCCAAGCCGATAGGAATCCAGCCACGTCAATTCAATCGCCTTACTGAGGGTATCGGCTCACTGGGGTTGCTAAGATGTGTCTTGGCGATAATTTAATTATATAAGCCAACTATCTAGTGTTTGTTAGCGCTGATGTTGAGCCTTGTAGGCTTAATATTGCCTCTCTAGGCGCTTAAGTTAGCAGATGTCTGTATTAATTGCTGTCTCTTAGTGTTGTTAGTATTGTAAGAGTAACTAGATAGCCTAAATTGCTTAATAAGTTATAGGTAGAGGTATAATCTTGCCCTTATCTTTAGCTTAAGCCTCCTTAGTATTAACGCTATTGTTATGCTCTGCAACTATATCCTTAAGCATTTAATCTTCCTCCCTAATATTAGTGTCCTTATTAATTAGATTAAGGAAGTTACTAAGGCTTATTATATCCTGTATCTAGCTAGCCTCCTGCGTACGATTGTATAGGCCTGAGAGGTCTAGTTCTGGCTAGAGGGGTAGCTGCAGTACCTGTGGTAGGATAACTGTACTGCGGCAGAAGCAATTATATATTGTTAAGCTTAATATATTGTCTATCTAAGCAATGCGCAGCTATTAAAGCGTATTTTAAAGCGTAATTATTAATAGGGGGTTGTAGCTAGCCTTATACTCCTTTACTATAAATTAAAGCTAGTATTTCCTATAGTAGGTCTTTAGATTCTAGATAATCCCTTAATTAAAAGGTTAATATAGGCTTGTTGTATTTAGTAGAAGAAAGGCAACGCAGATATAGGATAGTAGAGGAGCCTGCTGTAGGCCTTAAATGTAAGCCTTAAAGTTGTCTATAAAGAGGAGAATTAGCTAAGCTGTAACACTGCTATAGAAATATATTAACTACTTAGCTATAAGTGTTAAGTTTATCTATGCCTTCTTGTTTACACGCTAATATATATTAAGCGCTTAGAGATTAATACCATAGAGAGGTTAAGGCTGCTTAGCATAGCTAATAAGCTATAAAGATAGCTAATAAGAGCTAGTTGCGTTAGTACAGCATACTACAGTAATCCTTAACTTTAACTTTTTAACTCTAGGTAGAGGCTAGGTTAATAGCCCTCCTACTAGTGTATTTCTCTAGAATAACCTTATCTTATTTATATTATATATATCCTCTTTAGCATACTTACCACAGATTGTTTAAACTAATTTTATTGCCTCCTTTGCTGCAGTATTATCTACAGATCTAGCCTTGCTGTGGCGCTGTTAAAACTTAATATTAAAGCGCTGCTAGAACTAATATAGCCAGCCCTAGCTAAACTTTAGAGGAGGTAGATGTTAATACTTGTTAATTTGCAGCTAGATCTTGCGTGCTTTCTTAAGAAGCAGGTCGCTAGTAATATAGGCTCTGCGAGCTTCTATTAACTAGAACCACTAGAAGAGTATTAAGTTAAGGATTAGCTAATTACTAGTTGTACGTTGCACTGCTAATAAAGGCTGCTAAGAGAGATTAGGTTAGTTAATATTATTAAACGCGCTGCTTAGCGACTTAGAGACTGTTAACTAACTAATTCTATAGTTATACTGCTGTAAGAACTACTATATACAGTCCTTATAGTGTAGTTAAGGTGTTTAACTCTTGTACTAGCTTCTAAGAGCTCTGCGCTGTTCTTTTGTAATCCTGCAAGCTATTGCTTGTTAATTTTAGTAAGGCAATATTTTAGTGTTTTGCAGCTGATATATCAGGGGGTGAGGTATCAATTAATTTGTATGGGGGGATAATTGAGGCACGAAAAAATTATCGCGATATTAAGGTTATTGGCTTGGCGGGTGATCGGCTTGGCGGGGTTTGACTGTACATACATGCATACGATCTTTCCGATCTGGGCTTTTCACTAGGAATAGCTTACCGTGATTAGGTAGAGAACGGCACGGTAAGTGCACAGGTTGAGGCTACTATTTTTAGAGGATTGAGGGGAATCTAAGCTGTATTGGGTAATATATGATGCAGGCTTTTGGGGGTGTGGTTGGTGCGTTAGAGCAAGGGCGGGAGAAAATGGGCGAAGGAACGGTGTACCATGTGTGGGGATTGTATATTAGTTTTACGAACAATGAGGGGGCCACCTTCGTAACAGAGCGAGAAATATACAGATTTTGGCCAACTTGCAGGAGACTAACCCTCTTGATAATCATAGCTCTAAATGATACCACGTATTGCGGATGGTATAATGTATGTAACCAAACCCTTGTTCAAGATAAATAAGAACTCAAGGGCATTAATCAAGCAACTACATAACATCTCATAATTCTAAGCCGCTCATTGGCACGTTAGTTCCTATAATGCTTGCCAGAGTCACTGCAGAGATATGATTTACCAAAGATAACCTACTAAGCCTTCCATACCATCTCTATTCATCCTAAGTCTGATATCACGGAAGAATCTCACCACATGCCACTTCTCCTTGACATCTGCCTTGCATTTGGATCTAGTGCTAGTTGTCAACCACTCGAAGCCATCTCTCTCTGCGTTCTTGCTGTTCGACATCTCTCGCTTTCCTCAACGCAAAATTGATGTTGAGACTCTCTATCTCGCCCCTGCTCTTGAATCAGTCTTTCCGCCTCCCGCCTCTCCGCATCGCTCACCACCTTGTTATATGCTGGCAGTGGTTCGTCCTCCGCTAGCAATCCCAGTCCGTTAGCATATACCTGCGAAGGGCGTTCTTGCACAAATGGTCTGCGGGTTCCAGTAGGTTAGGTGGTTGGGATGCGATGCCCTGTTTGCTAGGACCATCGCCACAGGCCCGCTTACATGCCTCTTCCATGATTGATTGATCGTGTGTGTAGTGATGACTATGGAAACGAGAGCCGCAGGGCATCTATGACGAATCCTGCGATGGCGCCGGGGCTTGGGTCGTCATAATTGTTGTAGCAATGTTTATAGCTATCAGAAGGGTGGTATGTTGCCGTCGGGTATCCCAGCCGAGTGCTACGCGTAATGGTAAATTTAGGATTCAAGGTCCGCGATTGGCCTTGAGGCCAGGCCGAGGAGAAGTTGTAGTATAATGCGCCGTGGATGGAGTCATCTCGTAAGCTGTTGAGGAATGGGTACACTACAATAAAATCCAAAGTGTGCCGACGCATTTATAGCGTAAGTGCACAGGGCTACTGAAGCATTAGTCTTCAGACTTAAACTTCTAGGCCCGTGCATCTCTTCATAGTAGGTCTGCTCTACAAGTACGATCAAAGTGGAGTTAATGACTGGGTCGCAAATTAAGAAGGTCCCCAAAGTTTGACGGAGGTGGCTACTAACAGTCTGAGCAAGCACCCCAACCCCCTAGGGCACTATATCTCTGTATACATGCCCACCTCCCCACTCGAACTCAATCTAGTCGTTTACATAAGTTCGGGAGGATCCAAATCCTTAATTTGGATGCCCTTTTACAGAGGCTTTGAGAAAGTCGATCAGGGAGGTATTAAGACAACCCGCATTGATAATAGAGGTAGGAAGCGTGAAGTTGGCTGGCGAAGGGGGAAATACCCAAGCTGGGTTCGTGCCGTTCGTGGTTGTTTAATTACGATGCTCGCGAGGAGCCTAAAATCAAAGTGTTAAACTAGGTGCGACTTGCCGCAGAAAATTATCCAGATAGCATTCGAGCAGCGCTGAAGAACTTCACGGTGCTCACAGAAGTCATGCTGTACTCATTCAGGAACCTATGTGAGCCTAACAAGGCTAGCACTCAGCCGCTGTGCCCGCACCCAACAGCCACACCTCCAATCCAGCAAGAGTCGGACGGCTTGACCGGCCGGAGCGCCTGAAAACCGCAATCACCAGGACCTGACCGAAGTTTGTGTCTAGAAAGCTTGGATTCACCAAAGAATGTTGGGGTAGCAGTGCTGTTGAGGAAAGTTGTCCGTGATTGATGCTCCGGAATTCGTTCCATAAAAGTACGCTGCTGACGGAGCTTGAAGGAGTCAAGGAGGCCAATGTGAATAGTGACATCTTCTTGTGCCAGGGGGGTGTTATGTGAAAGATGGACATCACATCCAGAGGGTAATTAAGGTAAAAGAGAAAGAGCTAATAAGATACTAAAGTGGAGCAATAATTCGCGGTAAAAAGACAGTTGATTTGATGAGTTACTTCATGATGGTGCCTACCACAAAGCATCGACAAAAATAATCGATCTTGCAAACCCGTGGCTCAAATTAAGAACGAAGGCGAAAAGAAACAACCCTCTGCCAGAGTCGTACCTATCTCGCATACTGTTACTCACTGGTTAGTTAGTCATACCTTCGTCTCTATGTAGGTCTAAACACACAGTGTCCTCGAATAGGAGTAGAGGTATTTACCTTGCTTCCTTCAAAATGTACCACAGATTTAGTTGTAGAGTGGATTTGATAAACTTGGTAAGTGAAGGTGGGGAGGGGAGAGAGCACAAGAGGTTTTAGATGATGGTGAGGGAATGGAGAAATGAAGCTTCAATCCTGCATTTTGCTTAATTTGGCGCTAGCTTAGCTTTAACTGTTTAGTCTCCTGTTAATTTCAAGTTTCCATCATCTACCGTCCCTGGTATCATTTTTTATTCATTTTTTAAATCACGATGCCCATGAGCATGTCAGAGATGATCAACTGTACATATAATCTCGGCTCACGGCAGAACTATCCAAATCTCACGTCCAAGAAGACAGCCACACGTGTTTGGGACGGGTGGTGTAGGATCTCCTCCTATCGATGGTCCTCAAAATATCCAATTGTGATTGCTCATATGGCGCCTGTTTGGCTTTGCACATGTACGCGCAAATGAACCTTGGACGCGCTCTTCGACGAAATTCACAGTGTCTGGCAGTAATGGTTCAGATGGTGCTTCTGCAAGTTTCCCTATGTCCTTCATAAAATGCTTTCACAGTAGTACTCTGCCCTATTTCTAGCAATGACCCCTGCGTAACCAGCTAGCCCTATAACAGCTATGAGGTGAGAAACGAAGCCTCATTAGTTAGACGCGCAGGAATTACCGCTTGATCACGCCTAGCTAACAGATAACGAATATATACTGTGACGAAATGAAGAGACCGCAACGTCCATGACCAAGAAGGCCGTTGTTGCTGATGTTGAGACCAGCAAAGTAGCTATAGCCGCTTCATTGGCCCGCTAAGCCCCGCACTAACATACTAGCTAGACCAGCAACTGGGGCAATTTGAAAGCTCAGCTTTCTTGACATTCTCAAGGCTAACCCTCCATGTTACATATCCCCTAGCCCTCGCTTTAAAGAGCTTTTACCCTTTGTCTTTGAATATGGACACTAAAATTCCCAGCTACAGACATGTGACTTTTCGCCTTTGCGATTACATTCCTAATCAATATCGTGCAGATCGTGCCCCCCTTACATTTTGCAAGACACTCTATGACCTCGGAATTTAAAGAGTATATCGGACCCAGCAATACAACCCCATTGATCTCGAAGCTCCCCGACTGAACATAGTATGATGGGGCGAGAGATGCATTCGGGCTTAAATCTTCATGACTTCCCGGACTAGTCAGTATCCACACCTGACCCTGTCATCCTTGATATTCATAGGAATTTAGTATAGATGCCTGCCGGGTATGGTGACGTCGTGGCCATGGACATGAAGGCTCGTCAATACCTAGGCCAGGAGTATTCGACGTTTTGGGGTGGCTCAGATGATAGAACACATGACAGAGGTTTATCTTACACGGTACACCCACAGAGTCTTTGATTGTGTGGTGCCGGCTGATAGATATAACTCAATTCGTCTTTCGATATCGTTTATAATATCATTGCAAGTAAAGGCCTCTTAAGGATACCTCCGCGAGTTCCTGATTACTCCTACTGTCACCCCACTGATTACGGTATTCGACATTCAGCCTTTCGACGTTTCCCCTCTCAGTGTACCATCACCAGGTTGGGTCTACGTTGACCTTTTTTAAGATATTTATATTGAAACTGGCGAAGTATTGATCTAATGGCCTCCGTCGCAGTATTCCCACCGAAAGGAAGTCTGATAAAAACTCTTTCAGTTACTTTCACATAAATAGTATCGACAAAGACTTCAATGGCAATTACTCTACCTTGTCGAGGTACTTTCACACCGTGGCATGGATAAGTCGAAAGAACCGCAGTGTAGTATGGATAATTGGGGGGGATAACAGCTCACGACTGATGAGACGAATCGAACGGCTCAGCTACTTGCTTCCTGCCCCACTCCTACCACTATTCTCGCACACTCATAAGGGTCGACGAAATTGCTGGGAGACAGCGAGACTACCTTTGTAGGTTGGAGCCACAGCGCCACATACTCAGAGTTCAACACCGAGGCTGGCGAGCCGCTATGCGAGACACGCTTCGGTGCATCACTTTTCTTCGGTTCAGGGTGGGTAAAATCATATCGGAACTTCAAGAGTTGGCTAGGTAGGCAGGGCATGGAGCTCGGATGCTCGGAGATTGTGAGCCTAGATATACTTGAGATAAGGTTGAGCCTTACTTTGGATCGACTGCGGTGCTTCTTTTCTACATTTTCACTATTGCTGCTGTAGATTTTAAGGTAGTTTACCTGCTACCCAAATTACTACCGTTCTCGAAACAAAGGCTCATACTTAGAGACATTTTGCATAGATGGTACGGCGGCTATCACAAGCTGTCCGTCATTGTGTAGATATACGAGAATTTCCTCGAAATCAATTCTAATATTCGGATTCCGATCATCACCGCCGACCCCTCGAGGCAAAGGAACAAAATTTAGAAACAAAATTTAGGGTCCTCTTTGAATACTTCCGCAACCCAGAAGTAGGCCTGAAGAATTCGTGATTTTCCTGAAGAGGATCGCGTTTCACTTCCTTTCCCTTGTAGAGAAAGGCTAAGAGATCGAGGAAACAGGTGTAGCATACACCGCAACCTAACCACACTTTTTGTAGTAGTATATCAAAAGGCAATGCTTCCCTTGCAAGAACACAGGAGGACGATCGAGGACTCGAGGAGCTCGCTAATAACATTCACCACCCGCACGTGGCCCCGCACTACCTTTGCGTAACCGCGTCCGTCTTGGCACGCTCACAACAATAAACAATCCATCCCACCACCCAATTCTTATCGCATCTCAACACCATACCCGCGCTCCTTCAGACAAACCTCCCCAAGCCCCTTTCGCCATCTCCAGACTATGAACTATGCCGCGCTCACACTCCTCTTACACCGCGAGCCCAACGCGTTCTCGCTCACCACACCGCAGTCCTCCGCGCCGTTCGCCCTCTGAAGATGGTTCTCAGTACGAGATGGACCTAGACGTGTTGGGCATGAATTCCACGTTTGACTCCACGGGATTGGACGCCAGTCATGAACCGCAGGTGGATCGAGTTGAAAGCAGTGATATTGAAGGACCGGAGGATTTTACAATGAATATGACGTACTGGATGACTGCGGACTTGCCACTGTCGCAGATCAAGTCGAGGAAAGAGGCGAGTGTGAGAGTGGTGGAAGTGCGGGGAGATATGGGGAGTGGGTTCCATGACAAGCAAGACACAACTGAGGAAGACGGCAGGCCTATTATCGATGATGATTCGAGGGAGAGAGAATACCGGGAATACGACTCACGGTCACCTACAATGCGCGCGAATGGAACGACGGATGGCCAGCAGGATGACAAAGCGCTATCCGAAGCATCAATGGAGAATGACGAGAAGGTTATGAGCTATTTAAGCGCGCTCCCGGATTCAGAGGTCGCGGGTGCTTTCACTTCCCCGCCACCAAAGCCGAACACGTTGCAGGTGCCGAAAGCCGTGTCAAAGGCACGGTCTCTACAGGCGACTGTTGAGGATTATTCTGACACGCCACGAAAACCCACACAAGAGACCGTCATACACCACGCTCAAGAACGTACAGCAGAGATGAATTCAACAGGTTCGGATGGCCTGCGGAATCGGATTGCAGAGCTACAGGCTCGACTCGAGCAGCAAGAACTGACATCTAAGACACGAATCACCGAATTGGAGACTATTCTCTCTTATGCACGCTCAGAACTTGACGCCGCGCACGCCGAAAATTACAAACAGCAGGAACAAATCACTCGTCTCCGCGAAGAGAACGACGGGAGGAGGCAAAACCAGGAATCAGCCATCGAATCTATGGGGGAGGGGCTCAAAGAGCAAGAGTGGGACTCAAATGCTAGAATGCAAAATTTCGGGGAAGGATTGCGTTTGCAGAATCTCACCAAACTGCAGAACCAGAAAGAAGATTTTGAGCAGCAATTGACAGCCAGCGAAGAGGCGAGACGGGCAGCTGAGCGAGACCTCGAGCAGAAAGAAGGTCGCCTCGCATTGTTGCAGAGTGAGTTAGAGGACACGAGGCAGTCGAAGGAGCAAGAGCTTCAAATTCTTAAAGATTCCCAATCAGCAGAGCAGCAGAAGCACGAGCAAGACTTCGCTAAAGAACGCTCTACTCTCAACAAAAAGTTGGGCTCTCTTCAGACCCTTGCCGACGCCCTCCAGTCTGATCTAGAGAAAGCTACCGCTGAAGCCAAATTCGCACGGCAGGAGGCTCAAGCCAGCGCTGCCCTCAACACTTCTACCGCAACCTCAGCCCAGACCTACACCTCCCGAATCATAGATCTTGAATCCCGTCTCCAATCTCTTCAATCTCAGGTCAACTCCTCTCGCGTTGAGTTAACAACTAAAGACCAGCAAATCCTCCGCCAAATTGAAGATCGAGAATGTCTTGACCAGCGCCTCCACACTGCACAAGGCCGAATCGAAGGTCTTGAAACAACCATTTCCACGCTTCGCCAACAACTCTCTGATGCGCATCGGGAGAGCTCGAAATCACGGACAGATGTAGAACGCTTTGAGAAGGATCTTGAAGACGCCACTGATCGACTGCACGATGCCCGTGCGGAAGCAGATCGAAGGGTTGCAGATGTTGAGAAAAGGCTCAGTAAGATGAAAGAACTGAAAACCGAGTCGGACAGCAGATTCGAAGACCTGCGGTCCGAGCACGAAGACGCCATCGAAGACCACGAAGCTAGACTCGAAGAAATCCGTGAGAAAGCCGAAGATGCTATCCGTAAGGCCTCCGCACTCCTCTCACAAGAGCGAACCGAGAAGAAGAGATTCACGAAAGAACTGAAAGTAGCGAATAATGAGCTCGAGAAACTGCGTTCGGAAGCTTCACAGAAAGCCACTGCGCAGGAAAGAAAGGACGAAGAGTCTACGGTTGAGGGGAGCCCGCCATTCCAGTCGGATTCTAAAGACGTCGAAATTGAGAGCCTACGCGTCCTGTTGCGGAAACAGGCGAAGGATATGAAGGCCCTGAAATCTCTGAATGTATCATTAAGGAGGGAGAATGAGATGAAGAATAATATCCACACGGAGCTTTTTTCTCTGCGCAAAGAGAATGAATTCCGAAGGACACTGGAGATTGAAGTTGTTTCCCTCCGACAAGAGAACTCAGCCCTGAGATCAGAAGCGCAAACTCTACGCGAAGACTTCGAGGCTGTGAACAAGCAATTAGACGAGCGAATCGCTGCGGTAATACGGAGAATAATGAAAGACCGCACGATAACGGTGGTTGGAAAGAGGGATGATCAGTGGGCTGATAGTGTTGGGAAGCTGAAGGATGAGAGGGAGTTTATGGGCAGGGTGTTGATGAGGGAGTGGGGGAGGCAGGAGTGTGGGGCAGTGGAGGAAGGGGAGAAGCAGGCGTATCGGTATAAGTACGTTCAACGCTCATGATGTTGGGACTGGCCTGTGGGCCGTTTGGTTTTCTGGGTCAAGCGTGGCGTTCAGATTGGAAATAGGATCTAGGTGGCGTGGTTTGGTATTTGGTACATGCTTGTTGGTGTCTGTTTGTATTTCATGGGTCTGTGATAGCAATTCTTCCTTCAATGCAACCTCCGTGCTTTGGGAGATTATCATACAGCATTCTTGACGTCTTTGTTTTCGAGACACATTCTCATCCGTCCTCTTCTCCGCGACCTGTACTCATCAATTACCTCATACACTACGACCTCCAACCCCTCTTCCCTTACAACAACCCCTTCCTGGCCAACTCAATCTTCTTCGCAGTTTCGCCCTCCTGATACCCGCCTTTACTCGCACACACAGCAATGCCATCCCCCAGCTCAACCTTATCCTCAAAGGAATCCCAAGCGCAAGGGCAGTGGTGTGGAAAGTGGACACAGGATAGGGTTCCGGGACATAAGTAATTTGAACACGGTGCTTTTAACCACTGTCAGCTATATGGAACGCAGCAAGGTAACAAGTGCACGAGGTAGAATAGACGAATTTGAAATGTGCAGAGAGCAATAAAGAAGTGAATATATGGAGACTAACCGCCATCATACTGAGCCTGATACCAACTACTATCACTCCTAACATTCTGCTGCTGTTGCTGCTGATGCTGGTGTCCTCCGCCGCCGCCGAACATTTGGTCGAAGAAGCCGAATTGCGCTTTAACTGTGAGGCCGAAGAGACTTAGTGTCAGGAAGAGGATATTGAAAAGCTCCATCTTGTTAGCAGTCCAAGCAAGCGTTTTGGAAATGAAGTGCGTGGTGGGTTTGAGTGTTTTTGCTGATGTGGAGCTTTCCAGGGAAGTGCAAACGAGGCAAATATGCCAAGATTCTATTTCCCAATCTCTGGTCCGCTAGTAAAAGTTCACCTGTGCACTCAAGGTTTGCGACTTCTCCCGCCTGGTAGACAGAAGAACACCACACCGTTCCTTTCCAAAACTATCCTTCAAGTAAGTCATATTCATGTCGCCGCGATCTGAAGATCCTAATTGCGCGCTAGAATGCATCTCATGTACACCCTCGGTCCCGACGGCAAACGCCAATACACGCTCAAGAAAGTCGTCGATAGCGTTGTCGCCAAGTCAGCGCATCCGGCGCGGTTCAGTCCTGATGATAAATACTCGAGGTACGGATCCATATATCTTATATTTGCGCTTCCGGGAGGAAGGCACGAAGCGCAAAACAATTGCAGTTGTATTGAAATTGTGAAGGGACGGATGGGTTGAGATACTGTGACTGAAAGGGATGTTAGGCACCGCGTCACGATCAAGAGAAGATATAGTCTACTTTTGACTCAGCAGAGTGAGTTTCTTCCAAAAGTGAGAGAGTTGAGAAACAGAATGCTGATTGTAAGCAGGGAATAAGCATGTACTCGGCCAATAGGCGATGCTTCGGACGGCATGATGCGAATGCTTGAAAAGTGTTTTGGCGAACCGGTGAATCCTTTCAGGTAGCTACGGCTGCTATTTGTGAGGGGCGGCTCATTTTAGGGCTTTATGGGAATCTAGCGGCTGTATTGTGACCAGCTACGGCTTAAACGAAAGAATAATAATTTAAGCTGCACATTGTGGAATTTCAAGGCATCCTGCTCTATATCCAACCGTCCAATTTCCTCAAGGTCTATTTTTCCAGATCGCTGTGCCAGCCTCGGGTGGTCGAAATCCAAAATCGACAAGATCCAGCGGTGTCGCTAACCCGTTAGACTGGCCAGCTGGCTTAGTATGGCAAACTCACTCCACCCTACACCCATTAACTTGGAATCTACCTAACAATTCCATGGAAAACTCACCTCAGGGTCCCAAGTAGCCACCCACGCAACCCCAAATATCACCAGTAGCATCACCGTCCATAGGGTATTCCCACCTACACCCAACAAATATCCCGTAAAAATATCCCACCCCAACATCCAAATATGCACGGCTACCAATCCCCACAAGAAAGCATCAAAGCTCCTCCTCCCAAACCTGATCCCGAACACCTTCCTCTCGCCCTGCATCTCGACAATGAGATGTAGGTTCCATGCCACAAAAAAGAAGAATAGGATGTTGAGAGCTGTGGCGGGGAGTGCGAACAGTGAGGTTAGGAATGGTAGGGTGTAGAGAGTGGAGTGGAGCAAGCGCAGGATCAGGACGGAGAGGAAGGCGCTGCGCCGCAACATGAGGGGTCGGTCCGGGACACATGGGTTGAAGGACTGCGAGAGACCCGGCCAGCAGGTGCGGAGGTTGGGGCATTGGCGCGAATGCGAGGGCCGAGACTCGTAATCCTGGATGGTTACAACAGGCATTTTGGTAGTTGGTAAGGCTGAGGTTGATGCGGGTAGTTCGTTCCTGGCCTGATGTAGGGTATCGCCTAGGTGTCGTGGGACGGGTACTCGGGGCGAGGCGAAGAGACCAGAGAGAGTGAGCTGATGGAAATTGTCGTGAAGTTCACTGGTAGTTGCTCGTCTCGCAAGCTGTTTCTGATGCTGCGGGGTTTCTCGTATTGGCGCACGTCCTCTAGTTAGCGCTCTCCAACGGCGAACGCGGAGCAGGTCGTGAGAATTCGTTAGGTGGGATGATGAATTTGTCGTCAAAATTAAGATGTTGCTGAGGGAGATGAAGAAATGACGTAAAAGAATTTGTTTGCTGACTGTTCAAGTGAGACGGTACTTTGTGGGAGTTACTCCAACTAACTCTTTTATCACCTCAGCTCACACACTGAATAGCGACGCAAGCACAGAAGTGAAATGTAAAGGCGAGGTGGAATGAGGCAAATGAAATTTGAACAATGCACCTTCAGCTCGGCTTCGAAGGATCGACTCCATGACTTCCTGCTGCCTGAACATCAGCTTGGCATGAGGCTGTGAGCGCTTCAATCTGCCGAGGTGTGCCGTGTCGCCGAAGATATTGGGGCCGTTTTGAAGCTTCATAAAGGCCCATTGGGACTCGGAGCAAAAATGGCTGTGAAGTTGCGGCGAAGCACACAGGCGAAACACCTGATGATGCTTGGCGCCCCATGGGCTATTGAAAATACTTCTGACAGGATTTCTAAGAATAGACATGGGAGGAGAAAGTTGTTTGATGTCTGGAGAGTATCAGACGATGAGAGCCTCGACTGACAAGACTCGACGCTGCGATGCTATCGCAAAATAGCGCTGCATGCTGCCATCCCGAGGTTGACGGGCCCATGTGACGAGATGCGTCCACCAGAAGGGTCGAGAAGCTGAAAGACGCCATGACTTGAGAGAGAGGGAGAAGAGATGACAGAACAAAACCACGAAAGAATATAAGAGAGGGAGAGAATGCATAATCACTCAAGGTGGTGGAACAACGTTACCGTTGAGTCGAAAAAGTTTGGAAGAATTGTTACATCATTGAACGGCCAAACTGATGGTGATCCAACCGGTTGCCCTGTATGTGCTTCGAGGCACTGCAGTAATAGTCAGCATAGCACTCACGTCTGCTGTTGTGTCTGAGCTGCAAGCTGCACAGTGGTTCCTTTTGTGACGCGCCCTAAAGCGATAGATGGCACTGTTATGAAGAGGGGACGGTTGATGAGCTAGTGAGGGGATCCTATTGATGTTGATGAACCCCACCCACGTCCATTTCGAAGCGTTTCTCGCGGACGCTTATTTAATTGCTCTGCAGCAAGCCAGAACTGCGTGGGGGTCGATGTGCTGGGCCGCGAGGAAGAGCGGTTCTCATGCATCGCCAGCGTCATCGTCCTTGAAAGAGCGAAACGCTGAAGCAAAACATTGAGCTGGTGGTGCGCCCACTATCGACACCTGCATGGACATGCGTGTTCCCGTCCTGATCTGGGGAAGTGGTCGCACGTCGATGTCAACCGTCCAGTAGCAGCTGGCTCAGTACATTCCAATATGTGGAGGAAGTACTTGTGAATGAAGCACTGCGGGGTAGCTCGCACACTGTGTATCCTGCCTCGGAAGCGCGATTACGGCGGCGGTGCGGAGGACAAGTCTGCCCGCCACTGCGTGTCGTTCATCAAGCTCCGAGGCCGTGGAAGCGTGCTCGAGGAAGCAGAAAGCACTAGAGTGAGCAACTGACGGACAGGGTCCACATGCAGCCAGCGACCGACCACACCGCCACGGTGCCAATCACAGCTAAGCCGCCCGGTATTGCCTCGTCAGAACAATGGAAGGCGCATCATGCACGCAATACCGTAGGGTGCTGCATGTCCGTCTGCTGGACGAGCATCGTGAGCGGCTCGGAGGGGGCTCGGGGAGACACTCGAATTCTGCGGCAGCGTCGGCTCAAGGATAATTACAGTGTGGCTCCCTATCTGACGAGTTTCGTCATGCCCAGATAGCAATCTTTCCAGCCCTACGCTGAGATTGGTGATATCAAAATGGTGCAAGAGCTAGCCTGCCCGCTCACAGGGGCCGATGGAGGCCGCTGGCCGCACTGTGCAACGGTCCTAAACCTGTTCGCTGCCTTCAGGTACATTCAGGTACAGGCTGAATTGCAGCATATCGCTGAGCGCTGGGAGGCCGCCGTCAACGGCTAGATTGATTCGCAATTCACTCGGCGATGGGCGCACGGACACCATGCTGTCTCAACAAACAGTCTCGTTCGTGCTCAGAGGTCAAATGTCTTGCTGCATAACCCCAACAAACAAAGAGACAACGCTTCGTGGCTGAGATCATGTTTCGACCACTACTTGCAGGAGAGCCCCTCCCATCTCCACCTCGTGCTGGAGTTGGGAGCTCCCCTTCGCCGTCACTACCCTCGTCCGCATGTGCGATGCGATGGCGGACACGCCGTCGACGAGATTTCTCCGGAGTGCCTGTTCTGGTCACCCATTCCCACCAAATTCACGAGATTTCTAGCTCCCGCTAGAGCACGTTGATTCACTTAAATAATACTTAAATAATTATGCTTCTCCCACGGTCCTCCATCTCTCTCGCACCCCTCTCTTTGTTTTTGCTTGTGCTCCTCTGCCATTGGATCCTGGTCTCCCACCAGAGCCAAACCCATCCACTGACGCTGTCAGCTTCAGGACGCCGCAGCAAGCGCGGCACTCTCTCGCGTGGTGGTATTCATTCTCCATTCCAGGCTGCGTACCCCACGCTCTCGCTCGGCGCCGCGTGCCCTCAGAAGCCCGCCCTGAAATCGAGTTGCAGGGACATCAGCAGCACGATCCAGCACGCTGCAGCCAATTGCGGCACCTGTGCAAGCTTCCCCACGCTGCAGCTCTACCCCAGACTTCAGCCATCCCCAACCCCATCCGCACACGCCAGAAATTCACCACCAACTTGCTGTGCGGCCTGACCGTGGTGCACCTATCGTCGTGACACCTCCTCCCACATAACCCCCCTCGGCCGCCTCCTGACTCGGCTGGCTGCGTTAAAAGTCTAAGCGCACCTCCCTCCCGCTTCACGACGTTGCACATCTTCCCCCTCGCTCTTCCGTCAAACAAGAAACCTTGGGGATGAACTTCAAAAACAACACCTCTCACTGGCCCATTGGACAAGAACCCATCAATCGATGAATCGGGGTCCCCCCCCACCTTCACGAATTCCGACTCACTTCCCGTCCATCCTATCATTGCCCATCTCGGGTACATATTTCTTCTTTTAGCACCATCGGGGATCGATACGCTTGCTTATTCCGCCGTTCCTCACGTCCTTCTCGCCTTGGCCGTAAGCCTTGCCGGACCTCTCCCATCCCAGACTCCGACCTTAGAATCTGGAACCTGCAGGCACCGTAGCCTGCGACTACGAGAACGATCTTGGTCGGAGAGACTATTCTTATCGTGCTGCTGTTGCACGTAATGGAGTCTTCGATGACCCTCCTGAGTGCACACATCCAATTCCTTGTATGTTTCCTCTCGTCATCCGCTATGCGTCTGTATGCACAGCATCTCAATAAAGTTCTTGTTTTATACCTGCCCGCACGAGCTTTGATCATGTCTCGCCTGCATGGCGTCCTGCAGGGCTGTTTTTATATTTCGCCTCCCCACAGAAATTTTGCTGCCTCCCGAACCTCAACTAACACCATGATCACCTTCAAGGATACCCATCTAGCCTTGATACATATTCCATTGCACCTATACTCGAAGTTTCTTCAGCCCATCCTTCAACTGCTACTTCCCAATGAATCCCGGGTTAATGGTACTACTAATGAGAGCCGAGCCGTGCCTCCCCCAAGAGGCTGGCCATACGAGCACCCTTTCGTGAACATTTCCATCACTCCGATTGAATGCTCCGTAGTGTGCTCACGAACACTTGCTCGTGAATTGTTCGTTCCAGCGCAGGATGCCCTAGATCCAACTTCAAAAAGTCAGGCATCTATTACCAACGAAGACTTCGTTGTCATGCAAGTCGACGGTGAAGGCCTAGATGCCGGACAACGGGTACTGGAACTCACCAGCCCTCTGGCCCTAGCGGGCATGTAAGTGTGATAAAGAATCGAACTAGTGCTTAGTGCTAACGCTCCACAGTTCCATCTTCTTCATCACTACCTATTTCTCCGACTACATCCTTGTACCACTCCGTTGTCGAGCACAGGTAGTACATGCTCTCGAAGACCGGGGATTTCAGTTCGAGGACCAAACATCGTCGTACATCAACCCTAGTCATCACGGCCGCAATCACTCCTCGACCTCCTCCTTCGAAACTCCAGCACCAGGAACACCTCCACCGGCCACAATATCCGAACTACAGACACGGACATTTGCAACCCTCAAGCGCCGTAACATCATTCCCACTGTGGACCCAGGCCTGCGTCTCATCCAATGTGCTGGCCGCAGAGACGCTTCACGCTCAAATGGGATTGAGCAGAGCCGTAACCGCAATAGCATGACGAGCGCTGCTGATGACGCGCTCCACCTCGGCCTTGTTAAATGCCTCATTACACATCCATATCCACGGTTTCTCTCGCTAACATTGACTGACACTGAACCGGCGTCGCTCCTTCTTGACCGTACACTTCTTCCCAATTTCACTCAAGACATTCTCTTAGGATCGAAGGATGACTATTTAATTCCAATCACGCTCGACTTGCGCGAACTTCCAATGGAGAGCACCGGTATCGTGTGCGGCGTGGCAGGGCGCTTAGTAGGAGGCACGGCTGGCCAGCTCGAAAGCCCAGTCGAGATGAGCTATCTCAGCACAGCTCGGGCAGGCACAGTAATGGTCGGTGAAGAAGAGCTGAGACGTGCCCTTGGCGCCTTGCGCGGCGCAGAGAATGGCGTGCTATCTTCCCCCGATTAGCCCAGCTCCAGGCGGGGTCTGATGCGATTATGGGATGGATGCAAAGGCCGACATAGCAAACTCACGGAGCCTCTTTAGATCATGTGAGGCGATCGCAGGCTTCCAAACCTCTGCTCACACCAATCAGGATAAACTACAATGAGAAGAGTTTGGTAAGGCTGGGGCGGGGTGCATTTCTCCCGTCATATTTTGGATACTAGATCGACGGAACAGAGAATTGCATCCCAGAATAGTCGACTTGCGTCAGCTGAATCCGCCACCCCGGCAAGATCCTTCCAGCAACCTTTCTTTGGGCCTTTTCCCTGGCAGAGCGACCACATCAAGGCAATAACTAGTCAAAATGCCGATGTCTTGTCTCAAACTATACCGCATCTCCCCTCCCAGCCTTCACCGGTCTCCCTCGGTGTCCATAAAAACTTAATTTCCCGGGCGTTCAGCTACTACGCCACAACACATATTTCGTACATGTGTTTTCTTCACCTGACCTCCCCGTTTCAGTATCTTCAATCTCATCCGGAGGATTACCCCGCCCGATTGTCTTTCTTTGTTCGGCATGTCTTTGCGAGTGTTAGGTAAGGTTGAGGTGTGTGATTACTTGGCTATTATTCTGCCGCGCTTTTTCCTCGGAACTATTCCTGATATTATTTTTCGATTCGGGGCATCAGTTCGTTCTAGAGGGCCTCTCTCCTATCGCTCGTTTCCTAACCTACAAGATATCTATCTTATTGTACCCTGTGTCTTAATAGCCTACACGTCTCCTCTCTCTCCCGTCTCCTTCCCGTCCATGAGCAATGTCGTCATGCTACATCACTGTGCATCATTGGGCATTGGGCGGCAGCATTGGGATCCGGATATTAAAAGTTGTTTGTATGCCTTACTTATACTTCCTTTTTCTGTTTCTATTTTGATTTTTTCTGTTATTGTGCATGCATACATCATGTTGGATGGCTGTTGACAGGCACCTTGGGTCAAGCTGTAAACCTGGATAGTTCTGTAGGATTCTGCCAATACTAACAGCGATGGCAGGGGTATATTAGCACGTATCTCGGAAAAGTGAAACGGAGTGTTGAATATGACAGTATTCGTTGTATCGTTTAAGCTATGAAGTTTTGTGCAGAAAGCCAGCTTTTAGTATGAATGACAACTAACGTAAGAGCAATGCGAAGCTCCATGTCCGCCGAACTCGGCGTGCACGCTTTAACTCATTGTCAGACTAACCAAACCTCTGACCATCTTCCCCGTGAAACACTTCCAAGAATTAAGCCCTCAAACCATCAACATTCCCACTCCTTTCCTAACTTAAACAGCCCTGACCCCCTCTTCCTACCTTTTCCTTCCAACCCCCTGGTCCTCCTTACCTTCCTGAGCTGCACCACAAAAGCCTAGAGAAACAATATTGTAATAAGTAACAAAGAAAATGCTTTTTTTAACCAGGCATAAACCCAATGCTCATACTTAGCAAGCTTGAATACAAGCGCAACTCTAGAAAATAATTTTCAGGTTCTCTTTAAAAACAGAGTGTTAAACTTCTGCTAACGTACACACTACAGGCAAGTTGCTCACACACCTAAGTTACTTACTTTTACTAAGACTTTACTAAATAACTTTTTTACACTAATGCATTTTTAATAACACTACTTAAATATGCTAAAAGAATGTTAGATATAGCTTACACTTTAAGCTTTTAAATAAGATGTTGTAACAGCGCAGGCAAGACAATGGGTCCGAATGCGGTATGAATCCACTCAGAGGCATATGGGAGTGCGTGGGGACTCAGAGACCTGGGAATACCAATGACACCTATAGGCCTTGTACGTAGGATATCAGAAAACTACCGAGCTAGCTACAGGGGCGAGGTGCGACTAAATACATGAGGGAATAGGGGCAACTGCGGGGGACTGGGTCGAGTCTTGGTCGGGGCCGATACGGGGACCCTTCGGATAGGATCCGAGCGACCCGAGATGGAACGATTCGTAGAATCGTTACAGATGTAACACTTTTAAAGTAACATACTATAGCTATGTATAAGGTTTTTTTAAAAATAATAAATAACTAATATATTAAATAACTTTTATAAGCTAATTCTATAGCTAACTATAATAAGCTAATTCTATAGCTAACTTTTATAAGCTAATTCTATAGCTAACGTACTTCACAGGCGAGTTGCTTACACACCTGAGTCGCTTACTTTTGCTAAGACCCCACCCTAACAAACTCTATTATAGCCTATAACAACCTGCTCTAGCACTATATAGTACAGTACAGCCTAGAATATTATTTAGATACTACTTCTGCTTCTTACTTACATATTTGTATATTATGCCTAGTCTAATTACACTGTCTGTAGCGCCTTTAGAATAGCTTACCTACTTTAGCTTACACCTGCTTTTTTACCTTCTTTCTATTACTATGCACTTTAAACTTCTTTAGAGCTATTAAGCATAGGCTTTTTTAAATTATTAAAGTTTTTTTTACTTTAATTTGCTTTTTTTTTATGTAATTTATGTTACATAGTAGCTTTATTAGTTACTTAAAGCTTAGTAATTTCTTATTACACTAACACTAGCTTATACATAATTATTACTACCTTTTTTAAAACTTTTTTAAACGCCTTAACTATAAAAGTTAGTAAACTATTTATATGCTTCTAAATTTTTATTTTTATAAGCATTAATTATAACTTAAGTTTTAAAGTATTACTTAAAGTTTATAACTACTAGGGCTTATTATATATAAGTAGTAGTAGTAATAAAGTACGTAACTTTATATTAAAGCCTATTATAACTTATTATAGGTTAAAAAGAACTAATTTAGCGCCTTAGAACTTTTCTTAGATATTACTAAAAGTAATTATAGTATTATAAGCTACTTTAAAGCATAGTAAAAACTTTATTTTTATAATATAAGTAATCTAGTTATATATAAAGTTTTTAGCTTAGCGCTTATATACTTTTTTTAAAGAAGTAAAATAACTTATATTAAGTAGCTATAAAAGGTGTAATAAGTAAAAAAGTATATAAATAGTAATAATCTTATTATCTTTATAGTATTACTAGAAATAAAGTAAGTTATAGCTTTTATAGCTGTTAATAACTAGTAGATAGTAGCTACTAATAGTGCACTTTTTTATATACACGTTAAAGTAGTTTAACTAGTCTAGACTAAGCTAATTAGTAGTTTAGCTGTGCTTAAAAATTATAATAACTTAATTTTAAAGTAGATTTTTTTTATACTAGTTTAAAAAGTAGTTACTACTCTAAAAAATAATAAAAAGTAAAATAGCCTACCTTTTAGCATTAATGCCCTAGATAGCTGTTATCTACTTCTAGTTACTTAGCTAAACTACTTTTAGCTATTTTTATCTCTTTAAACTTATAATAACTACTCTAGTAAATATTTAGCTTATTATAAACTTTATTTTATTAAAGTTATATATGTTGTTATCTTAAATGCTATACTTAGCTTTAATATTCTTTATAAAGTTAAACTAGCTTTAAATTACTATAGAATTTTTATAAAAAGCTTTTTTATAGTTATAGTTATACTTAAACTTTACTTTAAGCTTTAAGTAACACTTAATAAACATAATAAGCTAGTTTATGCTAATATAGCCTATATTATGCTTAGTATGTAAAGAATTAGCTATATTAGCTATAGCTGCTAGCTAGAGGGGAAATTCTTACACATCTAGCTTAAGTATGTGCTAAATAATTACTTACTTTTTATTATTATCTAGCTTTTATAAGTTAGCTATATAATTAGCTTAGAAAAGTTATCTAGTGTGTTAGTTACTTATTATTTTTTAAAAAACTTTATAAATAGCTGCAGCATGTTACTTAAAAAGTGTTATATTTTATTTAAAAGCTTAAAGTGTAAGCTGCATCTAACATTTTTTTAACATGTCTAAGTAGTGTTATTAGAAATATATTAGTGTAAGAAAAGTAGTGTAGTAGGGTCTTAGCAAAAGTAAGCAACTTAGGTGTGTAAGCAACTTGCCTGTGAAGTACGTTAACTTATAAAAGCTAAATAATAGTAAAAAGTAAGTAATTATTAAGCACATATCTAAGCTATAGCTAATATAGCTAATTTTTTACATGCTAAGTATAATCTAGGCTATATTAGTATAAACTAGCTTAGTATATTTATAAAGTTTTAAGTATAAGTATAGTTAGTAGATATCTAGCTTATTATAAAGCTTATTTTATTAAAGTTATACATGTTATTATTTTATATACTATACTAAGCTTTAAATTACTTTAAAAAATGTATAAAATGCTTTTTTATAGTTATACTTACACTTAAAGTTTACTTTAAGCTTTAATTAACACTTTATAAACGTACTAGGCTAGTTTATACTAACATAGCCTAGATTATACTTAGTGTGTAAGGAATTAGCTATATTAGCTATAGTTACTAGCTTAAAGAAAAATCCTTATCTATATAGCTTTAGTATATGCTTAATAATTACCTACTTTTTGTTATTATTTAGCTTTTATAAATTAGCTATAAAATTAGCTTATAAAAGTTATTTAGTATATTAGTTATTTATTATCTTTTAACAGACTTTATATATAGCTATAGTATGTTACTTTAAAAGTGTTATGTTTTATTTAAAAGCCTAAAGCGTAAGCTATATCTAACATTCTTTTAGCACATTTAAGTAGTGTTGTGTTACAGTCTCTAAGTAGACTATAAGCGAGTGTTAGCCGGCTACTAATTTAAGCGGAAATCAGTAGTAGAACTTCTTCTTTACAGCACAACAGGAATGGCACCTAAGGAAGTCACGTGATAACCCGGAGGTTCCGGGGGCTCCTGGATGGAGATAGTGGCTTTGCAGAGTGCATGCGCTAAGGGAAACGCATGCAAACCTAATTTATATAAGCAGAGCAAGCTTTGCTAATAACCTTAACCTTAACTAAGAACTAGAAGGCTGTGATTAACGTTTAGTCTTATCTTTATATAGACTAAGTAGTATTAGTACTTTCTAAAGACACTATACTATTGTATACCTTACACTATATATACTCTAATTATTATTTTATTAAGATTGTTTCCTTTGCTTCTTATACAGCAGCTAAAGGTAAACTATAATAGGCTAAGCTTCTCTAAAGCCCCTTATAGACAGCTACTTAGACTGTACACCTAGGTGTCTCTCTGCTCTTCCTTCCGACACCTAACTGTTCTCTATCGATAGGCCTGTGCACTAAACCTATGTCCTTGTTAGCATGTATTAGTAAGTAGAAATTGTAACATTAATTACTACTTTTTAGAAAGTATAAACTCTTTAATCCCTCTAATTAATGCCTTAATAGTTTAGTTAGCACTATTAGAAAGTGCCTAGCCTCTTATGTAAAACAAAGCAGAGCTTGTAAACTAAATAAACATTATAAAGCTAAAGATAGCTAACCTCTATAACTAGCTCTAGAAAAAGAACAACATTATAGCTAGGAAGTTCTTAAGGCTAACGCTACTTAAACTCTTTACTAGAGTAGCTAAGAACCTAAAACTATTCTTCACCTAGTGCTATCTCTATATAGTATATAATTAAGAAGCATTCTAAACAGATAAAGAAATAATTTAATAGATAAGACTCTACCTAGATAGGCACCTAGTAGTGTGGTTCTAACTACATGTAGATAATTAGAGGAACTAACGTACTTCACAGGCGAGTGTTACAACCCACGATTAGACTGTAAGCAACTAGTCAGCGGTGCCCCACAGTCTAAACGATTAAGGATGGAAAGTTCTTAACTTCTTGTCTGACAAATCACGTGACTTGACAGATGAGGAATGGACTAAGCTATTAGACTAATGCGCAGCAGAATGCGTTGTCTAATAAGCGCAGGGCGTTTAAGCGCAGAAGAGCGCTATTGCGCGCAAGCAAAAGGCTGCTACACTAAGCGCTTATTAACGCTTAACAACGCGCAACCCTATATCTATAATTTAAAATCCTAACTTTACTTAGAAATTATAATTAATAGTTAGTTAATTTTTTTACATAGACTAAGTAGTATTACTACTTTTTAATAAGAAGTAATCTAATTAT